TATGGTTTGTGACAATAATTGGGGACTGGGGATGGCGGTATCAGATACGTTATTCTGCCTTTAGATGGTGGTTTATCCCGTAGGATATTAACTCGAGAATTTCTAGTGTTTTGAGTAGGACAATGTTAAATATTTGATAGTCATTGAAGGGGAAACATTTAAGCTGAAAATGTCCTTCATCATTCAGGTATTTTAAGCTCCATAGAGTGATTTTAAATCGAGATTCTCGGAGCTTTTTATTTCGGGTGCGGATGAAAAAAAAGGTCCCCAGTAGTCATATAACGGGTTAGCATATATAACCTCGGCTTGGCTGCTTAATTTCAACTTGAAACCGAGGTCCTCAGTGCTGTTTTTTTTCTGTCGAGAATTTACAAAGAAAAGGTCCCCAGTAGTCATAAAACGGGTTAGCACCGAGAGCCTCGGTTTGGCTGCTTAATTTCAACTTGAAACCGAGGTCCTAAGTGCTTTCTTTTCTTGCGAGGATTAAAAAAAGAAATGATATACAAATTAGCACTGAGAGCCTCGGCGTGGCTGCTTAATTTCAAATCGAAACCGAGGTCCTCTGTGTTTTCTTTTCATTCGAGGATTAAAAAAGAAAAGGTCCCCAATAGTCATAAAACGGGTAGGACCTAGAACCTCGGCTTGGCTGCTTAACTTCAAATCGAATTTGATGTCCTCGGTGCTTTCTTTTTTGGCGAGGATTAAAAAGAAAAAGTCCCCAATAGTCATAAAACGAGTTGGCACCTCGAGTCTCGGCTTGGCTGCTTAATTTCAAACCGAAACCGAGGTCCTCAGTGTTATTTTATTTGGTGAGAATTTAAAAAAGAAAAGGTCCCAATTGTTCAGCACCGAGAGCCTCGGTTTGGCTGCTTTATTTCAAATCGAAATCGAGGTCCTCAGTGCTTTCTTTTTAGGTGAGGATGAAAAACGGTTCCAAATAGTCATCGATTTTAATAGCTTAAAAGTCGTCTGTATAAAAGTGCAAAAACTCCCAACAGATTTTGCTTGCGTAACAATTGACTCGATTGGAGCTCATTCAATCAACCGTTATTGCTGTATCAACCGAGTGGTGTTGACTTAAGTAAACGCTGATGATGGCTTGGTAAATATTAGAGGCTGGATGGGATGTTTGCTATCCAACAGCTCACAGCTTAATGATAAGATTCCCGGGGCTCATGCAGGTGTCATGAAGATTATGTTTGAACAGATCTTTATCTCTTTACGAGGAAATGGGCCATCTTTTACTTTACTACTGGTTTTTTAAAAAATGTAGCAGTCAATCCGTACATATATTACAAATACTAGCACTCCCTTTTTTGCAAAACTTGTCTAGTCTGAAAATGTATACATGTAAATACTGTACACTATGGTCTTTATCCCATCTCATTTGGACATCCCAGTCCAGAGATACAGCTAATTAAATGAAAGGACTTGCATTCCAAGTTGGGCCACTTGGTATCTAATGAAAGGCATTCACATACCAAGAAGGTGACGAAAGTGGCCCAAACAGATTTTGACAGTCTCTACAAATTTTTCCGTAGCTTTGAAACAAAAGGTCCAAATCACATAGCACGAAAATCCTGTAAAGGATAAAGAGACACTCTATCATCTCATGGTAAATATGTCCCCCCCCCCCAAAAAAAAAAATAATTAGTTTCCTCAGAAAAATGGTTTCTTCAGATTTAGTTTCCTCAGAAAAATGGTGGGTTTGGCATTTTTGAGGCACCCTGAATATTTCTCACTAGTGCGGTCCGTGTGTGATACTCAGCGTCGCAGGCTAGTATTGAGCCCAACAGTGCCTTCGCCGGTCAAATCACGATTTTCACGTCCTCAAATTGATCTGCTATTAAAGAGCATTTTGTGGGCCATGAACTTGAGGGTTTGTTAGGGAAAAAAAGATGGAAGCTGTGAACACGAGTACGAGCTTGTATTTCTGTGAAATTTGGATAAAATTGGGCACTAAAATTGCTTTATTTTGCAATGGAGCGATTTTTCAAAATAACGATGGGCTTCTTTAAGGGGTGATCATCTTCGGATGGAAAATTCTCCCAAAAGTCATCGGATTAGGCCTACCCCAAAAACATTTGAACAGAAAATAAAAGATGATGAAATAAACTTAATTTGATGTGTCTCGAACACCTTGGAGATCTGTAGGTATTTTTCCTGATTTTTTTTGGAAGTGGGGGAATTTATGGCGGCTTATTTACTGGTCTGCAACCTCAGACATTGATGTACTCGCCATAATGGAAGTGCGTCGCGTGACTTCGAAAAGTTGCTCGCGGATATGAAGATTCAGAAATTTTCCACTGTTTTGCGTTTCCTGTTGGCGCTGAAAATGAAATAAACGTTGTGAATCCATTTAAATTAGTATTTGGTAACCGTTTTAATGTTCGAATATTAAAAGGGGGACGGACATACAAATAAGCCAATTCTCGTGTCCCCAATTAAGTACAAAAAAATTCACAGATTTGTCATCTGACCAGTACTAAAAATTCGAACAGCTCGTATAAGATTTATTTGAAAACATCAAACCTAAAATAAAACACGGTGAATTCATTTTTAAAAGTGGCTGATAATGTTGGACACCCCAAAACACTTCTGATTAATGAAGGATTAATCGTGTGATTTTAGTGACATGGACGCGGTATAGACAAGGAACATTTTGGGTAGGTATGGTTGAAAGCCAGCCACGGTGTTTCAGCTATGCTTCGCCTGTTTTACAGTGGCTTAAATCTCAAAGTGGAAAAAGATAACTTTGGACTAATTTTGAAATCCGTTTTGATCAAAACTACGGTTGTGAACGAAGGGAGAAAACCCCCACAGACTCTTACAATAGACAGTGAACTCTGCGTTAAGCGGGTCATGGTACAAATAAATTGTTTAGTCTGGATTTTGTATTCATGGAAACATAGACAAAACTTTTTGTGTTTCGTTAAATGGTTATTCCTTGGCAAAAGACGGCTTTTGTAAGGAAACACAGAGGCCTTGTTGATACAAACCATATGGCACGTGAACATTTTGAATGGGACAACCTCCAGCGTCGTCCGTTTCCATGCCAACCGGCACAATCTAATTTGACCGCGCAGTTCTTGCATTGACCAGAATTCGTCAATAAAATCCGATTCTATTGGTTAATGCGGGGTTAATGATTGTCAACCTAAAAAAATATTGATTGGTTGGCATGGAATCAAATGACAATGCACGAAGTTGCTATTCAAAACTTGCACGTCCGCAAGGTTTGGGCCCCCTAAATTGCCTTGAACTCTACCACAGATTACCCGAATTTTACAAATTGTTTCCGTCTTATTGAATCCCGACACAACAATGGACAGACGACGACTCACTACTCGAATACTGTGATTTTATTTACACCTTAAAACTTCGAAGAAACTTCTTTTTGTGTGTGTGTGGATACACCAAAGAAAACAATAATATCAATCGTCAACATTTTAGGAACGCGATCGAATTTTCGGACAAAGTATAGGAGAAGTAAGCTTGGACTATAAACTTGCACGAAGAACGCGATATTTTATGGACCTCAAAACGAAATCTTTGTGTGCTTTGTCACGTGATTGCAAACTAATGACAGTTTCTATCATTCCGTGTATTATTATACAACATTGGTTTAAAATATAAAATTATAGAAAGAATTTGGAATCAGTGGTGATATATATAAAAAAAAAAAATTAAGTTAATCACGATTTTCAGTGAAACGCATTGCAGCACGACACATTTCGGGGAAAAAAAACGTTGATCAAATATAGGCCTAATAATAACCATTCCAAAAAATTAACACATTTTGTAAGTGATAGATGTGGCACGTTGTCACAGCGAAAAGTCTCCGGAAGGGAAATTAGCTCAGTTACCGTGGAAAAGATTTTTCAAATGTTTTCAAATATGACGAAATCTGTACACTGCAAAAACTGTAGTGTTAATTTAACACCATTCGGTATCTATATAGGACAACACCAGTAAAATCTAACACCAGATGGTTCTATATAGATACATGTACCAATGGTGTAAATTTAACTCTGCAGTTTTTGCAGTGTACAGTATTAATTAACTTCGCGTGAGACACAATTTCTTTTAAACGAAAACGCATTAGGGAAGGCGCAATAAATCAGTCTCTTAAAGCTAACGCAAGAATGTCAGAAATACTTATGCTATTGGCGGCCTAAACAGGGCGAGTCAAACAGAAAACGACCGGGATTAATGATTTTTATCATAAAAAAAGCAATCACATTTGACACACCAAGGAAGTATGTCTTGAAAGAGCATGCTCTTCCACTCATCTGAAGAAAAAAAATCACTGAAATTGATCCATGCTATCAGAACTTATGCATGTTTTACTAAAAGTACCCAATTTTTATATCCGTGGAATGCTATTCGAAGCTATTGGCCTGAATGAGAATTATAGATTACACACACAAGCATTCGAATACAGAAAAGGTTGGACTGTCAGATTTTGTGTTTTGAACATCAGGAACAAGTCAACTCTTTGTTTTTCCTGAAATATTGATGGCGATTTTGGTGTGTTTTCTTTGCAAGTTCTCGTTCATGTATCGATGTGGGTAAACGTCCATGTTTCATTGTATTTAAAGGGTATTCATCAGTTCGCAGAACGGACAATGATCAGTGGTGGACGGCTGAATTTTGTGATCTTTTTATATAACTTGGGAATAGCATATGCAAATTACGTGACATTTTTACAGTTATATTGTCAGTAACATGAACTTGTATTTTTTATAAAATGGTGCCGGCTACATATCTTAAAAATATTGTTTTTCTCTCATTAGGGCACTTTCTTTTTGACTCACCGTACATGCAGAAAATTAAGGGGAAAAAGTTGTATCGGTTTGGAATTGGACACGTATATAGCTTCTATGTTTTAGTGTATGCTTTCAATCTGTGTATATTCTTTTTATCATTTCCCTTAACTCGCGGAGTACGTCAAAGTTTCGTCACTGATTTTGTTTTTTTCTGTTCCGTTTCTTTCGCAGCAAACGATTCAAAGGTAAACTCCATCTCCCCCAATGCTGGCAGCACGGCAGGAGGAACCCGTCTCACCATAACCGGAACAGGTAAGCTCGTCGGATAGGCGCCAGACTGACTGAAAAGCCGGGGATACGCGTAAGGATATGTCCGGAACTATTCGCAGTTTTTACAGGGGCTTTTCTGGCCTTGTGGGCCCTAAGTAATAGCTCCAGAATTATCCTGAGGTCGGGTTCAAGCCCCGCTCCAGTCAAATTCTTTGTTCAACCTTTCAAAACTTAATATGTTTAACTTGATAGAAGACACAAGAAAATGTCGATTTTAGGAACAAGACTGGTCACAGGATATCATTCCATTGAAGAATTGAAGTCCGGTGAAGATGTGAAATCCAGTCTGGCGGGAGTTCAAACCGGATCAATCAAAATTGGGAATGCGGATAAGGACTAGACCTATTAGTTTATGTGAGATATGGCGGACACAATACTAACACTAATGCGTATTTATAAAGAGCACGCATCCACCACTATTGGTGCTCAAGGCGCTACATCGTTATTACCCTGCTCATTGGGCCAATGAAACACTCCAAAGACACTCTCAGCTCCTTGGGGAGTATACAGCTCCATGCTGCCATTTCGGCGCGAAGCAGCTAAAATCAACCACAATAACCATCTCTGCCCAGGATGGACTCGCACCCACAACGTGCATTGCCCACAGGCGTTACTTGGTTTGGGTAAATACAAAAGATCTTTACCCAGAACAAACAGCGCCCTTCTATTGCGTCCGCCATATCTCAAATAAGCTAATTGTTTCCGGTCGCGGTGCATTCGTTCAATTCCTACCTTCATGTGGGAACTTTCTAGAACTGATGACAAAGTTAATTTCTTAGAATAAGTGGCAACAAATATGATTGATGGTCCAAGAATGAGTTTATCATGCACCGTTTGAAAGGCAAACGCAGAAACGAACCACATCTTCTGATGATAAACTTCTCATTATAATAACTACGATTGTGTATTGAATTATGATATACAGAAATCAATATTGATCTGCTATTATGGACAGGTATAATCAACTGGGGTTGACTTCCTTCAATAATTCAGGGAACAATCACGCCTGTCCTTTACACTCTGTAAACTAATCCCCTATTGGCCGACATTAGGTTCTTTGTGAGTGTTACGCAATGTTTACAGCCAATCCATGGCGACGTACCAAGCATCAGGTCCCTGCAAGGTTGGGAATCGATCTCCTTTTGTCGTTTGGTGGGCTGATGATGAAAACAAGTTTTTGTAGACCTGCTTGCGTTTGGGATGAGAAGCTATACCTCTAACTCCAAATTCCTGTGGGGAACAAAGAAGAACGTTTATTTAGCTGTTTCATAACCGAGTGTGAAGATTTTTTTTTCAAACAACTAATTAAAAACGTCGCACGATATATAGACAGGTGTTGCGCATTAGTTCCGCCAAAAACCTGTCGTGTATATTAATTTTGAAAATGAATTAATTTTGTATTATGTCAATCACTCGATCTTTGTTTCAGTCAGTTAGATGACGGTACTTTGTTTTAAAAGAAGGGAGTGAAAGGCTTTTGACAAGAAACGTGCTTTGTAATTTCCGTCCTGTCTGCTGTCCGTCCCTTTCCATGTGTTTTTGGGGTTTTTTTGCGTTTTTCTGTTCCTTTTGCTTTTGTCTTTTGCGCTAGTTTTGATTACGACATGCATTTTGTCACCCAAACACATAATAGTCAGGGGAAACGGGGGACGTATGGCCGCTTGTCAGTTTTATATGGTTGGGGATCCTCAAAATAGTGTGGTTGTACGCGCCGCGCGCGTGCCATTTTCCATATAAGGAGATTTTTACCTCCGACGCGCGCGAGGCACATACCATAGACATGAGCAGAGGGGTGTTTCACAAAACAGGAATTAAAATTGAGACTTAAGGATTTGCATGGTGGACATTATCAATGAATGGGAGTTTTGCGGTAACACCATGTGAACGATATCTCCTGGTGAGTTGCGTGGTTCCGAGAAGAACCAGTGGGTTTAACTGGATGGGGTTTCAGGCCTGCTTTTAGGCGTGATCATCTTTGTATGGAATTTCCTCCCAAAAGTCTTTGGATAACCCCCCAAAAATTGAACGGCCCGGATAAGTGTTAATTTGATGTGTGTCTCAAACACCTTGGCGAGTTAATTGTAAGGTATTTTAAAGAATTTTGGGAAGTGCGTGTAATTATCATTGAGGTCTATGGCAGGTTATTAGCCTTAAAACTGTTGATCTTTCTTTGATTTCGCTTCACTCTCAGGGTTCAGCCCGGATCCGTTCAGCTTCGGAGATGGCAACGAGAATAAGGGCAACCTGGTGTATCTGCAGAACTCCTTCTTCTCCGTTGCCTGTGACGTCCTTGCTTACTACAGCAACAAGGAGAAAATCGTTTGCGACACCAGGTCGGTGTCACATTGTGGATTCTGTAAAACTCAAGAAATTGATGATTCTATAATAGAAAATTAAGCTTCACTAAATTTTTCCATAGATGATTTTGCCAGCGTATAGGGATCAAATTCTTATTTCTGGCGAGGGTGGATGCTATTATAATTTTAATCTGATATATACCCATGGATATTGGTGATGTACCCTAACGTGGCGCGGCCCCTAACGTGGCGCATTTGACATGAAATAACATTGGTTATCATAACCAATCATTGGTTGAAATAACCAACAATTGGTTAATATGTGTCCAACCAACCGATTCGTTGATCATTATATAAACCAATTGCTGCTTATTTCAACCAATGATTGGTTATGTTAACCAAGTAGAGCAAAAGTTTTACCTGAAATTTAACATTACTTAAAATTCATGCTCTAGACATTCACGTTCATAAATCGTGATTAACTTACCCTTTACTAAATTGGCAGAAAAAAGTATTTTGGCGTGATTTTCCGATTATATTTCGAAGTGCACAGTGCACCCGTTAAAAATGCGCAAAAAAAAAATAAGAAAATAATTTTCTAACAAACTTCTAGTTGGGTTTGTGAGTAGAGATGACGATGGTTTATCAGCATTTGTCAACTTTAAAGAAATTCTTATATGTTAGCTTGGAATTTTCCGAGCTTTGCTCAAGCGCGCCACGTTAGGGAACACTCGGCCGTTTTTGTGTTCAATTTTCGGACTCCACCGTTTTTGAATTTCGGACTCAATTTCATGACACTGAAATTGTTCACAAAGGTTCCTCACAGCAAGCGTATATTATTTATCTGAATGAATTTTAAGTTTGTCAACAAAAAAGTTTGGCAACCCTGCATGAGGAAGTCGGGGAAACGTCGAAGTGCGCCACGTTAGAGAACACCACTAGACACCCTTATAAATTACACATTTATTGTGTGTGGAATGCAGTGGGCCTGGATAGAACTAGTACAATGTAATACACATTTTCACAATGAAACATTAATAAGACGTAGGCTTTCAAGTGATTTTGGTAGATTTTGATGCGGCACTGAAGTACCATAGTACAATGAAATGATTTTTCTTGTTCTTGCAGGTCGTTGAAGGAAGAGGGGACGTTCTCGGTGTTCGTCATTGTCGACGGGGTACAAGTGACCCGGTATTGCAACAAGGATTCGTGGTGTGAATTTAAAGTACGTTGCCACCAGCGAACGTCATATCGGATGATCAAAACTCAGACATTCAAATCGTTTGCATAAAGGCATTTTGTTCACAGCTTTAACCTCTGTGGCATGAATATCGCATGCTGTTGCACTGCGTAATATTACGATCATTACAAATAGGCCTAACTCATATTATCCCGTCCCAAAAAAATGTGAAGACTAATGTTTTGCTATTAACAATAGGCCTAGACTTTATCCTGGCTTTGCGAGTTTCGCATATGACAGCGAACAATACGAACGCCCATGTACACCGCCGCACTCGGTAGCAAGTCAGTTCGGCTACAAGAGGTTAAAACCAGCACAGTGTGTCCGTTTTATAATCAAAATCGGCGGATGAATAATGCCGGAAGTTGGTAGCGAAGTCCATAGGCCTACGCATGTCGCAATAATGTAGCAGGTCCCTATTCACTCTATCAATAATGCTGACGTAGTCATGCTGTCTACCCAACCTTTTATGTCCAGAAGAAAGAACATCAATGAATCAATTTCAAATGAATTCGTCAGGCTGTCAGGGTTTTTTTTCTTCTAAATCTTGTGTGCAAATTGTCGTACATTCTGATGAGGGTCATAATAGACAAAAGCTTATGAAAGAAATCAACACATTTTAGTAAAACAGTAAGAAATGCAAAAAAAAAGACAAAACATTATCACAATCTATTACAACTAAAGGAGCTATATTGGCCTAAACGTTGTCACGCTTTTTTCCAAAGTAATTTTAAGGTAAAACCTCTGACGTCTCTTTCAAAATTCCCAGGGCCGTCGAACTTGAACTGTTGCGAGTCCTTGAGCATTTTTGCCATATTGAAATATTAAAGTAAAGCCAGGTGATCGTTTCACGGAAACCATGGTTACCGCTATCAACAAAGTGACGCTTGGCGCCCACCGAACAAAAGGTTTCCGCGATAAATGCATTTTTCCCCCCAGTGCAACCTTGCTTCATTAATGCCTGGTTGGTGTCTTTTCATCTAATCTCACGAGCGGTTGCCTTTGAGGTTGGTTGTTGTTTGAAGTCATTGATTAATCAATGTATGGCATTGAAAGTGTCGTTGAACTTAACTTCCCCCTCTGATGTCTGACTGTTTTTTGAGACTTGTGAAATTTGGGAGCGTGTTCGTATCAAATTGATTGATACCTCATCGTGAATTTTTTTATTTAGTTTTTTTTTAAGGCATTCTATGATCATTTGCCTTTTTATGTATTTTGTCCGTTTCTAATGATAACACAACTCTATCCAAAGAAGACTGTTCAAAACCAAACCTGCTGAAGTTTCAGCTCAGTGGATATTACAGTTTTCGAGGAAAAAAGAAAAGAAAAACCATACACAACCTTCAAGGTGATCTGGAAGCATGATTTTGTCAATAGCACTCTTTATTCTAAAACAATTGGCTGGTCGTTGGAAATCACCTACATCTCTTGATTTCTTCTAAATGACAGCAAGCCAGACGGAATAATTTCACGGGGGTTTTAGTGCCAGTACGATCTTTAGTCCAAGTGAGCTTTACGATACTATTTCAGCAGGGTACTTTATTACTTTTTGGGGGGGGGGGGGGAATGCAAATGATCCTATATCATAGTTTATCAAAGAAACTTGTTGTCAGTGATAAAAAGTTAGATTTGGATCCGTTTCTGTTTCCTTAATGTCCTCACCCTAGTACCGAGACGACAACACGCCTGACATTTCCTCGGTCACTCCAGGGAGCGGAGTTCCAGGTACGTGACAATATGACTTTTTTATTGGTTGCATCTCAATGAAGGTCATTCATTGCAAAAAAAATTATGTGAGACGTGAATCTGGGACTAAAAAAAAACATTTCCAATTTTGCCAGGAAATACTTAGAAAATTTCTTGACTCACCAGAGACTTTGTATACACAATTGCGGAAGTGGTGTCAGGTTGCAGCATTTTCCCCACGGATTTACTAACTTCTAAGGTTTTTTTTTAGACGTTTTCGAGAACGGAAGTTGAAACCATACGCAATTGTTTTGTGACAGGCACACGAGTCGCCATTCGTGGACGGATCGTCACCGACGTCTACGACCCTTCTAAAGCCTTGGAGGATGAAGACGACAATTACGAAGGCAAAAGCCAGATTCTCAGGTGCGAACAAAATGCATAACATCTCATAATGTTTTGTCGATTTGTGTCTCAGTTCATGTTTTTCCCCGAAAAGTTTATGAGGAAAAGCCGCTTCATGCGCACGCGATGACAGAGCAAGTTCTATCGAAAAATAACCACTTTTTCAATGATTTTCGTCTAACGAACTTACGTTTTCAACGTTAGAACTAAGTTGGTCAAAGTTTCGGGACACCACCGGTTTAACAACACGTTTAATTTCAAAAACATTTATTGCAAAGAAGAATCGTAAGGTAAAAATTGTGTAAAACACTTTAAAAGAACTGATTATAGGAAACCTTGAGCGATTTTGGAAATAAAGTCTTTACTCTCGACATTATATAACGACAATCGCGTAGTGGCATTATTTTCTCTGATGTTTTCAAATATTTTTGTTTTCTCTTTTAAGGATCTACTGGGGTAATTATTTCTGTGATCCCATTGATCCTGAAACAGAAGAATTGTAAGTATTTCTGTGCTTTTTAACACTCGGAAAGTAAAACATTATTATTTCTGTTCAATTGTTGTAAGCGTCATCACATTTCATAAATATCTATATAACTGACTAAGTTTAGGGATTCTATTTCTTTGTTATTGTTAGTTGTAGGCTACTGCCTTGCTAATAATGATAAATTGATAATCATTTAAGATCAGTCTTCAAGATTATATCATCATTTTACAATCACACACAAACATTACAAGTATATGTGTCTGATAATTTAGGGAACTTTACAGTATTTTTTTAAGTTAGCTGAATCATTCTGTCGCCAAGGAGGCGTTTCTTAATCAACCACACGAAAATTCTCTGAGACAAATTGTCCAGCTGTGCTGGGTATATTATATTGAAAACCATGTATTCTCAGGCTGCTGGGCCGGACCAAATTGAATAAAACAATACAAACTTATTTCATGGAAATAATGGTCCCAATGAATTGTCCAATGAATCTGTTTCTTTGGATCACGAGGGAGAGTAGTTAAAAATATGATGTGGGGGACCTCCCATATGGGGGCCACTGACCAACACTGAGTATGAGTTGTGGGTAGTGTTTTTTGTACTTTACATCATGGAGCTATGCTTACATGTATAATATCTCCTGTAGTTCAGTAAAACAAAAATCATACCTGACTTTTTCCTTAAATCAGTCATGTTCTGTTCTCCCTTGTAGCTATAACATTGCTCTGGATAGTACAGACTCGGAGTACGGAGTCATCGAGTGTGTGCCAAAGGGAACATTTATTGGTAAGACTTGAATTTCTTCCACTGTAACAACTTTGTCTCGCCTGTTATATGACATTTTGTGCGGAAAATGACGAAAATAACATGTAGTTGAATTGAATAATGAATCGTTACCCTGAAAGTAACTTTTCCAGTGTCAATTCTGGGTTGACAATTAGCTTGTTTTTTTCTTCCATAACACATTTTGTTCAATTTTGTTCAATTTTGTTTAAGACTAATCATTGTTATTATTTTAAACTGGAAATTAATTCAGATTTTGAAAGTGAAAAATTGAATAGCCATTACGGTCGGTAGACATAAGTGAACTTTGGCCAACTTATATCTCATACATATCGACCTCCCGCACGCCGGCCAAATTTACAATGATCAATAAAAACCAGGAACTATAGCTATCCCTAACAGTCCTGAATCCTCCAATTTTAATATAATTTTGCACACCCCCTAGGGAGTTAGGGTTAATGCAAGTCAATCCTCTTTCAATTGTTGCCTAACTCATAAAAAAAATTCTTAACACTCTTGCAGTCATGGCATCACCGTAGCTACCAATATGTAAACAGATACACAATAGCTTTGTCATGTAAAGCTCAGCTATTACCATCAGGCACTTGATATCAATGGGGGAAAAAAACAAGATTTATGCTTGATTTCATTGATCGTGTTGATATAACACCCCCTAGAACTGTGACAGTTAGATACACATTGCTTTCAAATGGATACCCTGGCTTTTTTTAACATGTTTCAAAAGAGCATCCGTCAGATTCCTGGTTAGTGTTACGACTTCTGGTTATTGTTACAATTCCTGGGGTTTATTTTAATTCGGAAAGCTGCAATGAGCATGGCACAAGACTTAAACAATGCTTGTTTTGCATTTTTTTTGTTTATACCCGAAGTTGTTGGCTCTTAATCGCAGGAGTGAAGACATTTTACATTCGTCCCTTTGTGATCTGTGGACAGAACTTTTAAAACGGTGGTTGTGTTTCAAATTCTGTAACTTAAAAAGTACATGAGAGATTTGAGTGATTCTTGTACCAAAAGAAAGCTTATGAATTGGGCTTTCATATCCTAGATTTTGAAAGTGCTACATGCAGAACTTCACTGAGAAAGTGGTCCTGACATTTGTGTTTGGGTATTTTTTTACTCACCCTTTCTTACAATATTGAAATACTGTATACTTCACCCCTTCCCCTTTTGGGAAAAATATACTTGATCCTCTTTCCCCCCCCCCCTCCCCAACTCCGCCCCACTTCCCCCCCCCCCCGAAAATTGGATTCTTGATCCACCCTTGTTCTTAACACATAAATAAAAGTCACGTTTACAGTGTTGAATATGGCCAGAAAAATTGGGATTTGCTGATACATCCTCGTGGTATATTTCTACCCAAGTCATCAAAGAGTTACGGCAGCAAACACATAATATTTTGTGTGGTATTGGAAGTATAAAGTTGGATTAATCAAATGATAAGACACTGAAACAAAGCTGTTCAACCAAAGATGAACAATCTGTTTGGAATCCTATATAGGACCTTATAGGTCAATCATCCTAGTCCTACATGTCCCTATATAGGATTCTATAAGATGCCTATTAACCTATAGTTCAATAAGACCTGAAAAAATCCTTTGGGACAACCTATATAGGATCCCCTGTGATTTGACCCCAAAAAAACTATAGGAGAGCTTTATGTTTTCTTGCAGGATTCCCGAAGGATTTGTTTTTGGTAATAACGGGGGCATTTACCCTTCATAGCAAAGCTTCCAGATGATAAATTAATGAAAAACATTTCCTTTTTTTGCAGCCTCACAAACTGTCAACTACCTCATTTCTGATCAATACGGTCGTAGCGCGACCGATAAAGGCATCCTCAAAGTTAGTGGTCAGAATGAAGTCTACCTCTTCCAAGCACATGCCGGTAAGTGTTCTTGATTCTTTAAGCTGTGGCATAGCAGCTCAACAAATCATCATCTTCATTTATAGTTCATTAGTTAGTTATTTAGTGGCAAACATTGACATCGTCTATTGCTCCTACATATTTTTACCGATTTCAACCCAACTTCGTCAAAAGTGTGAGTAGCCCAGCCCCAATGTGTCACATGGCCAAACTGGGGTCAAAGGTCATCAGGGGTCACTAGAATAAAAAAACCTGACTTTTTTTTAAACTCAAAACACTACTCTGTCCAGAAATTACATGGCACAATCTCATGACTCATGCATGAACCCGCTTTTTTTTATCCCGCAGCTTCCGAGATATTTCTTAACGAGCTTGATTTAGAATGCAAAAGATCACGCACATTTTTCAAATATTTGACTAAAATTATTATCTTTTTCTTGGAGGTGGAGATCAATCGTGCATTGCTAAGTTCAATCATAGAGCAAGGAATGTATATTTTCTTCACTGGAAAAAAAACCAGTTGTAAACATTTTGTTACAAGTGTATTACATTGCATAAGCCATTGTTCGTGTGATAATCTCTCAAAATTACTTTTGTCTACATTGCCTTATCATGATAAGGTGCCTTTGTTTGCCAACTTTTAAGGCATTTAATTGAATTAAATAAAAGAACCAATCCTTTGCACTTGTAAGTGCTATAAGCCCCAGCTTCTAATTAAATAGCACTCAATTTCTTAACACTATAGCAACACCCAGCCATTCCAGAGATAACCATCCATAGCTGTCAATATGGCTAAGCCAGAGATAACAAAGAATGATCACATGTGCAGAATGAATGTGATCGGAATTATGCAACAGTTATATTCTGCCGTTATATATGCAACCGTTATATATTGTGAGATGTCAAAGCAATCAATGTAGAATTCTTGAAGTGGCTTGGCTTTATAGACAGCCAAGAAGGATTGCTGTTCTTGATCCTTAATGGAAGTTACTTGTAGTGTTGTTTTTCTGAGGTATCTTTAGTGTATTGATCGCCAGCCGATTCTATTTGTTTACGTCTTTAAGCCTAAGCTGATTACCGGATAGAGCATTTTGAGGGAGTGGTTTGGTTTAAGCATGGAGGTAGAATCATTTCAAGCTGTCCTATTGGTTCCATTGAAAAGGTCAGGTAGGCAGGACCTTGCTCTCGCAAGATGCCTTAAACTTTTCAGGAAATAAACAACTACTCACAAGCCCCCCCCCCCCCCCCCATTACAAAAGCTCTTACTTTATCTTCCCTGAGATTGAATTACAAGAGTGTTTCGTGAGCTACTCCTTGAGAAACGGGTATTAATCGAGATTTAAGATTTGCAGTGAAGGAATACATCATGGTACAGTTTGTTTGACTGGTTCCTCCTGTCAGGGTGTTTGAGCGTGCAACCAGGCTCTTTGCTTCCTCTCACCCATACACTGTAGCTGTGCCGAGATGTAGAGCAAAGAGCTACTCTGATAGCGTTTTCCCACATTCTGTATCTCTTTGGAACTCCTTGCCTAGTTGCTGTTTCCCTCCATTCTATGATCTAGCCTCTTTTAAGAGAAATACCAATTCACACCCAAGGGCGGATCCAGAACACAATTTTGGGGGGGGGCAAAAAAATTTTTGGTCCCCCAAAAAAGTGGGTCAAAAAAATTACGGCGTGGGGTTCGGGGCCCGCTAGGGCCCCGAAAATTTTTTGGATTCTAGATGCTCTGTGGTGCGATCTGAGGCAATTTCTGACCACTTCAGCCAATGTTTTTTGAGGAAAAGATGGTGGTGTACTCATTGCCTGCCTTTATTGCGATGTCACATTAAAAAAAAAAAAAATTGGTTTCGTTTTGGGGGGGGCCATGGCCCCCTTTGGCCCCCCCCTGGATCCGCCCTTGTTCACACCTCCAGCTTTCCTGATTATTCTTTTCTTTTCATCGTTTCTCCTTTCTAGCCCTTTGCCTAGAGTGGCTTTTATAGCCGTGCTTGGCGATTGTTCATAAAAAAACACAACCTGGTCAAAATTAAGAAAATGGCAGCAAAGTTATCAACACCAAAACAATTCCTAGTATTTTCAGCAATAATTATTTTGAAGGGCCTAGATGGGCAAAGATAAGTTCATTTTATGCAGGAAAAGTTGAAACTGTGAGTGGCCACTTTAACTATCCATCAAATATAGTGAGATTTTGAATGTGTGCTTGTCTTTAAGGGATGGCGAAGTGCAGGCTGTGTTGAAACATATATCTATTCCTGTGCAAATTTAATAACCTTTCTATTGACTTCACTATATCTTTTTGAAAAAGGGACCGCACCAGCCAACAGTTGACCATTAAAAACAACAATAAATTCACATCAAGGCGTTTCACAAATATACGCGAATATACCAGGTCATCAAAAAGTGCCATGTGAGGTCCACATGAACCCCAATAAATAATTAGATAACAGAAACAGCTCCTTTTATGATAAGGACCCTCAGAGATGATTCTCCTCGAAACCACACAGGACGGAGCTGCAATTACAATAGGTGACAAATATAAAAGGCAAGGACGCAGCCAGGGACATTTAGAAGGATGATATTGTTTGTTTAGTCGGTCCGTTTGAAGGAATATTGTGCTGGCGAGACATCATAAAGTGGCTCCCTTCTGATTTAATTTGTGATTTCATTCATCTGATACTAGTGTTCATTCAAAGACTGCGTGAATCACATTGAAAACATCTGACAGCCTACAAGCCACTTGTTACTGTGCCGCGTGAAGTGTGAAATTGCTTAATCTAAGGACATGTTTTTGTCCAAGTGGGTAAAGAATTGTATGAAAGAACGTAATAACGAGAGATACACACTATACCGCAAGTTTTATTGAGGCACAGTCAGCTTCAGATCTTCACATTTTTGGACTTATTGGTTTCCATTTTATTCAGGTACATGTAGTTGAAGAGATGGGGCTTATGCTGTTTTTTTTTTGGTAGGGCCCTAACCTTTAAGCAACTATAGCGGCCAGAGAAATTTAGTACTGAAATGCCCCTGGATGATGCAGATAGCCAACAGTTTAGACTTTTTTTTTCTCGTTGAGCAACACATGAAAAATAAAAGTCTACATAATCTGATACTGATAGCAGTTTAGGAGTAGACCATTTAAATAAGATGTCAATTTTGCATAGTTAGGTGGTTTAGAATGAAAAGTTGCGTATATGAAGAAAAAGTCACAACATTTGCCTCATGAAAGGGAATACATTTGCAAACATCAAAAAAACAAACTACCAAATTATTATGAAATACCTTACTGGACTGTTAGTGAATGACAGTCTAAAGCATCCTGTAAAATCATGGCACCTGGTGTGCTGTCATTTTCAAGAAAAGTGGTATTTTTGTTACAATTTTTAATGCTGGTTGAGAAAAAAATGGCTTTTATCAAATACTGCCCCCATGCAGTATACCATATTTAGTTAGTCCGCATTTTGTTTGCAATCGATTACACGCCTATGAACGGGTACAAATTAAGCCAGCTAGACTGGTTCCCTTATCTTATAATTCCCTGACATCTATAAATTGCTCCATTTCATCTTAAGTGGGGTCAGGGAAACAGACTACAGGAACACGATTGTTTTTCTTGGTTTTCTACGAACACAAAACTTCAAACAAGTCAGTGTAACATTTTTTGCTATAGCATAAACTACTTTACCCCCAAATCCATATCCATTTTTGAAAATTACAGCAAAAGCAAATAAAGTGCCCCTTCTAGAACTTTGAAAATATTTTTATATTTGATATAAATCAGGAAGGGCACCATTTCAAATGGTTCGATTAATTATTAATATTATCATCTGCTTTTGATTTCCTCTGACTTAAGATGTACTGGATGTCAGCCCTAAGCAAGGCAGCACGCAAGGTGGCACAGTACTGACCATCACTGGGCGTTACTTTGATGAACGGGACACTGTCGTGCTAGTTGGAGGTAAGAAAATGAATTCCTAACATTTAATTAACGAATATTCAGTGCAAAGAGTGCATTTTCTTGTAATTTTAGAAAGTACTAGATGTGCATCAACTAGCCAATGTACGCTTTTTCTTAATTTGCATACAATTCGGTGCCAACACCAATTTATGACAGAATACAACGATATCAAAACTTCAAAGGGATATTTTGCGAATCGCAAATACGTCCGTCGTAAATACATGTCTTTATGACCAGCCACCTGTGTCACAATACAATCCGTTGCCATGATACCCGTTTGGTTTATCTGTGTTTGTGTCAATCGCTTTAATAGTCGATCGCCAACAGAACAATGAGAGTACCATGACCTGCGATGGCTGAATGCATTAGCCCCCTATAGTGATGGCCTGGCCCAAGGACTAATTAGCGGGGGATTTGTACTATTGATCTACTATGGCCATAGACCTCTCATTATGATCAGCGGGCACTAAGCTTATTGCTCGTTGCTTGTTGCCTGGCTTGTAAGGCCTATAGAACCTTAAGCCTGCTGTTTGGAGATTTAACAATTCAGTAATCTCTGAGGAAGTACACAGATTATCATTATGAAACATTAATACAGTCTATAATAAAAAATTACACAATAACAATTGATTTTTCCAACTTTCACTTAGGAGGTAACTCACTGAGTATACAGTGTTTATACATCGGTGAAAGGCAAAACCTTATTTGAAAAATTGAAAGATTTCACATGATTGCATAAAGCCATAAATTTATCAAGAGAGTAGTTCAGCTATTTAAAGGCAGTTTTACTACTTTGGGGTTTTGTTTGTATTTGGTTTTATGCATTAAGAATTTCTTTTTCAAATTATTAAATTTGCAGATATACATGTAACTTGTTTACCATGAAACCTATTACTACGTAGTCAAACCATAGTTCCTAGCTCCATGGTCAAAATAAGGTTGTCAGTTAGAAGGAAAGTCGAATGTGCATTTGAAGAGGTTACTTCCAAAACATGATTAAAAACAAAAAGTTGAAAAGTTGCACAATTATGTTAACTTATAGAGCATACACAATCATTACAACAGCTGTTTCTGAACTACCTATTTAGTTTTTTTTTATTCTTAAAATGTGATATAACAGCTGTCGAAACTGACTTTGGGCAACCAGGACAGTGCGAGATTTTAAGATAAAACAAATTGGCATTTATCACATTTTTGAAACAATCTCTTCATTTTCAATTAGGTCAACTAAACATTTTCATGCATACACCAGTCTTTTCTTGAGATTTTAAGATGACGAGCTAATATTGTTTCCATATCACTTCCTGTCTGTACACTGTGTATTATGTCACCATGATTGTCTGAAAATGAAAATGAGTTTGGAAATGGCTTTGCTGTGAAATAGTATACAAATAATGAATGTTGTGAGTGCAATGGTAAGAATAATTTCATGAGGTGACAGATGAAATGTTCCATTCCATGAGGCGAAGCTGAGTGGAATGGAACATTTCATCTGTCACTGAATGAAATTATTCTTTCCATTGCACGAACGTGAAACATTCATTTGTTTTATATAACACCTTATATAAATCCTTGTCATCTGATTGGTTGACTTTTAATAGCCAATTTATTCAGGTTAAAAACTGTTTAAAAGTTCGACAAGTTCATCATATTTATATTAATGCAAACTGTTCGACAGGTTAAGAACAATCATATTCAATTTATCTCAATTTAAAACGGCGCCACCCCCAGCAGCAGTGACACCGTGTAATGGAAGTTCTATTCACCCTGCAATAGAACTTCCATTGCACTGTGCGCTGCGCGCCACGCGCGCGCCGTGCGTTGGTACGAATAATTCAATGACATGTGATCAACGATCCACCAATCAGATGACGGGGATTTATTCAGGTGTTGTATAAAACATGTTTTTGTTAATACTTGTTCTCAATAGGTGTTCCTTGTGAGATTTTCAACATAAGCACTACAGAGATCCTGTGCGTGACGGGAGCAGCCCCTCCAGCGCAGAGTGCCTACCCTGGTGGCAGGGGCATGAAATATGAAGTCTGGACAGACACAGCTGTCGGGTAACTACCTGCTTCGTAGCCGTTTTTATCACTTTATTTCAGATGAAGAGTAAAATGAGCTATTCTAATTTTCTTGTTTTTTCTTCTCCACGACCTAAAAGTTCATTATAAAACATGTTCATTGAATGAAAGAGCATGCTACAGTGTAGTGCGAATGCAGTGTTCTGTCTGTTATAATTATCGTCGTTGTCTTCAAGCTAGCTTGAATGAGCAATCCTGATTGGTGGACCCATGGCAACCGTAGTGTGATATTATCCCAAATACCACAGTCAGTATACCACTGCGAGGATTGCGCTATTTTAAGACCACTAGATAGGACTACCACTAGACTTGAAATCAAGTCTGTAATGAGTGGTTTTAATCGCGTCCGCTGCGCGCGACTGCCAAGCTCTGTGCCGGGGGTACGACGTACCGCATGCTGTCCTAGTAGTGGGGACGCTACGTACATTTTTGACCCCATGCATGTGCGACCCCATGCGTGTGCGACCCCATGCGTGTGCGACCCCATGCGTGTGCTGCATGACCATGCCACGCAGTAGTACATGACTTTTGCATAAATGGTTGTAGCGCTCACGTTGCATGAACGGCGGTGGTATGCGGATTCTGGCGCTGATGACGGACATAAACCACTATAGACTTGTCATCAAGTCTAGACTACCACTGAAAAATGTACCGTGTGTGCATTCCATCTTTACATCAAGTTTGCTTTAAAATATCCCACTCGTGCTCATGGAGCAAGGAAAAATGAAGTGCATCTGTGTTCCATATGCCACTCGACTTTCAGTCAAGTCAATCCCACTTTTTCATGTTTCGTTATGTATGCTCTTGAGAGTACTTTAAGTCTGAGATCAATAATGGTATAGTAGAATGACACAGAGACAGCTCTTTAGATACTTTCGTCTAAGAAATTAGGGTCATGTTTCAGTTCTCAGTCTAGCTCTAGTGACCTTGTGTAAGGACTTATGTGTTACACTATCGTAATACATGCGTATGGGACACAGGTGCACTACACTATTCTGTGTTCCACTTCCCCTCATGGATAACTAATAATGTCTTGCAATTCTTTTCTCTGTCAATTCCTGTTTATCATTTAAAGCTGCAGTCCATCATTTGCAGCTATCCAAAAAGTAACTGATGTAATTATTGTTGAAAAACATACTTGGTTGAAAGATAGTAAGGGAACTAAACTCCCTGTGAAATTATTCTTTATGGCATGCTGTCATTTTGAAGAAATCAATGAAAAAGGCCTTTCCAACGGTGCGTCTTAAGACGCACCATTGGAAATTTCCGTTTCCGTTTTATATATTCGGCGAAGCGCGCGCAAGCATTGACACGATGCACACACGCACATGGTTGCTATGATTCATCGGATCAGTGCGCGACATCGCACAGCTGCAATCGGCTCAGTGAGAACGTGTCTCGGACGCTGAATTCAGGCCCAATTCAAAACATGATTCAGCAACTTTTGATTTGAAATTGAGATCCTAGAATGTTGTTTTTCTCGAAATATACAGCTGAAGCTGAGCTGAAACTTCATCAGGTTAGTTGTTCAGTACCGTTCTTTAGATTTTGAGCACTTTTGTTGCTTCAAACGAACAAAATGCACAAATTACAAATGATGGACTATATCTTTAATGAATTTATTTGATTCCGTCCACAGTCTGGATAATGCCGTCTGGAATACTAGCGCCGCAGACTACAATTCTACTCATGTCATGGAGGCCAGCTCCACGCCAGAGAACGTCCTGGGCGAGGAAGATAATTTCATCTCACGACTCGTCGGTTACTTTGTGCCACCTCGCAACGGGGAATATCAGTTCTTCGTACGAGGGGACGATGTTGGGTCCCTGTGGCTAAGTACAGATGGATCTACAGATAATCTGGTATGATTTGTGTGGGTTTTTTTTAAATACAATTTTATTTATTTGGCTGTTTATTTATGGAAATTTGAGGAAAACTCACAAATTTACAGCTTGTTAGAATTAATTAGCATCCATGGCTTCAAACATTGAATTATTTAAAGATCGCTAATTTTGAATAATGCTTGACTCGTGAAGCCCACATTAAGTAATTCTGTTTTCAACAGGCTTTTTTTGTTAGCTTTTTGGGTTTGCGTAATTTTATAGTAATCGGTCTCAGATAGAAAGTCCTGCTCTTGAAGATTTCATGAGATGGTTGTCATGTGTTCAAGGATATATCTTTCAAATTTTATGCCCTTAATTTTTAAATTTTTTTTTTTTTTTACCTTTTTCAGACTGAGATTGCTTATATGACTAGTTTTCAAGCAAACTGGCATGCGAAAGATAGCCAGGCTTCCGAGAAGATTAATCTCACTGGTGGTCAGAGGTGAGTAATCAAGCTTATTGGGTCTGTATTTTAAAGGGCCCATGCAATGTAATATGTTTTAATGCAATCCAAGAAAATGCACCTTTGTGTCCCATTGAAACTTACTTTAAATTTTCGGTTTGCCGTTGTCAAGGGTATTTTGGTGTCTTTTGGGTTTTTTGTTAATGTGAATTTCCGTATTCATAAGGCAGAAACCTCAATGTTACAGCTTTTTTAGCACCAAAAAGTTGGTAGAATTTTGGACATTTTGCTGTCGTAAATGTTCTTATTTATGTTATAAGTTGAAATTTGTCACTGTTTTCACGAACTGACACGCAAGTAGATGTACTGTGCATGCAATTCGTGAAGTAACACCCCTGATTTTTTTGGTTTTCACGAAATGACACGCAAGCAATGTTGGGGACAAACGATTTGGAGCAAACAGTTCGAAAGGTGTGACACATATTTACTCCATCCATGCACTTGTGGTGATAAAGAATTGTTTTGCGTAAAAACCTTTAAAGTGGTGAACTGCAATCTTGGCTTTAACAGATGCTTAGTTAATTAGCAATTGAATAATTAAGACGGGTTTCAGTTTGTGCAAACAAAATAACGGCTTCTAGACTTGCATGTCAGTTCGTGAAAATCAAAATTCATTAAATTACGCATTACTGTACGGTGTACGAGTACTCTGGGACCACTAGGCAGGCCAGATTATTCAACAGGCACAGGAGGCCTACGATAAAATTTCAGGGCCTACGAAAATACCAGTGTGCCATAAAACACACACATCCATACAGACACAAGAACAGTTTTAGTGTCTCTCTCTAATTTTTCGATTTTGGGAAAGCTTCAAACTAGCTAGTACATAGTTGACCATGGACAATGTGTGTAATACACATTGTAATAAGTTGTAGCGAACCCAATACATGTCCTACATTGTACAGGCTTTTAGAGCTATCAGTTTTGGCCTGGCTTGGCTAATACAGCTTAGCATGTAGCGTAGCATCAACATGAAATGCAAGGCTCCAGCGCTGACCAGAGCTGTGAAATTTGTGCCAGTGCCTAGGGTGGAGTAGGGCCTACGGATCACTGGTGCTTAGGGCCTGTGGAACACTTAATCCGGCCCTGCAACCTGGTGACAGTTTGTGGTGTCAGTGATGATGCCTCACATTTGATCATACAGAAATACGTTTTGACTTTGATTCTGTACAGCTACTACATGGAGGCTCGTCACCGGGAGTACGGGGGTGACGATTTCATTCAGGTGGGCTTTGCCGCCTTTGACTCGCCCCTGAATACCTTCAACACATCGACCGCAACCAATGAGATCCAGGATATCACGACCACGTCCACTGTCCATGAAGAGCTGCAGGTATGCAAATGAGGATGAAGTTGACTCCTGATTGGCTGATCAGCTGATCTCGACTGTGTTGTGTTTAATCGTAATCCTAGATAAGCTTTGGAAATCTGAAGCTTATAAGTGTTTAGAATTTATGTGATCAACTGCTCTTTATACCCAGTATCGTTATTCAATGAGGACTTGGATACACCCTATGATTGGTTTAACCATGGTCAGCTGAGATTTAACTCTATTCATAGTTATGCAAATGAAGACAATGACCATATGTGATTGGTCTGAACAGGATCGTGCATTGATTCAGAAATATGCAAATGATTAGAGAGAACACTCAGATTAGCATGACCAAATTTCCCTTCTAATAATACAAATTTCATCGTCTTTTCTGTTGCGTGATCACAGAGAAGAAAAATAATTTGTGAGAAACTTTACATGGATCTTTTTGTATCATATATGTCCTCTTTTTGACTCCACAGACTCTAACGATTGAGGGAGGTTCTTACGAAACTCAGGAAGTTTATGTTGAGCTGCCGTCGTGCCCAACCACCGTGGCATTCAGCAATGAGAGCGGTCAGTGTGACTTGTCTGGAGTCTACAGGTTGCAGTTTGATGGCCAAACTACAGGTAAGATACAGGGGATAGTAATCCTGTCATCACAAGTCAATCACAAGTCATCACAAGTCAATCACAAGTCATCACAAATCATCAGAAGTCAATCACAAGTCAATCACAAGCTACCACAAGTCATCACAAGTCATCACAAGCCATCACAAATCATCAGAATCATAAGTCTTCACAAGTCAATCACAAGTCAATCACAAGTCATCACAAACCACCACAAATCATCACAAGTCAATCACAAGTCAATCACAGGCCATCACAAGTGATCACAAGTCATCACAAGCCATCACAAATTGACAGAAGTCAATCACAAGTCATCACAAGTCAGAAACAAGCCATCACATGTCACCCAGACTCGAGTGACAAGTTGTTAAACTGAATTGTGACATTGACACTGTCATTTGTTTGTCTCCTATGTGATCTGATCTTTTACGTGATCTGGTTTTTTAAAATTTGAATTGAACGATTAGTAATTGACTTACAACCTTTGTGGCACACAAAGCAAAATAGACTAAGGGCCAAATAGATTATGAATTTTTCAGAATTTTCTTTTTCAATTTCACAAAGGGATTATAAAGTTTGAAGAAAAAAAAATTACTCAACTAGGTTAATTCAGTTAATTGGTAGTGTCTATGTATTGGAGTATTTACGGCAGCAGCACCGACTTGTCAAGATAGAAATATTCAATATAATGAAGTTAATTTTAAAGGGAGTTTGGGTGTGGGAAAAGTATTTGAACAGAAAATGATCTGTAGACTTTGAAGATCACTTTGTCAAGATTTGGCTGAAACAGCTTTGAAAGCATTGGTATGATCAAGTTATCAAACATTAATTTTTCCTAACAAGGTGACATCAATGTGACTGCATCTGCTGCAGAAGTCGAGGCAGCATTGAACCTCATCCTGGACCCTGACACAGTTGGTGTAAAGAGGTCCAGCGATGGCTACACAAATACCTACACCGTTGAGTTCCACATTGCCCAAGGTATGGAAAAACAACGCCAACTGTCATTATTTTCAAAGGTTTTGCAGGAGATGGTTATAATTTTTATGGGGAAATGTAGCAAAATTAGCAAGTAAGTAAAGTCTGTCACAAGCCAATATGGCGCGCAAGCCAGCGTTTATCTCCAGTTTCCTTGGTATGAAAAGATCGAGAATATTTCTATTCCCCCCTGGATGGGATGCCAGTCCATCGCAGGTTACTCCCCAGCTAATGCTGGTACCCATATATAGCCTAATCCTGGGTGGAGAGAGGCAAGTTGGGAGTGAAGTGGCTTACCCAAGGACATAGCATCTGGCCAGTAGCTGGATTCGAACCCCTGACCCTCTGATCATGAGTCATCCTAACCATTTGTCCACATTTTTAGCTAAATAAGATCCAAAGTAATAAATGTTGAATCTTTACTTGGCAATATATAAAAAGCTTCTGCCCCTTCTGCATTCAACAATTTTGCTAATTAAGACACAATTTCAGAGAGTCTACATTCATTCTTTGCGTAGGCCTATGCTGAGGTAGTATATGGGCACAAAATGGCACCTGCTGGGAGATAGCAAGCTGATGTACCACCTTGAAAGTCGTAGCGCATTGTTTCAACTACATACACATCTAAATAAGGCAAATAATTCTGTTGTCAGAGAGTTATGAAATTTTACATGCTGTGCAGAAAGACATCCTGCACGCAAAGACACACCACAGGTAATGACATAATTCTGAATATAAATATTGTTGTCATCAACGACCAAAACCCCCCCACTTTTTTCTCACTTTTAGAAGGAATTGCGTTAATGACTGTGGATCAGGATGACCCCAACCTGGTTGTCATGGTAACTCGGGTCAAGTCCTATGTTCCCGTTGAGTTGAGTGAGTTTGCCCTCCTGTACGATGGGATAACCTCGGTGCCACTGTCTTCAAGCTCAACGGCTGAAGAGGTATTAACACAAATTTGAAAAAAAATATTGTTCATTTCTGTTATTTTTGTTTTCAACTTTGTTTGTTTGTGTATTTTTAATGGAAACATTCAGATTTTTTATAAGATGTAATTTCTGGAGCACCGCTCATGCATTAACAGTTTTGTAGCAATCAACTTCACATTTCAACAGTGAAAAAAAATTTCTTGAATACTGGGCTCATTCTAATAGAGTTATTTAATGTAAATTTAATAAGTGAGTGAATTAAGGGCATGTTTTTAATTGTGTGTGTATTAATGGAAGTTTTTAGTGTAAAATTTGAAGTACCCATCATAGAAACCAGACCCTAAAATTCAAATCCCTGAAGTTGCTGTTCAGATTGTTCACATGTTCGCTTGATAATACTGCCACATTGATGTGTCAATTCAGCAAGATACAAGTGTGTACAGTGAGGTTTTTAGCTTAACGATGTAGAGTTTCCCACAAATAACATTCCAAACCTTTTCTTTTTCACTGTCTGAGAAGTTACTACATGTATTGTGTAAAGTTGGTTACAGGTACTCAATTTCATAATCTGGAACCGGTTCCTGACATCAACAGTCGGGTACTCGGGTACCCAGTTCCGATGCACACCCCAACCGCTACACCATTGCAGCAATAGTACCATTTGTAGGGGAGTCAGGTTGGTGTAGCGGTACTTTCCTCGCCTTCCACCGCTGTGACCCGGGTTCGAGTCCCGCCCGGGCCAATATGTGGATTGGGTTTTCAGTCCCTACCTGATTCCGTGGGTTTTCCTCAGAATACTCTTCTGGGCTTTTTTCCCACCTCTAAAACTGTAATTTCTTCACATTGTCTTCTCTTTACTGGGACCCATGGGAGATCAGTGGATTCCACTGAATGGGCTACCCAGTTAAAATAAGAAATGAATAAATAAATAAATAGCGTTCACGTGTCTGTCATATCTCGTGGGGTGCTGTGGTCCAATGGTTATGGTGTTTGACTTGTGTACCGTGGTACATTGGTTCGATTCCTGACCGTTGGAACATGGTGCTTGTGCTCTTGAGCAACGCACTTTACCATTATTGCTTCGTCCTTTGGATGGGACGTAAAGCCGTAGGTCCCGTGTGTTGTGTAATGCACGTAAAAGAACCCAGTAACACATCGCTAAGAGAAGGGGTTTGCCCCGGTGTTTCTAGCAGTGGCTGCAATATGCACTGCAGCACCTTGTAAACCATTATAAGGTACTACATAATGGGTCTCATATTTCTCATAAACTTTATTTACCTTTCTTTAAAATAGACATAATTTCCAGCGCCTTGCGTACCTAATTGTTGGTAGATACGTGCGCTATATAAGACTCCGATATTATTATTATTATCTCTCTCTTTGCCACCTTTGAGAGGGTACGCATGTCGATGGAAAGTCAATTCAAACGTCATCATTTCCGCAGGTTCAAAACGCCCTCTTGGAGATGTTCAGCGTCAAGTGTTCCACGTCCGGAAAGATCCGGGGTTACTACGTGCAGGACTTTGAAGGGGATTCCTTGGGCTGGATCAATGGGGAGGTCATCAATAACCAGGAGCCGTATTGCGGCCGCTATTTGGTCAAGAACCCATACCACATCTTCTATGCCGGCAGGACTGTGGTACCCGGCAGCAGTCAAACGGTTGAGTCCTTCGATGTCAGGCAGCATGATCAGGTGAGTATATGCAGCACATTTGAAGAGTTTATTTCCAAAAATGCGATAAACGCCATTTTGGTCCCTGTAGCTAGAATGCTGTCTTCTCCTGGTTGTCCAAAACAGTCAGTTTCGGCAGCTGTTATGTAGTTAATCAAAATTTAACCAGTTTTGCGCCGGGTGACTTGTACACACCCAAAGGTTTTTGGTATTCAGAACGGATGACGGATACACACTCAGGCAAGGGCGGAAATCGCTCCTTGAACGTGGGGGGGACAGGTTTTTTTTTTCTCCCCGAAATTATATTACTCACAAAAAGTCACAGGCTGAACGGACAACTTTCCACTCGTAATATTGCCATGGGGTATGGCAGCCATAGCGATAGACTTGAAATCAAGTCTGTAATGAGTGGTTTTAATCGCGTCTGCCGCAAGGGCAGATCCAGAACACAATTTTTTGGGGGGGGGGGGCCCCAAAAAAGTTTGGTCCCCCAAAACAGTGGGTCCAAAAAATTACGGCGTGGGGTTCGGGGCCCGCTTAAGGGCCCCGAAAATTTTTTGGATTGTAGATGCTCTGTGATGCGATCTGAGGCAATTTCTGACCACTTTAACCAATTTTTTTTTGAGGAAAAGATGGGGGTGTACTCATTGCCTGCCTTTATTGCGATGTCACATAAAAAAAAAATAAAAAATTTTCGGGTTTTTTTGGGGGGGGGGGGGGGTCATGGCCCCCTTGATAATGCAACAATATATTTCTAAACCTCATTGTGTGCATCGGGCATTTTGTCATTGCGGTTCTATAACCTTAAAAATGGGCACAAACCGCGAACGAGTTCGTTTTCAGGGTGATTAGTTAAACTACAACAAACCACATGGGCCAAAAGGAGCTAACGTTTACAGTCGGTGCGCACTTCATTTTTTTGAAGGGGATTTACAATTATTCGTAACAGTTTCAACTTCCATAATTACTTAAATATTACTCCTTTTATTCAAAGACAGTTGCAAAAGTACTATTATTATCTACAATGTTATACGCTTTTTACTGTAATTTTAAAAACAGGACTGCCAAATAAAATGGAAACTTGAAAATGATCGTGTAATAATTACCCCCATATTTATAATGGTGTTTCTTCGTAAGCCAGATGGGCTACTATTGGCCCTCGCTATGGAAACGTCATGCATACGCATTGTAGTAGCTGCATATATGAATATTCGCTTGAAAACGTCTTAGTCAAGTAGTTAGACACAGACTGACCATGCCGCGCGTTAGTGCATGACTTTTGCATGAATGGTTGTAGCGCTGACGTTGCATGAACGGCGCTTGCATGCGGATTTTGGCGCTGATCAATGAGGGACATAAACCACTATAGTCTAACGACTTGTCATCAAGTCTACCATAGCGATTGCGGGCCGGAGTGGGGCCGAATTTGTATAGGAGTAGCAAATTATATGATGTACGCAGGCAACATTGTGTATAACGTATACCGCATGAACCAACACGCACGTACAGTACATGTACGTGGGTAGGCGTACAAGAGCTTCGTCGAACCGACAAGAAAACCAAATTGGTTCTCAGCCACAAAGCGACGTATCAAACAGGCTTTTCCCTAAGACTCTGCCATGGTTGGTCACCCACCCACACCTACACATGAAAACATGGAGGGGACATTCGACATTGTGTCCCCCTTTACCATATTCATGGGGGGGGACGTGTCCCCCCTGTCCCCCCCGGGATTTCCGCCCATGCACTCAGGGAGCGAGGCCAGAAATATCTGTCTGCGACTCGCTCGTAGCGAATGAGGCCAGAGAAATGTGAGTGTGCTGCCCGAGGGTGGTGGCTTCAAACTGCCTGGCATTCAGGGTGGTGGTTTCAACCTGCCTGGCATTGAGGTCGAGTGAAAAGTAATCCTGCGCCTCGTTTCATTCTTGGCATGAACTGGTTAAGAATACAATAAAGCGAAAAATGCAGTTTAGAAATATTGTTATTATTCTTTGAAGTTTCATAACCGAGCAAATTGTTAAACTTGTTTCCACATGGATATATGGCCTTTTGGGGGAAATAAAGTTGTTTAGATGAGTTTAACATAAATCCTTGTAAAAATAGTGATTAGGTTGTATGATGCTTCAGTTCAGTTTGTTTTGTGTCGTGGGTCACACGGAATGCAGTACATTATTCCTTTGTTGTTCCCCAGCTGTGTTTTGGTCACCGAGGAGGCATACAGAACTATATCCAGGTGCTCATCCACTGGATAGACCAGGAGTTCAACGATCGTAAAAATTGGCAATCCCTCACTGACAGCAATCTGCAATCCTCAGAGAGGTGAGTACATAGATAGGAGAACTGGGGGGGGGAGAAGGGGGTATTAACGATTTGGCAAACAGAAACTTAATTTGTCCTCCCCCATGGGCCACAAGTCGGCCATATTGGTTTGAGAGTAAGGTAAAATCTTCATTTTTGGAACGTGTGTAGAGAAATGAAAGCAATGTCATTACAAATTAATACCAGTCTCTTCTGATGAGTAATTTAAAATTAAACATGCTGTAATGTTTTAAGCCGCATTAAAAAGAAAGAAAGAGAGGCTATAGTGAATAAATAGTCTGGCACCATTCCATTCAGGGAGCACAACAAAAATGGCCACCTCGTGCATAAGGCCCATTTCCCAACACCCCACCTCCCAGCTACCCCCGTGTTACTGATTCCATTGTCTAATTATTTGCCGTTGGTCCTTGTCTGTTACAGCTGGACATACACCTGTCTGGATATTGGCACCTTGGTTCAGTCTTCCTGGGTCTACGGCCAACATTTGAGTGGAACTGCCCTGAGGTTCGAGCGCATTAGAGTGCGCGCGGTGGAGGGACAAGATTTGTTCCTCGACAATCTGTACATCGGAAGCAGCATCCCACAATGTGAGTACAGTAGCCCACCTCAAATTTATGTGACGCTCTTTTTTTTAAAGGTAGAATAATCACTTGTCATTTGAATGCTGTATATTCTGAGAAAACAATATTCTAAGGATCTCAATTTCAATTCAAAATGATAATATTCACGCTGAGTCATGTTTTGAATTGCATCAAATATCAACGTCTGAGACACGTTCTCATTCCGTCTACACGATGTCAGGCACTGAACCGACAAATTGTAGCGACCGCGCACACGTGTACGTCACAACACTGGTGCATCATACCCACACTTGCGCGTGATCATTCACGGCTTCGCCAAATTAAAAACGAACTACAGAAATCTCCAAAAATGTGTCTTTATATGCATCTTTGGAAATGACCTTCTTTTATTGTTTTCTTCAGCAATAACAGCTTGCTAGAAAGAACAATTTCACTGGCAGTTTCGTGCCGTTACTGTCTTTAAACCATAAGCTTTCCAACAATAATTTTGTCACTTAATTTTTGGATAGCTGCAAATGACATACTCTACCTTTAACATGAACAAGCAAAACCCTCTATTCTACACTACAAGTTTATTACTTGAACTGTGGAGGGTTTTAAAATTTTCGTGGTATATGAAAGTCAATTTCGTGGTATATGAAAGTCAAATTAGTTTTGAAATGTTCACATACTACGTTTCCAATTTTGAATAAGTGTCCACAAAAAAATTAAAATATACATCATGTGCCATTCAACAATCTTTCTTAATTCATTCTTATTGTTTTAAAAAATCACCACCTCTCCCAATTTAACAATTTATAAACCAACATACTTTGGCTTAAAATTTGGAAAAAAAGATTGGCATTTAACCTGTTCATGTTATTCCTTGCAGATGTGCGTGAGCAGCGCGCTGCCAGCCCTAACGGTGTATTTGTGTTGGACGCGTCCGTCACCAAGACTCACTTCAGCTTCGACATCACCCTGACGCCGTCCAACTGCGGCTACGACTTCCCGCTGCTGGAAATCAAGGACGCCAACGTCACCGCCAACGGCAGTGAGGTGGCGTGGTACTGGACGGAGACCTGGCCTGCAGACACCATGATCTCTGTCCAGCGGCAGGTGGCGGCTACACCGCCCATTGGCGGGACGTTCGAGATTGAGTTGTACGGCGTGAATTTCAAACGTAAGCTATTTTTCTTCCCCTCTTTTGTTCAGCATCATTCGCAAACTCTGACACTGTGGACTGATTTAGGGAAGAATGCAGAAAAAATTAGTATAGGTTGAGAACTGTTACCAGGGCCCAATTTCACGGCTCTGCTAACCACAGCATTCCAAGCTTAGGGATCACCATTCTGTGCTAACCGCGCTAGCAGAAAATTATGCACTAACCCTGTAAGCACAGAATCCCTAGTTACGGAATGTACAACAGACATATAAATGCATAGGCTGCCAGGTCCTATTAAAAATAAGCATTTCTTGATCTACACGGCGCCCGACTAAAATCAAAACTATGGGCTAGCTCACCTCTCGGTATAGGGATTTTACACACAGTTAAAGAATTCCAGCCAAAACATTCTATGAAGTTATTTTTCGGTTGTAAAAAAAAATTGCTTGTGTACTAACTAGGATTTACATAGATAAACAACAATACGTTACCCAACATTTTCACGCAGATTTTGAGTAACACAGCCTATATTACCCAAAAAATGTATGTGCTGTATGTAAATGTATGTACTTTACTAAGCACGTACCTGCATTGATCGTGCGTCGCATGATTAATGTGCGTCGTCAACAAAACGTTTTGCCCATACTTTTCCAATTCAGGGTTGGCGGTCTATGTGTTGATCGATAGATGACAGTTGTATACCTTTGTTTATCCTTGACAGCCCCTGTTCAGTTGTATCATTTTATATATTCTTAACTTTTTGTTTAATGTCAAAAGATGTAAAATAAATAATAAATAAATAAATATGTATGTGGGATGTACGCATGCAAATTTGCTTACTTAAGTTTACTGTAAGCACAGATTTTTTTCGCTACAGATTTTTCGCAAACGATTAATCAATAAATCAAATTACCTTCCTATTATGGGGGCGTTTCCCCGAATTCCCCAACAAACAGTTCCAGCCCTGGCCACGGCCGACCAGCTGAAGGAGGCCCTCCAAGCCAACCTGGACATCGGCTCCTTGGAAGTCTTCAGAGAAGGCAGCTGCTCGGGTTACTCCTGGGAGGTGGAATGGTTGTCCAAGGGAGGCAGCCAACCCCTTATGAAGGCAAGTCTACAATCGTTAGAAACAGTCGTTGTACAACAGTGATGTCACATTAAGGCTAGTTCCTACTCAATGCCAAAGTGAACAGGAATTTGTAATGAATGTCCAGGCAATTTTCACCGTTGAGTTGCAAAAGTTTGACAAAAAAGTTCATCTTCATTGAATTTCCCTGCAAACATTTCGTAATTTCAAATTTTTGGGCTTTGCATATGCATTCACTCAAAGTTTGAATTGGTCATAATAAGAAGGTTGAAAACACTGACCAAAAGCAAATGGCAAGAGAGTGGCTCGATCAGGCTGGGTTAGACAGATAGTCCCAAAAAGAAAAAAACAGAACCCGTAAAGTGCCCTCTTTTTCACAGCTTTTTTAAATGACATCACAAATATTGATACACATTTAACAAGTAATAGTTCATTGGCTTTTCAACAAAAAAAACCTTTCCAATCAGAAACATATTTACTGAGTTATGGCAAATTCCAAAAAAAGTGATTTTTTTTTTCTCGTTTTGTCCACAGTCTTTAATAATTGTCACTTATTAGGAATGAAATGGATTTGGGGTGACAGTAGTTTTGCTTTCTTTAATTTAAAAAAAATCCTTATTAATAGTGTGTTACCTCCCGAGTGAAAGTTGGAAAAACCGATCTCATTAGCTCTCTGGTCGAGTGGTAAGACATCTGCACTAGAAAGCAGGAGGTCGTGGGTTCGAGTCCCACCCGAGTGATTTTTTTCCAACTTTCACTCGGGAGGTAACACACTGAGTATACAGTGTTTATAAGTCGGTGAAGGGCAAAACCTAATTTGATTTACATCACCACAATGCAAAAATTCCATCTTATGAATTCATAGATGTTTACTGTTTTGCTCTGTGCTCTACTTGGTTGCCTCCTTCACAAGTGCAAGTTTCGGCCCTTGTTCCCATTGCAGCAATCAAGCATCAGTTGCCGTGATCAAAAAACTGCATGATAAACGTTTGATTGATTTGTGATGACTTGGGGTTGACTCAATAGGCCTGAGACCTAATGAGCTCACGCTTTGTTTACATGTTTGCTTTCCTATGTGGTAGCCGGTCCCTACTTCGTCTGGCATCCCGACTTTGCTCCCATAGGAAAGCGCATATGTGAACAAAGCCATTACGTCATTATGTCTTAAGTCTATTACAACTCAGACTATCACAGAAATAACTTCTCTTCATTTGTGAACCATCAGGTGAATGGTAGCGAACTGACAGGTGTGGAGGTTAGCGTCGGTGCTCACCGGGTGGAGGAGGGACACGTGTTCTTTGGTCCCATCCCTGGCGAGTTCCTGAGAGTTGCTCATCCCGAACCACAGGTGAGTCCAAAAATATAAGCACCCTGATTTGTCACCACTACCTTAAATGGAACATGAAATAGATACACAAAGATCTGTTTGTGAAAATAATGAAATCTTTGAACTGTATGAAAATAGTTGGACAACCTTCCTTGGTTTCTTTTATATTTTAATGTGCACACTTTTCACTAATCTCAATATAGAGGGTGTCCCAATAAAAGTTGTGCAAGCAGATATCCTTTAATTTCTCAAAAATATCCTTAAATTTCTCAAAACTACTTTGAGTATTTAATCTTGATGGAGCATATTAGTTATACTTTTGTGTATAATCAGTAAAAATGCCATGAACAGATTTCCATGGCATTTTTACTGATTATATACAAATGTATAGTTGATATGCTTCATCAAGTTGAAGTACTCATGTTTTAGATTTTGAGAAATCAAGGGATATCTACTTGCACAACTTTTGGGAGCATCCTGTACTTGCTGTTTCCTGACACACAAAGCTGTAGCTGCGATATGCCAGACATGCATTCAGGGACTATCTGTACAAATTATGAACCCAAAATGTCAGTCATCATAACATAATGCTCAAAATGTCAGTCATCATAACATAATGCTCAAAATGTCAGTCATCATAACATAATGCTCATTTATTGTCTGTACCAGTAGTGTAATATTGAAAATAAACAAAAGTTACTCAAGAAAAACACAGACAATTGGAATTAGACTTCGACTGAAAAATAAACTCATTTGGTGGATGCAGTAGCTTGAAACAAAGTCATTGCAGGACAACTACAGATACTCTCTTTTTTTTGGTGGGGGAGGAATACCCAATTTGACCAGAACAAAGAATGTGTAAATCTAAAGTCTTAAATAATTCTTCTCTGGAATAATGAATGAAATACACACTAATATAAAGTCAATATAATTAATGGAATGAATTTGTGTTTCCCAGGTGGAGGTCATTGTGAATACGATCCCGTCCAGCTGCTCTGAAGGCCAGTGCTCCTTCCAGTACAGCGACGACGTCACGCCGAAAATCATGAGCTCAACTCCAGCAAACGGTGAGTTTAAAATATATCAAAATAGATGGATATATCAAAAACAAAAATTCCCTTGGCCTACCTTGTGCTAATTACTAATTAAATACCTCCTCCTGTTCATCCCCACAGGCTCCGCCTACCACAGCACTGTCCTGACTCTGAGCGGTTCCGGGTTCAGCACCAACGCCGGTGAGAACAACGTCACCATCGGCGGTGTCATCTGTGACGTCACCTCCTTCAACGAGACATCGGTGTCCTGCTCTGTCGGGCAGGCAGCAGCCGGCCTGTACAACGTCAGCCTGAAGGTGGATGGCCGCGGTGACTCTGATTATCCAAATGGTAAAAGTGATTTCTTTATAGACTCCTTGCACAAATACCCCCTCAATGGCTACAAAGAGAGAGTTGGGAGGGACTGATGACATCACGATGGGAGAGAGAATTCGTCATGTCAAAAATGGATTTTTTTTTTTTTTTTTTTTTTTTTTTTTTTTAAATTATGCTTTAAAACATTGTACTTATTAAACCATTTGAAAGGTTTAATTGAAGGAAAAACACTATTTTGTATTGTATTGTATTGTATTGTTTTATTTTCCATGTGTCACAAATTAATAAAATGCTAATGCAACAGTTTATTTACTACAACAATAACTAAAGTTAATAGAATGCTAATACATGTAGAACACCTTGATCAATTAAACATAAATGGTGATAGATGGGGGAACCAGGAAAAAGCCTAAGCTTATACAGAGCCTGGTCCCGTTTGTGAATAACTTATGAAATAAACAATAATTAAAGCTATAAATTAAATCTGTGATCAATAAATTCATTAATTAATTACTTTGCATAATAGTAGATAAACTGAAGGAAATTGAAATATACTGATTTACAATGTAACAATTTATTATGATGGAATGTGACTTATTCAAATGTGAATTTGTATACGAAAACCTAAGTGTCTTCCATCCACACAGCGTGATAAATATTCACGTTAGGGTGCGTGATATGATTGGTTAAAATAATATGTATGCTGCAGAAAAAGAAATACGTGCCCAGTCATGACACAAAATAAATACCAAAAAAATGGGACATGCGCACATTGTACATCCTTTACATGGTGCCCCGATGTGCTGTATTCTCGTAAAATCTCGCAGGTTTTTGAGGTCAACTTACATGATCTATTAAATTTGTTAAGGAGAAGAAAAAAAACGCATCTTTAACATGATAGTTCTCCTTGTTTACCTTTCAGTCAACCTTTGTGGTTAAACCTATTGTAATTTGTAAAACGATGAAGTTATTAAACCACGGTGTAATTTTGCAATCTCACCTAATTCGATGTGATTTTTTTTTTAGGACCAATCACGTTCAAGTATGAACTAGGAGTAACCAATATCACCCCAACAGCTGGTAGCACCGCAGGTAAGGAATTCTAGCTTCAACATTTCCAGTTCTATAAAATATATGGTGCGAACTACCATTGGTGGAGCACTGGAGTTGTAGTTTAGAATGTCTCAGGTTCAGGTTCCAATATTTCTTTTGCACTAACATTTCAAAGACGTATAGAGTCACTTTCCATGATGTTTTTTAAAGGAACGAATCATTTGCTTTTTGTTTATTTAAGTGGGTTTTTTTTTTAAGTGCACAAAAATTGCCAGAAAATCTTAAGTAGAGTGCGTAATAACCAAACATGTAGAAGTTTCAGCTAACTGCTGCTATTCATTTTGAGGAGACAGAGAAAAGATATGTACAAATTTGTTTGGTCTCGTAAAACCTGATTCTGTTGTTTAAACACACGTTTCTGGGTCAGCTTCTGGGTAATTAATACCCATGTTCCTACCTGTCCTCAATAAACCATTTCCATTTTCCAAATGCACCTCTGCAGCTTGAAATTGGCCAAATTTCAGTTCAGTATAAACACAGCAAATCTATGTACACATTTTCTTTTGTTACATATTTCCCTGTGATTTGTATAACATTTGATTTTTGTGACCATTTTTATTCAGGCGGTACCAGGGTAACCATTGCAGGATACGGCTTCAGTGAGGAATTGGAAAACACTGCTGTATTGTTTGGTTCGCAGACCTGCGTAATCGACACGATCGCTTATGACGAGATCCAGTGTGTCATTGCCATGGACACTCAGGTATTTTGTAATGAAATTAATTGCAAATAACTAGATATTTTGTGATGAAAGTAATTGCAAATATCCCCGTTATGATCTGCAAAATGATTAGGAAATTACATCTGGGGTCACTTTTATTTAAAAAATTGTCCCTTTGCAGAAAAATTGTGCAATTCTTAAAGGAATATTCCACAGTGCATGCATGATTTATTATTATTTATTTTTGGTAATGGAACCAACTCCTCAAAAGTGCCTTAGGCACTGTAGCTTGCAAGCCTGAAGAAACCTGTAGAGAGGATGAAATGAAAAGAAATTACAGTTTTAGAGATGGGAGGAATACCCCAGAAGAATATTCTCGGGAAAACTTACGGAATGCGACTAAGAACCCAGACCACATGTTGGCCCAGGCAGGATTCGATGGCAGGCGAGGAAAGTACCGCTAGCCAACCTGACTCCCCATGATAATTTCTTTCGTCTTTTATATTTGTGCTTTTACTGCTTGTCTGTGAAATGGACACACTGGCTTTGTTGGTAGGGATTAAATTAAGTAGCAGGTGTTGGAAGAACAAGAAACACATACGGAAGGATCTAAAGGTTCATACATTTCAATGGAAATTTTTCACTCGTTTTCTTGCAAAGATAAACTAGAAATTTCAATTGTTATTAAGAAGTACTAGTGGTTGAATAAGAGTTTTCATGGGGGATGTTTAACTACAAACCCTCTTCATCCTTTGCAAACATATCTCTGGTCATTTTATGTTTTTCTTGACAGTATTGACTTTCTCTTTTTTCATTTTAGGAGTCCAGACGTAAGCGTCGCTCTACTCTGGAGGTGGACCTGATCATCGTGGTGAACAGCCAGACTTTCACCGAGCAGGATATCTTCACCTTTGATTCATCCCTGACCCCAACAATCGTTGGGATCAGTCCCAATGTGTCTAGTGTGCAAGGTAATTACACAAAAATATTCTGTCGAAAAAAAATGTAAACTCGGTAATTTTAACCATATCCTGAAAACTTAGCACATTTCCAATTGAAGTCGGTAGGTTTGAAACCAACACTTTATGTTGCTTCCCCAATCGTGCTCCCCACCATCCTTCAACCCACGGTCTTCCTAGATGGCTCATTCTCTTATCTGTTTCCCAGTCTTATTTCCTGTGTCCAAGAGTCGTTTTGGACTACAGTGGAACGTCACTATACCGAACATTGGGCTATACAGAACATCGTTCTTGGCTCCCAATTTTTGTGTACAAAATGTACCGAACATTGTTGTTGAAAATTGTCAACATAAGAGTGACAAGTGGCTATTATTTCCCCAAGGAATAGAAAGGAAAAGCCACCATTGCTGTAGGTAGTAAGCTCAAAAACTGTGTAATTACATAATTCAATAGTTGGCACGTGTTCAAAGTCGTCTTTCAGTAGCCCAGGCGTGCAGGGTGAAGTTCTGAAGGGCGTTATTTGTTGAAAGTGAATACCGGAGCACCAGCAGCTTAAAATCACTATACCGAACGATCGCTATTACGAACAATTTCTGTGGATCCTGCAATGTTTGTTATAGCGGCGTTTCACTGTATAGATGCTCCCTGCCTTTTCTTAGCACTATCTACTAAAATCAAGCAAAACAGTTGGCAGATGCATAAAGCAACAGATTTGTTCAAGTTCTGGCCAAGAATTTGAGACCGTCACTCTTGATTGCCATAAAATCAATTTGTTTAACTCTTTCAGTGCCCGTGAAATTTGAAAAGTTTAACCCTAAAGTGCCCAACTTCGAGCGTTTTTGTTAATTGTTCGAAAGTCTGTAAACAAAAAAGTAAATAAGTTTTACTCACTACATTTGTTGTTGTTGCTCTCTGGTACATCCTTGGTATATTGGAAAGTCAAAAGTAGTCACAAACATAGTGATACACCCTGAAACACTGTCCTGCACACAGGGGAATTCCGCACTTTTTGCAGAAAATACGAGATTTATTGCTGCGCCCTCTCGCAAGAACTCGAATGAAAAAATAAATACAGGTCGTACATGCATGAAAATGGTACCATTAGAAAGAGCGAGAGCGCCCCTTTTTGATAACATATTTACTCTACCTCGTACATGTACGAGGTTTGGCAATTTTAAGTACGAACATTACCTCGTACATGTACGAGTTTGGCACTGAAAGAGTTAATAAACAAAACAAAATCGCCACATCAGTCATTTTTTTTTTAATTAAGGTTGTTTTAAACAGTCTCAAATCAGTCCATCACCCCCCAAAAAGAGATGAGTTTGGGATAGTGTGCTGTTTTGGAGTTTCCAAGAAATAGCTACAGGGATTGTTTTCCTGAAAAAAAGTATTCCTTGAATCCTTTGACTTAAATTTAAAAAATCTGCACTTCAAGAGTTTTGTGTAGCAAAAATCACTAGGTATCAAGCCTTGGTATCAAGAAAGGTTCATAAAATCAAACCACACAGGAGTATATTCTTTGAAATTGAGCCACACATCCTCAAACGGACACATTTTTGGAAAATTATTTTGTCTTGTTTTCTTGTAGGAGGGGGTGTTCTTGTCATCTCTGGCAGCGGCTTTGGAAGCAGCGGCGCCTCAGTAGCGATCGACGAGGTGGACTGTGCAATCATTAGCCAGGCGGACACTGAGATCAGCTGCACAATCCCTGAACACGCACCGGGAACCTTCCAGGTCATCCTGGAGGTATCTGGCCAAGGGTTTGCCGAAGCCAAGTGAGTTATTGAACTGCTGTGTGACCAAGGGATGTAGTTGAGTCCATCACAAGTCCGTACAAGTCCATCACAAGTCCTCCAGTCCCAATTCAAATCACAAGCTATTCAAGTGAGCTTCGACAAAGGCATTCCTTTCTTTTATTGATCTTCTGTCGTTTCTTTGTGACTGGACTTAATTGTGAATGGACCCGTGAATTACTTGTGACTGGACTTGTGATGGACTTCACTACATCCTGAACTCCGAATGAAGTTGTGTTGATTGTGAATTTCAATGTGTAAAGAAGCCATGATAGTGAAAGGAAAACAATTTTTTTTTAACAGATAAAAGGTTGGAAACTCCATAAATTGCAATAATGTCATTAACAACTTAGCCTTCTGTTGGTTGGTATGATTTGCTGGCTTTCCATCCAATTTTTTTCTGTGATTTTTTTTAAACAGCGGCATGAAATTCAAGTATGAGCTAGATGTAACGGGGATGTTCCCCGACCGCGGTTCTGTTCAAGGCGACACCGTGGTGACTATCACCGGTGTGGGCTTTGGCAGTAACGCCAGCGACGTCTCGGTCAGTATGGGCGGCGTAGAGTGCGCGGTGGACTCGGTGGCCAACGACAGTATCCAGTGTGTGACGACCACTTCAGAGACCACTCATTATGTGGACAACTCCGGCAAGCACCAGTGTAAGTGGTTATTGGCTTCTTTCAGTGTAGTATGCTTTGGCAGACCTCGGAAAGGACATGGTTAGGCAGTTTAATAATAATAACAATAATCATAATTTGAGAGGCTAATCATCCTTACTGGCAGCTGGGATGCTGAATTGCGAAGGACACGGCTACAACGTGGTTGGGCCGCTGGCTGGTAAAGAAGCCTATGGCCACATCGACCCATATATGACCACGGAGCACAGCCTGAGATCAAAAGTGTTTGATATTTCCAGAGGGAGGAAAATAAGAGGGCCCGGAGAAAAAGCCTCGTGGCACAGGAGAGAAGCAATGCACAACTCTACCCACATGTGATCCGTGGCCGGGATTCAAACCGGGGTCATGCCATTAGCCTGCTAGCCCCCCCCCCCCCAACTACCACCCCCCCCCCTTCAGCCTAACTTTTTTCATTTTTTTCCACTATGGCCTGTGCCGTTCAATCTCATTTTACCAGAACGCCTCACAAATATGCTGTAATTTGGTGTTAGGCTCCCTTATTCACCTTCTGTACTAGTAAAAAGACTTCATAACGGGATTTGAAAATTGAAATCGTAGGATGAGTTACTCATTATCAGACTATACCCTATCTATCTCTGATTCCATCTGCAGTGTACGGTGTGGGCTACAAGTGGGACCCCCAGGTTCTGTACATCACGGCCGGTGACGTCGTGGTGTGGCAGTGGGCCGTGCAGCAGCAGGTGACGGGTATCGGATACGCCATCATGCAGACGGCCGATGCTGATGCTGTCATGTACGATGGACAGGGATTCTACAGTGGTGCCCGGTCCTCAAACGGTAACTAAGAATTCTAGTTTCCTTCTTTCTTTCTTTTTTTGGTGAACAAAAATTCTGTTATCCTTTAACCCTTTCATTACCCCATTGTTTGCTTGGCTCTCCCCATGACCAAACTGTTTGCTCAGTCATGCGGAAATCACTAGAGCGTGAACAAAATGAGCACAAGTCCAAAACTCACTTTTTTCAACCCAGATTTTCATTGCCAAGGAGTGATTTAAATCATAAGTGTTGTGTGTAAAGTTTGTTCCTTGAACCTTACTCTTTTATGTGATGTAAAAATGTAGTCCATATGTCTAAATATAAGAATGTTATGCCTGTTTGTTCATCTGGTTCCATTTATCAAACTGCAAGACATTTCACCACATGACCAAATGGCACTCCATACCTCATTTTGTGCGTGGATACTTCTGAAGCACTTTTCTCATTTTTTTGTAATGGCAACACTATGAATAAACTACACCATTAGAACGATCCGAAAACACTCTTTCAGCTGGTATATGGTTGATGTATGGACGGCCAAACATATCAACATGCCGCCTTTCTGAAAAGTAGTGAATATATCTGTGTTGAGGGTGTTCTGTGTGTGGTTTCCTGGTCGACTAAAGTTGCCCATGGGAACCAGCAGGGGGGTTCTTCTTGTCGACAAAAGCCGCCCATGGTAAAGAAAGGGTTAAATGAGACTTTCAAACGAGACAGAGAATACGCTTCCTTTCCTGAATTTTACCTGAAGTGTGGGCTAAGCACTTGAGGTTCAAGAGAATAAATTTGCTCACTATCCTAGTGCGATTTAAAAAGTTAAGAGTTACATAATTTTATCATGCCTGTTATTTCTTGCAAACATTTAGATATTGATAGACCATGTAAATTGGAGTCACCAAAATTGAACCCCCTCCCCATTCAGCGGCTGACTAATGTTATGAAATGTAAAATGGAACGAAGTGGAATGCTAAAGTTCCTAAATATATTCTTATCTTTAGACTTAAACCCCCCTTATATCAACACCCCCCCCCCCTTTTTCTGCAAGCTAGATCTGTCCCTGTGTTTATCAAACTGTTCAGCCAAAATTTTAATTTTTCTATTATCATTGACATTGTTAAAAATACAGTACAGACTAATACCCTAGCACTAGCATTTATTATGGTACTTGCTTAATTTTCTTAGCATTTAGTAATTATCGTTGACATTGTTAAAAATACATCGGTACACATCTTTCTGAGACTAGCACCCTAGCACTAGCATTCATTATGGTATTTTTATTTTGTTAGCCATCTCTTGTTCCTGGCTTTAACCAACTTTTTTTTCGCCAACCAATAAAGTCAATTTATTTGATCAATCTTCCCCCCGAAACATGTTTTCCTCACACAGACCAGGTTAATATTGTTCAGTTACCGACAGACACGTCACAAATGGCTGACTCTTGGTTCTTCCCCTGCAGGTGCTTTTGCTTATAAGTTCTCCACCCCCGGCACATACTTCTACTCCAGCGGTCCGGTGGATGAAGACGGGACGCTGTTCATGAAGGGAACGGTCAAAGTCAACGAGCCTACCGCTACGTCAAACAAACTGTTGGTTACAGTAGCCGGGTACGACGCCCTGCACGACACTGATTCAGGTATGCTGTGAGGATCAGAGAAAACAGACAAATTTAAGTTTGCTTGATCGGTAGATGATCGTTAACCAGTTCACGCCGCATGACATGTATACCCGCAAAGGTTTTTGGAATTTGGAACGGATGATGGATAAACACGCAACGAGCGAGGCCGGAAATATCTGTCAGCGACCCGCTCACAGTGTGTTCAAATGCCAGTTTCGGCTTTGCACCTCTGCGTATACGTGTTGCCGCTGAGAAAACCAAGCCACAATTTTATGTCACAAAAAAATGCTCAAAATTCACTGCAGGCTCTATGCCGTGAAAAATTCATTCTTAAGAGCTTCCAATTGCAACCCGATATGTCTGATACATTAATTTGAGGACAATTTTAGTAAAAAAAAGATAGAAATTCATATGTTTTGACCCTGTGTCAATCGGCTTCCACGGATGTAGTGATGACATTACACATTAAGTTGATAGGGATATGTGATACGGACTTGAATTGCAAACCTACTGAAACTCTCTAATGTCGGCTTGGTATTTTCCAACTGCAGGTGTGACCGAACCAGTTAGTTCAGACAGTTGTCCGGGAAGTGACACGGCTATCCCATCATGCACCGTGCCCCCTGCAGAGCAACCAGACGATTCCAGTTTCTACTATTCCTACTGGGCTTGCAGCACGCCCATTGTTGATGACTTCAGTCCAAAAGTGTAAGTGATATCCATCTTTAATTGGCAAAATGAGACTGAAAATCATAACTTCCTGCTTTACTCTCAGACTCAGCCTCCTGATACTAGGAGTACAATGCCCATTGAGTGCATACCAAACATTCTTGGGAAAATATAGCAATCACCAACTCTTCATGGATGTTGATCGGTGGAGGACGTGGTGGGGGGGGGGGGGTTCGCCACCTTTTAAATTTAGGGATTTCATATTGTTTGTCTCCCCCCCCCCCACTGATGATCTTTTGCTCAAACAATGGGTTTAAATAATCAGAAATTGCCTCAGATTGCACCACAGAGTGTCTCTAGAATCCATACTTCCGAGGCCCTTAAGCGGGCCCCGAACCCCATACCATAGGGCTTCGCGCTTCCCATTTGCATTAGTTCTGATCAAGGCTTGTTCCTCCCTACTTTTTAGAAGTGATTGACGACCTTGTGCTGCTTATTAGCAAGACATGAGACACATTCAAAATGTGTACACAAATAGTGTTAAACTTATACAATATTTGAAATTTCAAATTGGGGATTTGACGAGCCTCCCTAATCTTAGGACAGGGTACATGCCTGATCAAGCTGAATGAACTGATTTTAGAGGTTTAATATTAAAGCAATAGTATTCCACAGTCTTTTTGTATTTACAATTCATACTTTGTCTTTGGTTTTGTTTATCAGGGGCACCCCAGACCAGATCATCAACATCACTGGAGTGGGCTTCAGCAACACACTGTGCGAGAATGAGATCTCATTTGGTGGCTACTCCTGCGTTCCCCAGTCAGCCTCCAATGTCTCCTTGACCTGCCTAGTGGACACAGCAAGCAGCATGCCGGTTGGTGAGCCTCTTGCCATCTCACTGGTTGTCAAGAACCTGGGCTTGGCGCTGATCCAAGTCCCGACACCAGCCGACCTCGGATTCACCCTCAAGCCACAGATTGACGCGCTCTCCGTGCAGAGTGGGGCGATTACGGGCGGCACAGAGATCGTCATTTCTGGAGACGGTTTTTCATCTGGCGACATAGCGGTGTGGATCGGGAACAGCGGTTGCGTGGTCCAAACGGTTGCCTACACGCAGGTGGTGTGCGTGACGACCGCCGGCAATGCGGGCAGCGCCGAGTTGCAGCTTGAGATTAACTCCCAGTGGGCTAGCTGCAACGGCGACTGCAGCTTTGAGTTCTCCGAGGCCATGACGCCCCTCGTTGACGCCATCTCCCCGACCACCGTCTCCGGTGCCAGCACCTCCATCCAGATCTTTGGCTACGGATTCATCAACGAAACATCGGACATCACCGTCACGATTGGCGGGGTCGCGTGTGTCGTCACTGCAGCCCACGATGAAGAGATTGAATGCGATGTCGGGTACGTGCCCGTCGGCGACCAAGAAATGGTCGTCAACATCGCCGGCAAAGGTGATGCGTTCTTCAACACCAGCAACATCATCAACAGTGCCATGGTCATCGATAGCATCAGTCCCACTTCCGGAAGCACCGAAGGTGGCCAGACCGTCACAATCCTCGGCAGCGGTTTCGTGGACGGGAGCACCACAGTTGACATCGACGGCGCAAACTGTGCCGTTCAGAGTGTGTCTCTCTATGAGATCACCTGCGTGACCTCTGCCCATGCGGCAGGTATTGTTGACCTCGTGGTGACCTCACAGGGTGAAGCCTATCCTGCCGTCAATTACGAATACTCGGCTTCTGAAACGCCAACGATTAGTTCAGTCTCTCCTGGCTCAGGTCAGTTTTTTTGTTAACTTTCTGTCAATATCAAAGAGATTTGTAACTTTTAAATTCATTGTTAAAGTTGTTCTTTTTTTATAAATCTCATTTCGAGATCTGTTACTATTTCGGTAATGTTGCGTCATTTGACTTTCTTCACTTTTGCAGGTGTTACTGGCAACAGCATCACAATCAGCGGCTCCAGTTTCAGCACCACCACGTCCGACGTTAGCGTCTTCATTGACGGCGTGCTCTGCACTGTCAGCAGCGCGGCCGTTGATTCTATCAGCTGCACCCTGGGACCCCACTCAGCCGGTACATACACCGTGGTGGTTAACATCGAGGGCAAGGGCCTGTCGGGAAGCGACACCATGTTTGAGTACGAGCTGACTGTGTCGTCCGTAAGCCCTATAGAAGGTGAGTTAATGTTGTTTAGGGTTTAGTTTAAAAATAATAGAATTAAGATGCAGGGATGTAGTCCAGTCCACCACATGTCATCACAAGTCCAGTCACAAGTCCAGTCATAAGTAACAGTGGATGAACAATAACAAAGCAATGCCTTTGTCAAAGCTCATTTGAATAGATTGTTGAGTTGCATGGGGACTGGAGGACTTGTGATGGACTTGCAGGGACTTGTGATAGACTTGACTACATCCCTAAGTAGAGGCTGCCAGAGCACAACTTAACTCTTTCGCTACGGAATTTAATCTACCTTTTTCGTCCCAACTGGACGTAATTAAAAGCTGAAAATTCCGCCGAGCGTCGATGTGGGCGCCGCCATCTTTGAATGTATCTCCGTAAACAAACTGCTCACAATAACCAAAAGCGCACCCCGGCCAGACGGAGAGCCGCTGGCAGCGGCTCAAACTAGGGTCAGAGGTTATACGATATAAATTATGTAGATATTGCCCACGTCATAGGGATACCCTGTTTATTCATAGCGACGCAACCGAGCCGTTGCCAGCGGCTCGCCGTAGCGAAAGAGTTAAGTTAATTTATACACGGTACATAATATTTAACATCATTCGTTAAGATGGAATTTGCGTCGGGGTGATGTAGATTCAACGTTACGTTTTGCCCTTCATCGCACCGACGCAAATTCCATCTTATGAATAGTTTCATTGCGGTATCCACTGCTAAATCAGATTCTGACTATTTCATACATTTTTTTGTTTCCAAGTTTCTTCTGTAGATTTAATTGAAGGTCACTTTGACTGGAACTGGCATTTTTTTAAAGAATCATGTCCAATAGAGTGTAGGAATTGATTAAATACATGAAAATACTGTAATTAGAAATTGCTAAATGATACATCATCTGTGGGTGCCCTTGACTTTCTAAAAAGTGTGTTCAACAATCTCTGCATCTTTACTTGAATTTTTGCTAACCTAAGGTTTATCCAAACTTGGTTTTCTTCTGGGAAACTAATAATTTGTTTTTGGCACATAAGAGATCAATAAGTGCTATTTTTGATGTTTTCAGGGAGTTTTGGTGGTGGTCGTATCCTGTCCATCGACGGCGCTGGTTTTGATGAGACAGCCGTTGTCATGGTGTGCAACAATTCCTGTCCACTCGGCAACTCCACGTCCTCCTTGATCGAGTGCGAGGTCCCTGCCAATTCAGGTCAGAGAATTTCCCTCTTTTTGAGATAAATGTTCCCAAATCTATGACGATATTGCTGTTTCTATGGCAGTTGCTTATTGCTAATCTTTGGTGTTTTTTCCCCTGTAAAAATCTTGAGTGAAGACTGCATTAAAGGGACAGTTAATTTTTCTTTAAGGCCAAAAAAAAAAAGTCTCCGGTTTCTGGTATGCGCGCACGTCGCCGTAGCCATGCGCGTCAGCAAAATGAAAAAGGTTTTTTTTCAATGAAAGATGATGTCTCTAAACCGCCAAACTCACTGGTTTGACTGGAATCCTGCTGCTGCACAATTTAAACGTGTTTTTAGATTGGGTTATGGTCGAGAATAAGCTTTATGTGGCCTCTCTGGACTCCCATATATTTGCACTAAGTTTAGTCGGACACAATTTGCAGTCATCAGCCGACATTTGACGCCAAAAACTCAGGTAAAAAAAAAGAAGCCGCGTCGCCGCACCACTTTTTGGGCAAGCTCCATACCAAAAACTGGAGACTTTTTTGGGGGGGCCTAATCAGAATGTTATTTCCGATATTATGATAATTAGACCAAAAAAACCTTTTTTTTTAAAACTTTTTATAAGAAGATAACAAGAGTTTCCAGGGTTAGTTTTTCATTTTACAACAACCACCTTGACAAATATTGGAAATTTGTTTAATGACCCTTATGCAGATTCAGTAGTCATTTAGGGCCTGTCTCAATTCATATCCGGGATGAGCTCTGGACATGTTGAGGACATTGTATCGGGTATATTAGTGGCAGGATTTTGAACAACTTCCCCCGCAATCTTCCCACAGTGAAGTTATCGGTCTTGAATGAGTCAAGCAGTTGCTGATGAAAAAGTTCCCGGAACATGTCCAGGACAAAGTGAATGATTCTACCCGTAACTTGTCCAGAACTTGTCCCCGACGTGAGTTGAGATGGGCCCTTACTCAAAATCTCAAACTTCACCATGTGTTAAGGGTTTTTCACAGATAACATTGACCACATTGGCAATTTTCTTAGCAACATTCCTAAGCACCTCCATGAAATTGAACCCTAAAATGGCACTTTTTAAAAATCTCTTCTATATCTGGCTGGTTGCAGGTAGCGGCGAAGTCGTTTGCGACGTCACAGTCACCCTGGACAGTGGGGCCACTTTTACCGAATCAGATGCCTTCACCTACAAGACTAGCCTGACGCCGGTCATAGACTCTGTGGAGCCACGGCGTGGGGGCACAGCAGGTGGAACGACCCTCAACATCACTGGATCTGGATTCGAGTAAGGGGATAATACTGTGATGGAGCAGTTATTAATGAGTGGTTTAATACCGATTAGTAGCCTGGATGCCTCTATTAAGGACTGAACTAAGGACTAAGCATTGTGGTCAAAAATCATTAAAAGTCATAATCGCTCTAACAATTTTGTCTACCATTTTGCGTTATGTCGTTGTTCAGGCCCCTTCTATGGTGTGTGTGACATGTGCGGTGTACTCAGCTGTATACCTTTCTTTCTGTTGTAAACATTCAGCACCATTTTGTATGGGCTGCCACAAGGGTGTAAATTGAAGCCGTGGTGGGCAACAGATTTTATCAAAAATTGTATATTAACACCCTCATGTGGAAAAAGAGTCATTTTTGTTAACTCTTTGGTAGTAATATTTTGTCTGCTCAATGTGCTTGGAAATACTAACACTATTCTTAATTCTTTATTTTTGCAATGTTGACCATCCATAGTTTGCCAAACCATAGCAGTACTTAGCAAAAAGTGTCAGCCACTGGACCTGGCAAAGAAAGGTCTATAGACTAATTCGGCAACAGCTATTTTCTGTGGTGGCGCCATGCAGGCACATGCGAATTGCTCTCAGGTAGTAGGCATGCACTCCGGGCTCCTTCAACCAATGGGGCCTCCAAAATGCGAGCACATTGTCTTTAAGAAGGCGTGTGGCGTGCACACGGAGGTGGGACCACCGCAAAAAATGGCTTCTAATTTTGTTTTACACAATGGTCCATTTACACAATAGTTCATTTTGCTCAGTCCTAGCCAACACATGCAACATATGTACTACATGTTCTACATAACCCCAAAGGACCGACACACAAAGGGAGAACAACAGATCCTTTCAGTCCTCGGGCATTGGGTCTTTTGTTCAAAATGGTCCTCTGTAGTAGGTTCTTGTGCTTAGTCTATGGAAGAGTGTTATATTACAGGGACAAAGGGAAACACAAAGCATTGTCCTCGGGAGTATAGTAACACAAGAGTGTGTGCATGTGGCATGGAGGGGAGGATCCAGAGACCCGAGGTTCAAATCAACCTTTGTTATTACAAATATTATTTTTCACATTTTACAGGTCATCTGGTAACGTTGTAACAATCGGAGGGTCAGCCTGCACCGTCCAATCAGAATCCACCACCGAGATCATCTGTGAGACCGGGGCTCACAGCCCGCCGGAGATGACCAAAGTCCGAGTTGAGGTCGGAAGCAACGGTATCGCGACCCAGGTAATCTTTTTTTTTTAGTTTCACCTCTAAAAATTGATTCGTTTTTTTCAATTGCTGCTTTCTTAGAAATATAAAAGTTATTCATTTTTGAATGAGAAATCGAACAAAAAAAAATCCACAGACAGTTAGTTATTGAATTATTTCTTCACAAAAATCAAATTATTGGCTTCCTGACAATAATTCAGTTTTCGCAGGGCGAGTTCATATGTGCACAAGAAAATAAAGTTCCTTCTTCAGAGAGTTGCAGAGGCCTAAACCAGAATAGAGTAGTATTTTTGGTAAAATATACATACAAATAGCAATCCGCACTAATGACATCACTTTTGCTCCGCGTTGTACGCACGCATATCTTGGATGTCAGACAAACTTTCAAACAATCACACACGCGCGTGCATGCACACCTAGCCGCATAATTTGCATAGAAACTGTGTTGCAAACGCGTGTAATCTTCAAACGAGAAGTTCGTAAAGGATGTTTACAACAAAAAGGGATGGATCTGCGATTTATTGTCGGTAACCACGTCGCAGGCCCACAGACATGATCATTTCTAAACCTGGCATTTGTATAATTCTGGACACTAGGAGTATGTAATCAAAATTTCAGCCTCTATCAGGTAAAAATACGAACAAAAAATGCGGTATAATTTTTGTGCCATGGTTCTCCCTGGACGTCATGCTTGTCTGAGATCCGGGTACTTGCCAAACGCTCAGCTTCGTGCGGAGTGCTATTGAAAAGTTGTTAGGAGAAAAAATCTTGTTTTAAAGAGCTCAGGGTATACATCTTTAATGCGTGAGGACTATTTTGAGAAATGTCTGATTGTTTTCCAGTAATATGTAAATAATTGTTGACCTTTTAGGACAATGCCGATTTCTACTACATTGATGTGTGGTCCTCTCGCTACACCTGGGGTAACCAAGACCCGCCAATAGCGGGCGACTTTGTCATCGTCCCGGCCGGCCAAACCCTGCTCCTAGATGTCACCACCCCCATCCTGAAGATGCTTCTCATCCAAGGTAAAATTCCTCTTCTACCCATAAAAATCACGAAAATGACATCCTATTTTTCACACTCATTTTTAATACATGTATAAACTAAATAGAGATATAAAGCCTATATGCACACTGTTACTGTTTAGGTCAGAAAAGTGAATGCTGCTTGAAACTTCACGCAAATGCAAATTTGATATTGAGAAATATTTGCAGTCGGAAATGAAGTTTTGAGTTTGTTTATTTTGTGTTCCCTTTGTGCTCGAAGTCACCCTTGTGTTAAGGTGCCTTTAGAGGGATCCTAGCACAATCTTTCTCAAAGCAAAATTTAGCCCAATAATTGGGCAGTATGAAATAATTGAACTACCGTGCTGATTGTTTTTCATTATGACAACAAAAAGTCTACATTTTTCAATTCTCCAGTTCTTACACACGGAATGGTGTCTAGTCTGAAGTAAAAATGTATGCTCAGAGAGCTTACTGTCTGAACTTATCAAAACTGGCAAGTAAAGGCATTACAGAAAATAAAAAAACCTGTGCCCTAAAAATGCGGGATGGGTCATTTGATCCCCCTCGCCTTGACTACTGTCCTGGAATTGGTCCATAAAGAGAAGGAGCAACGCAGTGGCAACACAGAAGAAACGGAATCGCAATTTTTATCCCTCATTTCAGGTGGTCAGGTCATCTTCGATGAGGCCGACATTGAGCTCCACGCCGAGAACATCCTGATCGTCGACGGCGGCCTTTTGCAGGTGGGCACAGAGGAAGAACCCTTCCAGCATGAAGCCACCATCATGATGCACGGCCACGTCCGCTCCCAAGAACTGCCGCTGTTTGGCGCTAAGACCCTGGCTGTCCGGAATGGGACCCTGGACCTGCACGGTAAGCTGGATCCCAGTGGGCTTCATGCAAGCAATGTTGTGGAAGTTGTGAATCAGGTTTTTGGATCAAGGGTGAAAAATCTGGTAGTCATTTTGTGAAAAGAATGACATGATTTCCTTCGTGAAAAAAGTTTGAAAGTGGGATGGAGATGCTAGTAGAGGCAGTGAAATGACACTTCCAATTCTTTAAAAGATATTGACAACGGGGCAAGTTTTTGGTCTAATAAATAATTCATTCATTTATTCCTGGGCCACTCCAGTGCCGAGTATTGGCTCAACAATTAGCTTTACTGTTATTGAAAATTTACAAACAAGACATTGAATTGTCCTCCTTGGACCCTTAATCTTTTTACTAATTATTGAGACCTGTCCATTTTGTATTTACTTATATTTTGTTGCGTCAGTGCAACAAGGTCATAATTCGATTCTGCAACAAAGTCGTGTTTCATGCGAATATGCTCTGTGCAACAAGTTCATATCTCGCGTGTTGTGACGTCCATTGACTATGTGTGTACATCTGGGTTACTTTAGGCGAGCTAAAACCTTTTGACATGGAAAACTCATATTTCATGTACATGACGTTACAAGCTATTTTAGGAGGTACGACCTTGTTGCACGGACACAACAATTTATAGTAGTTGCTGTCAACAAGGCTAGATGTCACTTATCGTTAGAGACTAAAAAAACCCCAGAAAAACAGAGAAACAAATGGACATACTTAAACAAAATGTGAGACACCCCCTTACATAACACAAGACAATGGTGCTAAAAAGCCGTTTCCGAGTCATACTCGGAGTGAATTTGTGATGTCATCATTTTCTGCATGACCTGAATCCATTTCAACTCCAGCAATTTTCACACAGTGAGTGTTCACATTGCATTCGCAAGACATGCGAACCATCCTGAAATTCTCCTACGCGTTTTGTCTCTCTGTCATCCAGGCAAGCCGGTACCCATCACATGGACACGTCTGGCCCAGACATCGGCTGCAGGAGCTACCCGGATGGTCCTGGAGCAGTCAGTCACCTGGAAGGCCGGGGATCAGATCGTCATCGCGTCCACGGGGCATCGGCACAGCCAAATCCAGAACGAGTTCCTCACAATAACAGGTTCGCAAGCCAAATTTTCTTTGAGACTTCACAAACTTGTAGATATTGTGTTAAAAAAAACCTCTACCCCTCCCGGTTCAAAGAATGCATTGTTTTATGGCTTCGAAATCGAAATGCATTGTTCCTAATTCCTAAGATCCTAATGTGTACTCCCAAAAACCTTTGGATTCGGGGGAGAAACAGTCCAGGTCTGTCAAATTGCATCAAAATGTCATTATGCCTAACTACATTATTGAATTTCTTTAACGGTAATCCCAAAGTCTGGATTTTGATGGATTTTAAAGGATTCTGGACTACAGAGCCCAGGCACTACTCCTTTATATCAGGCTTGATGTCCCAACAAAAATAATCTGTCATATTCAAACAGTGCAACAGTGTTGGATTTAGTTTGATTCTGGGCATAGCTCCATAACCTTATCAAGGGAAATTGAGAACGTAAGTTTTTGACGAAACCCATAGAATGTTATTTAAAAGTAATTCTGCTTTAAGATTAAGAAGGCATAATCTTTTCCAAATGCTTTTGTCACAGCTGTTTCCGTGGACGGAACCGTCTTGGACTTTGAGCCCGCACTGGAGTACGAACACTACGGCTTCACCCAAGTCGTTGAGGGCGTTGTGCTGGAAATGCGCGCCGAGGTCGGGATGTTGACCCGAAACGTCAAATTCAGGGGATCAGTCCAAGATGAATGGACGGAGACCATCGAGGCCTGCCCACATGAGTTTGACACAAGTAGGTTATGCCAAAATCTGATTTATAAAGTTAAAGCTTGGTATGTGTCATTTGCCGCGACAATCTGAGAGAGAAGACTCAAAAATTATAATCTGAGATTTCTACTGTGCTGGGATGCAGCAGACAAAGAGCTTTCTTATGGTATTTTCTGACTTTTGAAAGAGTTGATTGTGATGGTTTGTTTGTCTTTGTCTTTTAGATCAATTTGCTACTCAGACCTGCTTCCTGGGCCGTTTTGGTGAGGAAACGGGAAGCGACCAGTTTGGCGCCCAGATGATGCTGTTTGCCAGGTACCAGGATGAACAACTGGTCACCGGTCGCATTGAGTATGTGGAGGTCACCCATGCAGGTCAAGCTTTCCGCCTTGGCCGCTACCCGATCCACTTCCATCTCAACGGCGACGTGTCGGGATCCTACGTGCGCGGTTGCGGCATCCACCACACCTTCAATCGCGCGGTCACCATCCACGCTGTACATAATCTCCTTGTGGAGCACAACGTGGCCTACAACATCATGGGCCATGCCTACTTCTTGGAGGATGGCATTGAGACAGGCAACATCATCCAGTACAACCTGGGTGTCTTCGTCCGTTCCAGCAGCAGCTTGCTGAACGTAGACATCACTCCGGCCACCTACTGGGTCACCAACCCTGACAACATCATCAGGCACAATGCGGCAGCCGGAGGCTCACATTTCGGCTTCTGGTACAACATGCCCACCCACCCTGCCGGTCCGTCGTTCACTTCGTCCATCTGTCCCCGCAACGTCCCACTGGGAGAGTTCCGGAACAACTCGGCTCACGCATTTGGCTGGTACGGCATCTGGATCTTCCCGACCTACCACCCTAAAGTGGGCGGGGGCTGCAATGCCTGGGAGGATGAACCGGCCAAGTACTACAGCCTGTACGCCTGGGAGGTAGAGCGTGGCGCAGAAGCAGTTCAAGTCGGTGCCATCCAGTTCCACGACTTCGTGATCTCGGATGCGGACAAGGCTGGAGTGGAGTACCAGACTATCAGTGCCCCTTGGGGTGACTCCCTAGTGAAGGACCTGACAGTGATAGCGTACAGCAACATATCCGAGGCCAACAAAGCCAGTGAGTGTACGCAGGCAGGCATCCACGCCCCTAAAGGGGACGGCCTGACCGTAGATGGCACCAAATTCATCAACTTTGACCAGTCCCGCTGCGCTGCCTTCCGAGCCTGTGCCCACTGCAAGGTGGACCAGGGGGGCTTCTCGTTCCGCACCCAGGGGCTGGAGTTTGTTAACTCTCCAAACAAAGTGGCCTTCCAGTGGCAGCATGAGTGTTGGATCGATGACTTGGATGGGACTTTCAGCGGAACAGCAAATTACATAGTCCTCCCGAAAAACCCCAACCTTCCCCCTGACCACTGCAGCCAGGAAGCCACCTACAGTCTTGGCTTTCCAGGCTCTCACTGCGACACAACGATCCGTCTCCATCGATTCTCCTTCAACAACCCTCTGCCTTCCTCTCTGCTGTACAAGAACACCCTGTTCACCAACGAGCATGGCACTAGCAGCATCCCCTACCACAAGAAGCGTCTCACACACCCCATGGGATGGATGATCACCCTTATCGAAGGCGACAACTACAACATGATCTTTGAAAATGTGGATCATGTCACCAACATCTCCTACACTGGGACCTTCTACAACTTTGACGATGGTGACTTTGTGTTGATCAACCACAACTTTACGCAGAGGCCTGATAAGTTTGCAACGATTGGCGTCATAAAGAACAGCACTGAGAGTGTACCGACGTATGCCGCAGACGACAATGGAGACTGGCACTTTGACAATGACACCAGGATACTTAGCTACATTGGTATGCACAGATTTTTTTTCCCAGAGTTTTGCACTGATGAAATTGTTTCAAGTCAGTCTGGTGCAGTAGTTTAAAGAGCAAAAATAAATCATGGCGTACTTTCAGGAAGTAAAGATAGATTTTACAAGAAAGCATTGGTGAAAGTGATTGAGTTAAACAACTTTGTTTACACATTCTAGGCATATTTTACAGATGTGAACCTCGCATTTTGTGATCAGAAATAGTAAAAAGTTCAAGGAAGTTTTCAGAAGAGCGTGTGTCTCTAATGGTGAACAGTCTACGCTGTTCAAAACACTGAGTCCACACAGCCTTTTTTTTTAAACCACACATGACTGAGAAATGACACCAACTTTTGTAGTAAGGAATTAATTGCTTCAATAGGCCACTCTCAATTGACGTCGCTTCCTACAGATTACCACATGCATCGACATTTGGGCATCAAATGTCCGTGACACTTATCGGCTGCGCCGTATTTCAAAGAAATTTTTAGCAACGTGTGTGCGTGTTTTAATAGAACATTTTGAACACTGTGCGCACATGCACCTGATGAACATGCAGTTGTAATTTTCCTACAAAGATGGCTGTCTATGAGAGGGGACTATGTAACGAAAGTAACACAATGCTCGTTCATTTTTGAGCTGTAACGGTTTCTTTCAGGGAGTAATTTCTTTTATAATATAACTTTCAATTACATAGCCTATTTAACACATTGTACCACTTGAAGCATATTTCATTGCTATGCCATGTTCTACTAAAATATGTACAAAAGCTTTTTTTTCTTGCACTTTAAGTAAAAATTTGTACAGGCAATTTGGAGGCAACCAAATATATTTGAAGTCCAAGGAACTCTCTCAAACTCAAAAACAAGAGTACATTTTTTTCCCAACAGTTTTAAGGAAATTCCTTAGAACAATACATGGAATTAAAATTCGCCTTTCGTTTTCTCCAAAACAATTGTAACTGTAAACTGTCTCATGTGTCATGGTCCTAATTACTCTTTACACAAAGATTTCGATGATCAGAAACCACTCCTCACTGATACAACGTTTGTATAATTTTGCTCCACTTCATCCAGTGTCGGGCAAGGGCGAGTCTGAACCTGTCAACCGTAACGTTGACCTGGACGTCTACCAGTGCTTCTACAAGGATTGCCTGCGGCCGGTGCCTGAGATCCCCGAACCACCCCCTGCAGGCCGACCGCTGGACGCCCGCTTGTGGTCTGACACCGCGTCCTGGGATGACGTCGAGGCAGGCTGGAGCGGGGCCTTGAACGGAACAGTCAACAACGTCATGATCATGCCTTGTGAGTTAGGTTGCCATGGCCAACATTTATACTTTTAGCAGTTTTTAAGTACCCATTTAGAGCACATGGAATATTATGCATTCTCTTTGGGAAGTTTGAAAATGAGAATGCTGCAAACTTCAGACTTAGACTGGAATGACCTGAAATATACAAATTTTAAAAAATGGTTTTAACGTTTTTGTACTAGCAAGACCTTTCGCAAAGGCAAAGGTCTTGCTTGTACCATGGGCCTTAGGCCATTTAATTTCCTTTGGTTTAATGCACATGTGTATATTGTGTTTTCAAACAAAAACAGGTCATATTTTCCATCAAACTATCATTTGTTTTACAACACAACCTTAGGGAAGCTGGTAGTTTCTTGTGAAACCTTTTACATCATTTTTAACGTTACTTACTTGTATTTTAAATACATTGCTTGTTAATATCAAAATTAAATGGTGTCATACTTTACAAGTTGTAATTGTTTAAGGAATGAATCCATCAGAACTTGTTTTACAATGTTATACGTTGTATTACATCGTGTTCACTGCTTGGTGAATCCATGAAACTAAACTGTATGGGCTTTTTTGGGCAATGTAAAGAACAACACTCATCTCGTTTTGGAACAGGAACTCATCATTTAAATCAAGTTTACCAAACTCTTGCGTGACAACATAAACACAGATGGAGTAGAACTATAATCCTTACACTATTCTTATGTTCCTACCCCCCCCCCTCCTGTAGCGATCTGGATGGTCGCGGACGTCCAGCTCCCTGTCATGAACAAGCTCTTCATCTATGGTGGCCTGGAAATCGAGGACAGTCAAGACAACAAGATAGAGGCCACCTACATCCTAATCCAGGGAGGCCGCTTGGTCATCGGATTCAGCGAGTCTAATCCCTTCCAGCATGACATGAAGATCCTGCTGAACGGACACCACTTCACACCCGACCAGCCCCTGCCCAATGGGCCCAACCTGGGCTCCAAAGCTCTGGGTATGTATTGGTCTCCTTTGTTCCAGGTGTTCATGTGCACCCCACTTTACAACAACAAAAAAAAACATGTGAGAGTGTCTCTTTGAAACTAATGAGTCTCTTGAATCAATCGCGGCAGAATGCTTCTGGGATTGTATCCACAGATGGGTTAAAAAAAGTGTAAACATTTCAAAACGTTGAGCGGCAAATTTTGATTTTTTTCTAGATAAGTAGAAACTGTTTAAACTGTTTCGTAATAATGACTGAACAGAGTCTGATTTTTAACAAGAATTTTGAGGCAGAGAATTTTGGTATGGAACACTGACATCTGTAGGTATTATTCTGCTTTTGTTTTGTTATGTTGCAGCAGTGTGTAGGTATTTAGAGACAATTCATGATTATCAATGGTATTATTCGATGCCCTCTCCTTTTAAGGTGTATTTGGTGGTCTGGACATCCACGGCAAGAACCACAGCGTTTACTGGACCCAGCTATTGATCACCGTCAACCCAGGTGACAATACCCTGACCGTCAGGGATCAGACAGACTGGCAGGTAGGGGACGAGATTGTGGTGGCCACTACCTCCTACGAAGCCTGGCAGACGGAGACCTTTGTGATTGAAGCTGTCACCGATCCCTCTACCTTCCAGATCAACGGGAGCTTTGCCTACAAGCATCTGGGTAAATCAGCTTACTCTCTCGCGCAGTGAAATCTAGGGTTCTCCAATTAGTTCGTGCAGGCACTATGGCTTGAAAGCCTGAAGAAACCTAACGATAGAAGAAAGTGCAGTTTTAGAGGTTGGAGAGAACCCCCACAATGATATTCAACGGGATAGAGCCCAGAATCATGCTACAGTCCATCATTTGCAGCTATCTGAAAAGTAACTGACGTAATTATTTTTGAAAAACATACTTGGTTGAAAGATAGTAAGGGGACTAAACTCCCTGCGAAGTGCGCGCAAGCACTGGCACGACGCACACACGCGCAGTTGCTATAATTCGTCGGATCAGTGCGCGACGTCGCATATAGCTGCAATCAGCTCAGTGAGAACATGTCTCGGACTCTGAATTCAAGCCCAATTCAAAACATGATTCAGCAACTTTTGATTTGAAATCGAGATCCTAGAATGTTGTTCTTCTCGAAATATACAGCATTCACTGAGCTGAAACTTCATCAGGTTAGTTGTTCAGCACCCTTCTTTAGATTTTGAGCACTTTTGTTGCTTCAAACTAACAAAATGCACACATTACAAATGATGGACTATACCTTTATAACCCAATCCACGTCTTGTTCTGGTTGGCGTGTGAACCTCAGTCAAGCAGGTGAAGGGCAGGATCCAGACATTTCCAAAGAGGGGTGACTGGGGTGTAGAATTTTCCAAGATTTTCCAAGGAGGGTGGGGATGGTGGGGTTAATCAGGTGTTGCATTCAAGACCATAAATATTCCAGTCCTAATCAGTCCATCATAAGTCAATCACTAGTCGATTTTCTCAGTTTCAGTCGCGTGCCATTCAAACAAACTTTGACAAAGGCATTCCTTTGTCGTTATTCGTCCTACGTTATTCGTTGAGGTATTAACTTTGTGATAGACTTGCGATTTGAATTGTGAAGGGCTCAACATCGGCTCTGATACCCTAGCAGTCAAGATGGTAATCCTTACTTTTAGGACCCCTTTCCTATATAAGGTTAAAAGACTCACCAAAACAGCTGACTATGACACTCAAAAGTGACATTCTGATATTTATTGACACATTTGAACATTTGGCAATGACACCTCTTGAATATCAGCAGGTTTGATTTTGTAGAAAGAGGGCAGGGTTTTGATTTATGAGGGGTTAAAGACGACGATGACAAACAGAAAATAAATTTAAGAAGCAAGATGGCGAACTGCAAAAAAAGGTAGGAAAGTCACATTTTCTTTGAAAGTGCTTTCAAAATTATAACTAACATGAGTTTGTCTGAAGAAAAAAGACTTCTTTAGCCTGCAAAAGTCACTTTGGTACTGGACAGTCATCTGCAAAAGTCAGTTTAGAACAGAACTCGTACAAAATAGAGGTGTCCTAAAAGTAAGGATTACCGTCAAGATTGCAAATGGTCTGATTTGGACATTACAACAAAGGTCATTTCTGTCATTCTTTCTTTTTTTTCTGATTGTTTCTATACAGCTGACTACAATTCAGACTACGTCATTGCAGCCGAGGTGGGTCTCCTGACTCGTAACATCAAGATTGAAGGCAACGACTACGCTGATCTCTTTGAAGAGTCCTACGGAGCTCGCGTCCTGGTTGGACGATTCTTCCAGGATGGCGTCCAGTACAAAGGTAAACATCAGTGAGGTCTCAGGTGCAGATTCAGTCTGAGGGGTGGGGTCTAAAAAAAAAAACACCTGCTCTGTCACACACGCAAAAATAATTCCTGGATCCGCCCCTTGGGGGGGGGGTCATTGTACTTGTACTTGTGGCCTTAATATAAGCAAGACACTTCATTACAACTGTGCCTGTTGAAAAATGTAGCAGTGACTGCCGAAATATCTTGCAGTATGGTGGTACTCGTACTGAAAATTCTTGGTACTCGGACTTAAATTATATTACCCTTGACTTGTAGACACAACTACAGGGTGAGTAAAAAAAAATAACAAATTCCAAATGTCGGGACCATTGTTTTAGTGAAGTTCTGCATCCCATAGTTCAAAATATGGGATATGAAAGCCAAATTCATTAGCTTTCTTTTAGTCTAAAAATCATTCAAATCACTTACGTACTTTTAAAGTTACAGAATTTTAAATACAACCACCGTTTTAAAGTTCTGTCCACGGATCAACAGAAGTTAAGTGTTCTTTCAGCAAAACGAAAACAAATCACATGAATTGTTTTCGTTTTGCTGAAAGAATGCACATCTTGTTTTGTGATCCTTGGACAGAACTGTAAAAACGGTGGTTGTGTTTACAATCCTGTAACTTAAACAGTACATGAGCGATTTGAATGATTCTTGTACTAAAAGAAAGCTTATGAATTGGGCTTTCATATCCTAGATTTTGAAAGTGCTACATGCAGAACTTCACTAAAACAATAGTCCAGACACTTGGGTTTCACTTTTTTTGACTCGCCCTGTACATGGTGTTACCGCAAACCAAAGCTTTATCACTCATTAATTTCTTTCCCTGGTCATTCCCTCAATGGCAGGATATGCCCGTATCTCCAATGTTGAGTTCTTCCACTCGGGCCAAGAAGGTTGGTCAGATTTCTTCGACCCCCGCTACTCGCTGGCCTTCCTGGATGTGGGCGAGATCACCGATGACGCGCCCTCCTCCGTCTGGGGCTGCAGCTTCCATAACGGCTTCAGTCCGGCCATTGGCGTGTTCGGGACCGACGGGCTGGTCATCGAGGACAACGTGATCCATCACACCGTCGGATCAGGTGCGGCATTTATAAATTACAATTTCTTCTGTGGTGGGGAGGGAGGTAGAGAAAAGGGGTTGTGAAATTCAGTGGTTCTTGAGTAGGGAGTTGCAAAATGAGAAATTTTTCCTGAAACCTTAACTTTTGATTTCCTATTCTTCATAAATACAAATATGTACAACAGCAAGAAGATTAAACTAGTGGTAGTCCTGAAGTGCTGGAATTGTCAACTAAATAAAAAAAGTTGCAACTCTAAGATCTGGGGGAGGGTATGTTCAAATTGCCCCGTAACTATCAATTACAAAAGAAAATTTGCAACTTAAGGTTGGGGGTTGGGGGATGTTCACTTTGCCTCTTCTTCCTCCTCCGGATATTCCTCTGGTACAGTCAAGAAAGTTAAAGGGGGAAATTATGTCACTGAGTACTGCAAATCTTGAAAGCTCACCACCCGAAAATTCACGTGTTGCATCTTTAAAGAATTTGCCTCAAATTAAAAACTGACAAAGTTTTATGTATCTTACTGGCCAATCCAGAGGACTGGGAAGTGGAAAACTTAAACGAATCAAATAAGTCTGTTCGATATTCGTTTATTTTTAAATCTCGATATCATGAACAAAATATCGCGATATCCGATATTTTTGTGATGACGTCATTTTTCCATTCATGGAACAATGGAATAATAAAAAAACACGCTTGAACTGAAGTCACCACGTACTGTATCATGAGAGCTGCGTAAAATAACCCGATGGTCCACAAAATGTCCACAACAAAATCGGCTGGTATTTTTATACTAGTCTCATAAACTTTGCCAAGTAGAAAACAAATTCCACATTCAAAAATGGTATCACAGTTTGCGCGTACGCCTGGTTTAAAAGACTGTCTGGATTGTGTTGTGTGAACCGCGTAGAAGACGCAAAATCCAATGCGCGTACGTTTATGGTTCCGCCCCTTAATAGGTAAGAACCTTGCAGTAAGAGTAAATTTATTGGGTTTTTTTTTAGTGGGAGTGCTTTGGCGGCATGTTTTGCACGCAAGTAGTGACATTGTTTACTGAAGCAATACTACAAAAGGATATCGCGATATTTTTCGGCATATCCAATTTCGCGATATTCCGATTTAAAGTGAATGATACGATTTTCGATATGAAAATAACATTGAAATATTGTGAAATATCCTCATATCGAACAGGCTAATAGAATCAACGAGAAGTTGTCCCAATTTTCTTTTTTTGTGTCGTTTTGTAGCCATCATTGTTCGGGACAACAACCAACAGCTCATTCACAACCTGGTGACTCTGGTTGTCTTCCCTGGCACCTACCAGAACCGTTTTGAGAAAGAGAACCTGGAGTGGAATGCAGGCATTGAGGTGGACAGCGCCGGCAAGGTCCTGCTGGTCAACAACACTGTGGCCGGATCAGAGAGGGTGCGTAGCTTCTTACCAATCATCATTTTGAAGTTATCAGTTCATTTCGTTGGGTGCGTGGAAGAAGGTCGTTAGGGCAAAAAAAAATGGGTCAAAATGTCAATTGCATTTTTTTGGGTAATTGATAAAGAATGGAAATATCTTTCATTTGCTATACATATTTTTGTCTCAAGGGGTCACGTCAAAAAATGACGTTAGTAAATGTATGAAAAAGAGGGAAGGTTTTCATTATTTTTTCCCAGACAAATTGATGTTAGCATGTAATATTAATATCACAAAATATGTTCAAAGTGTATTAACGTCCCACGGAATCGGGTAGGTACATGTAAAGCCAAGTGTATTCCCAGTCAGTGGCGGCGCCAGACTCTAAAATTTTGGGGGGCAATTGGGGGGAAAGGAAATAATTTTAGGTGGCAATCAAAAAATCTCAAGCCCGTGTACGTGCTCGCATGCCATTGTCAATGGTCTGGAAATAAGCCACTGGAGCAACTTAGAGGTGTAGTCGTTTTTATGGATGAGAAATGTATCAAACCGCCGAATGGTGTGTTACAAATGCATAACAAATGTACAAAGACGTTGGCTAGCTGCACACTATCTACGGCTGAACAAATGCATGTGTGGCGTTTTTTTGTCTTAAGTACCAATGCTTTAATGCTTTCGTTCGCCCCAAATTTTACTTATAGATAAAGTGTTCGGGGCAAACTGGGGGGCAAGGACAAAAATTGGGGGACAATTGACATTCCCTAAGTTGATTTGTATGTATTTATTTCCCATTACCTGGATTCGGGAGATGTTAACAAAAGACCACAGCAATCAATGTGACGTAGTTGCTCTTAACTGTTTCAGGGCCGTTGAACTTCTCAGGGCATTCCACTGTGCACTTCTGTCACTTCAGACAGTTTAGTTCTAACTTGGCCGAGCTAATCCAAGAGTTCCGTTCAGTCAACATCCTGTCACATTCCCAAAGTTTATCTCGATTTGATAGTTCACGCACGACTTGATTCCACAACAGGTGGCCTTCAGTGTCAAGGGGGAGGCTTGCTTTGACCCGCCCAACCCCCTGACGGACTGGTACGGCAACGTGGGCCACTCCACCCTGCATGGCGTTCACGTCTTCCTATCCCCGATCCTGCCCTGCACCAAGATCGCCAACTTCCTGATCTACAAGAGCTGGGACTTTGGAATCTACCACCAGGTAAAAATGAATAATTCACAAAAAGATCCCTTCACAATCTCAGAAGCAAACTTCTCGATTCCTCTCTTATTTGAACAACTTGAGTGTCTAACAGGAAATCCTCATTATAACCCATTTGTAAGCTTGCGTTTAATCTTCTTTAATTGTTTTCTGTGTGTAGTTTGTTTATATACATGCATTGCTTAATTGTATTTTGACAAAATCATGATAAATATTTTCATGCATAGAATTTTTGAACTACAAAAAAAATTGTGGAAAAGAAGTTAAGTAACTTTTGGCTCTTTCTTTGTGGGGCGCTGTGGTCCAATGGTTATGGTGTTTGACTCGTGTGCCGTGGTGCATGAATTCGAATCCTGACGGGGGAACATGGTGCTTGTGCTCTTGAGCAAGGCACTTTACCATTATTGCTTCGTCCTTTGGATGGGTCCCGTGTGTTGTGAAATGTACGTTAAAAAACCCAGTAGAAGGGGTTTGCCCCAGTGTTTCTGGCAGTGGCTGCAATATGCGCCGCAGCACCTTGTAAACCCTTATAAAGGTGCTACATAATGGGTCTCACATTTCTCATAAAAACTTTATTTACCTGTCTTTAAAAATCGACATAAATATACCAGTGCCTTGAGTACCTAATAAGCCTTTTCAGAGTTCCAACTGCGCATTCGTAACCTGTGACAATGCGCATTGTTTGTCTCAAATGGCCTTTGACAACATTGCGCCACTGACTTTACACAAAGGCTGTTTGTGCATTATGGGTACTGTTAAAGGCCATTTGAGACAAATAATGTGCTTTGTCACAGGTTACGAATGCGCGCAGTTGGAACTCCGAAAAGGCTTATTGTTGGTAGATACCTGCGCTATATAAGACTCCGGTATATCTTTGTTACCACAAGAATGTCAAATCAGTAACTTTGGAAACCACCCTTTTGAAAATTCTAGAACCGTCACTGATGCTGTACCATACTACCGGATGTCCTAGCTACTTAACAGTACATACAAAAAATGGAAGCCTCGTGATTCCTCCAGTGTTACATTAGGCTTCAAGGAGTCCACTCAAAGATAATTTTTGTTGGTTGTTTCTTATGCACCTCTAGAGCGCAGCCAGACTTTTGATAACGGACGTGACATTGGTCGACAACAAGATTGCCATAATGCCCCTCGTCTTCAGCCCTGCGGCCTTGTCCCACGTCACCTCCGACAAGTTTGTCAGGGTTCAGAACTCGGTGATTGTTGGAGTCAGCGACTCATTCGACTGCACTAATGATGATGTAAGTACCACCAGTAGAGAGTATTATCAACCCTAATAATAATAATAATAATGATAACTGGTATTTATAAAGTGCCTCTGCCAAGCGATGAACCCCTCACTCTTGTTCACAGTGTACAAAAAAGTTTTGTTACACCACGGTAATAGATTGTGAATTTTTATTGGTCCATCATCGATCACGTGTCATGCCACAAACACACATGTACAGCGATGTACGCCGCGTGCGCGTGGTACATGAGTGATGTATCTCTCTGGGTACATTCCTTTTTTTCTTTCCCGCTGTTAAAAATGACGTTTCCACCGTGTGGTATTATATTTGTGTGACCTCGGGTACGAGGTTGTAGCTACGCCGGTACTAGGTAAATGAATGTATGTTTTTACGGGATGTGCCTGGGGGACAGTGAAGCAATGTTTCTGCTATGACCACCATTGTTGTTTACATAGTTCGTCACTGTTCGTCTGCTTTTTTTTTAACTGTGCAAAATTCGCCGTAATTTCACCATAATAATGTTGGCAGATGACAACAGGTGGCCTCCAAAGAAGAGGTTTCTCTCTTGTTCCAAAGACGAGATCAGACATTTGATTTTTGAACAGGACAGCATCAGCACGAAAAAAAATACAGAAAATTCTGTGCCAAAAGTTCACCAATTCTGCACCACAACAGGAAGAGACCCACAGTTTCAGACGTTAGTAATCTATTACCGTGGTATAAGAAAACAATTGTTGCCTGCTGTGACGGGGTCCATGGGTTTTGTACACCCTCGAGGGCAAATGGTACCCTCTGCTTAGCCTCGGGTGCCATTTTCCCCCCTCTGGTGTACAAAACACAGCAGGCAACAATTGTATAATGGACAACTAAGGGATACATGCACCTCTTAAACCATGCAGTTGTACGTAACTAATGTGGTAAATCGCTGAGATTCATATCTAACTTTCCTGTTGTTGCAAATCCCCCATTGTTCACATACTAATTGCTCACCCATTCACACCATTGTTATATCAGGTGCTTGCAATGGGTACTGTAATTTCACCCTCTCGGGGCCAATAGCACCCTGGGCTTCGCCTCAGGTGCTATGCGCCTCTCGGCTGAAAAAACGTCATATCCCTCATCACATTAGTTGACAATTGTTAATTGTCTTTTGTCTTATCCTCTATGACCTCCCCTGTGTCTGTATCTGGGGTTTGTCCTCCTATGTATGTCTGCATCTACCTCTCAATCGATCCCATTTGTCTTCCCTTGCACACTCTCCATATAACAACACTACACCTCTCAGGTAGAGCCCGAGAATGCTAGACAGAGCCGTAAACAGCGAGGCCCTCGTGCTCCCGGAGGGGGCCATGTAGGCATGTGCTGGTCCGTCTTTGCCTCTGGAAGCAATGGAGCTCCTTTCTTCCCCTTTCATACCGTCATGAGCTACCCCATGATCAACGGGGTCAGTCAGCTGCAAAGTAAGTGTAGCGTGTGGACGTATTATTAAAAAGCCTCCCTTTTCTTGGCAACGCCGTTCTCCTAATATCTCAGGTTCAGCCGGAGAACGCAGGCCAGAGTAGCAAGCAGAGGGGTCCGCGTGCGTCTGGAGGTGGCCACATTGGCTTAATGTGGAGCTGCTTTATGTCTTCCAGCAGCGGTGCCCCATTTAAGCCCTTCCATAACGTCAACAGTTACCCCCTGATTAACGGCATGACCGCCGTTCAGAGTAAGTGTGGGCCTTCAAGGTAGCAGCAAATTCAGAGAGCAAAGTCTCACCGAGACTTAAACAAAAAAAGGAAGATGATTTTACAAGCCTTCCAGTAACAATGCCAATTCACATTTGATTCAAACCGTAATCGTGGAATTTTTTTTCTTTTTAAGGGCACTGTCTGTAGTGCTACAATTCACTTTAAAGCCCGGTTCATGCGAAAGCGAATGCGAAGCGAATTTGACATCATAAAACATTCGCTCTGAAATTCGCCCGAGTTGAAATATGTTTAACTTTTACAAATTCACAGCGCGAGTACTTGCCACAATGTCACAAATTCGTGTTCGCTTTCGCTTTCGCACAGAGCATGAACCGGGCTTTATACGTAAATCACAGTTCAGAGAATGTGGTTCATATCGTGATTAAAGATAACAGCGCTTTGTTTTACTTGTCTTTGAGTGCCTGACAATTATGATTTGTAAGACCTTTTTCGTACATTGTAAATCAAAAAAGTCTTAACAGACCTATTTGGTTGCTTTTGATTCTCAGGCCAAAAAAAAAGTCTCTGGTTTCTGGTATGGAGCTTGCCCAAAAAGTGGTGCGGCGACGCGTTTTTTTTTTTTTTTTTTACCTGTTTTTTTTGCTTCAAATGTCAGCTGATGACTGCAAATGGTGCCCGACTAAACTTAGTGCAAATATTATGGGAGACCAGAGAGGCCACATAAAGCTTATTCTCGATCATAACCCCATCTAAAAACACGTTAAAATTGTGCAGCAGCAGGATTCCAGTCAAACCAGTGAGTTTGGCAGTTTTGAGACATCATCTTTCATTGAAAAAAAAACATTTCATTTTGCCGACGCGCATGGCTACGGCGACGTGCGCGCATACCAGAAACCGGAGACTTTTTTTTTTGGCCTAAGGTGGTTGTTTTTTTTGTGTTTTTTTTTTAATCTCATGCCTAATTTAGTCTTTTTTGTTTTGAAAAAAAAAAAATCACCCAGATGTTCATTTCCGTGGGTTTGGTGAGCACTGTGGCCGAACGGACGCCATGATAATGACCAACCCAAAGTCCGAAGATGCTTCCCACCCAATGGAATTATCTGGAATCACCATGACCGACGTCGCAGAGGCACAGAAAGTATTTATCAACCGTCCAAATGTTGGGTAGGTTGAGAGAATGGAAATGAAATGAACTTTGAGTAGAAAAATACCTGGAATAATTCACACGCCAACTTGGTACTTTTGTAGAACAGTTTTGATCCTCGGTTTTTCTACTCCAAAGCTCCTCCCTTTTCCGATTTTGAAATATTTTCTTTCTCTTGCCGTTAAATTCTATAAGATGATTTGAAGAAAACTTTTGTGAAATGAGATACGTGTTTTTTTTTGTAGAACCAATAAATCTGATAAACAATCAACTTTTACAACTTTTTTTACCGAACCAGGGCTGCATTTTGGTGGCCTTGACCTCTGGAATTGTTTCTGACATCACAGTCATTACGCGAATCATGTTGTTAGTGGACCACGAAAACGCCTGACCAAAAAAATTGTTTATGATGTCACTTTGTGTGGTGCGCAGACCGACATGACCACCATGGCAAGCCGAATGTTTTGGTCAATTTTACATGATTTATAAGCAAAAGTCGGGCATTTACCTTTCCAGTATTTTCCCAAGTCAGAGTAATTGTTATGCATTCAACAGCCCAACCGACGGTTACAAACCCACTGTTTAAATATCTTTTGTGGTGACAAAGTAATGTCGTCTGCTAAAACTTGTTTACCTGTCCGCCATCTTGAAATGTAAGTGACTTTGGTCGGAACAATGACGTCATTTCAGTGTAACTGAAGCGCCAAAACGGTCCCGAACTAGAAATGCGGCCCTGTATATGATTGTGTGGTGATTGAGAGGGTGCTTTTTTACCACTTTTGAGAGCGGGAAAAATGGGTGCGCGTACTGGTTTGCGCGCATGTAGTGCGAAGTACGCATGATAAATTTTAATCCTATATATACACAAGGCCATGACATCTTCTCGTAAGCCTCAGGCGTCATCAGCAGTGCGTTTGAATGTTTCTCTCAGTGGTCTCCCCCAACTCTCCCTTTCTCACCATAGAGGGGGTACTCGTGCGCCGAGTCCAAACTCCAATTGCGATTCCGGTTCTTTTTTTTATCATAACAACAGGTCTGTGAACCCGTCGGACTGCGTGGACATGGACTGCGACGGCATGAAGAAGGCCATGATTCGTGACCTGGACGGCACCTTCCTGGGCACGCCGGGCACCCTCATCCCTCAGTCCGAGTTTGAGTGGGACGGTGACCCACGGCGCGGCCTGGGTGACTACCGTATCCCCAGAACGATGCTGACCAGGACCGATGGATCTAGAATCCCCGTGGAAGACAAGGCCCCAAATAAGGGTAAGGAAACTAAAGTTTTAAAGAACTGCCCGTGCTACCTTTGAGCTTCACCCGGAAAATTAAGTGTGCTGTTTTTCTTGCAATACAAAAGCTGTTGACTTTTTTTAACGAGACATCAAACTAAAAATCTGCCAACTTCGAGTTATGGAATAATTCCTTGACCATGTTTGAATTGAATTATCCATGGCCTGAAAACTACTCGGTTCTCGCAAGGTAGGCAAGGCAAGGTAGGCAAGGCAAGGTAGACTGTTTCCCACCCTACTATAAAAATTGTTATAGCAGGGTCGGCACTGTCTAATTTTGAAAAAAGCAAATCCTCCCCCCCCCCCCCCCAAAAAAAAACTTTCTCTGAGTGTTGCGGACACTCAAAATAGAAAGGGTACTTTTTTTATAAATAAATTGGAAAAGTTGAAAACTTATAAATATATAACATTTTTGCATGCATGAGATATACTTTACCAATATTCCCAATACCTTGTTTGGCATTGCATATGGCAGGCTGGCAGTTGAACGTCTGTGGCTACTGGCTAGAGCATTGTTGAAAAGTTCATGTGTACATCCATAATGCAAAGCATATCTTTTATGGTGTACAATATTCTCAAGAAAACTTGTAACTTAACCACTCTAATGATCCTGGACATAATTTACTTAAAGCTACAGTCCATCATTTGTAATTTGTGCATTTTGTTCGTTTGAAGCAACAAAAGGGTTCAAAATCTAATGAAGGATACTGAGCAACTAACCTGATGAAGTTTCAGCTAAGCTTCAGCTGTACATTCCGAGAAAAGCAGCATTCTAAGATCTCAATTTCAAATCAAAAGTTACTGAATCATGTTTTGAATTGTATTGAATTGCAGCTATACGTGGCGTCGCGCACTGATCCGACGAATTATAGCAACCGCGCGCGCGTGTGCGTCGTTCCAATACTTGTGCGCGCTGCGCTGAATAACAAAATGAACTACTAATTTAAATTTTCCTACGGTGCTTCTTAAGAATCACCGTTGGAAATGCCTTCTTTCGTTGATTACTTCAAAATGACAGCTTCCCATAAAGAATAATTTCACAGGGAGTTTAGTTCCCTTACTATCTTTCAACCAAGTTTCTTTTTCAACAGTAATTACGCCAGTTACTTTTCGGATGGCTGCAAATGATGGACTCTAGCTTTAAACCACTCTAATGATCCTGGACATAATTTACTTCAATGGTTTTATTTGTTTCTAGGTATCTATCGTGGCACCAGTGATGAGTGCGAGTGGAAGAGCTCGTGGCAGGCCTATGAGTGCCACGGCATCGAGCACAGGATGCTGGTAGTGGAGAGCATGGATGGCGACACGGAAGTCCGCCGCCTGACGCCGCTGGCTATGTACACCGACGGCTTTGTGGACTTGATCAACGGGCCGCAGGATAATGGCTGGTGCCTTGGGTAAGTGATGGTGTCATATTATACAAATATTGAATGCTTCGAGTGGTGTAGTAAAACTAGCCTCCCGAAGTGATCCATGGACATTCTATTTTCCCGAGGCGAAGCCGTGGGAAAATAGAATGGTCCATGGATCATCGAGGGAGGCTAGTTTTACTTCACCACGAGATAAAGCATTCAATATTTGTTTTATAACACTTCACCCACAGATTCTGCTTGATTTTAATATTTTAAATTATTTAAATCTGAACACAGTTGAAATAAACTTCAATTTCAATACAAAATTGGTGGAAAATGTATTTCTCTCTTCCAAACTACCCCTTCACGAAATGTTTGAACCCAAGTCTGCGGCGCGCTCTCTTTGGAACAGTACGCGCTACGCTTAACGCGCACACAAGCATCCATTTGCACACAAATACTGTGCCGTGGAAATAGTACTTTGGTTGCCAATGGTATAGTACTTTGGTTGCTACGGGTATAGTACTTTTGGCCGTGCACAGAAAGATAGCAAAATTAGAAAGTAACATGTGACTCGCTCTCGGCCAATCAAGACACAGAATCTGTGGGTGAGGTGTTATAATATACAAATATTGACTGCTTTATCTCGTGATGTAGTAAAACTATAGCCTCCCAAGGTGATCCATGAAGCATTCTATTTTTAGAATACAATGCTCCATGAATCACCGAGGGAGGCTAGTTTTACTACACCAGGAGATAAAGCAGTCAATATTTGTTTTATAACACCTCTCCCACAGATTCTGCTTGATTTTAAGCGATACCTGATTAATTTATTATGAATACAATTTAAATTTACTTCTTTTTGAGTACGAAATAAGTTGAAAATTAACTTGTACTTTTCCAAGCTCTGTAGCACTAGCTCTTAGAAACAATACGCGGAACGCGCAATGCACAAACCGCGTATGCATTAATTTGCACACAATGCCTACAGCACTTTGGTTGCTATGGGTATAGTACTTTGGTTGCTATGGGTATAGTACTTTGGTTGCTACGGATATGGTACTTTTGGTCGTGCACAGCAAGATAGCAAAAATAGCAAATGCCATGTAACTCGCTCTCGGCCAATCAAGATACAGAATCTGTGGGTGAGGTGTTATAAAGAAATTTGGACCCCTATGAAATCCGGTCACTTTGTACATAACAACATTTTGACCAGTATCACAATGTCACCTTAAAGAAATGCTTACTGTTGTCGAATTTTATTTTCTATAAATGGCAGTTGTCAATTATTGCTCCTTTCAGATACACGTGTCAGGAGCGCATCAGCACACTGTACACCATTGTGGCCACAGGCAAGGACTACGAGGTGTACTTCACTAGCACCAACCCCCAGGTTCTTCGCTTCCATCTGCTGAACTCGGACGAGAGTCAGGCCGTCGTGCTCGGCGTCTGGTACGCCAACCCGCAGCGACTGGACGTCTACTACAAGGTGAGGTTTTTGCACCTGGACAGTAACAACAGTGGTTCTGACTAGCGTGCCTTGAACACAGACTTTGATAAACTGGTGAACGCCAACATAGTTTTGGATTGTTCAGTTGGTAAGAGCACTGTAACAGCAGTCCAGAGGTCACAGGGTCAAACCCCGTCCCAGTCATTATTTGTTCAACTTTAAGAGAACTAAAAATGTTGTCTAATTCATTTTGGGTTATGCCCTCCACTGATGTCATTGTATTTATTCAGTGGTTTTGCAAAGAGCTTGTGAGCAAAATGTGCATAGATGTATGGGTGGGACTCGAACCCAGGACCTCCTGTTTGCTTGAACAGTTGAGCTTCGTGGAGACTTCTACTGATTTACAACAGCGTAGGTGGGACTAGAACCCAGGTCAACCTGTTTACTTGCACAGTTGAGCTCCGTGGGGACTTCAACTGATTTAGGTGGGACTAGAACCAAGGTCAACCTGTTTACTTGAACAGTTGAGCTCCATGGGGACTTCTACAGATTTATATGGGACTAAAACCTAGGACCTCCTGTTTACTTGAAAAGTTATATAGCCCGATGGGGACTTCTACTGATTAGGTGGGACTAGAATCCAGGTCCACATGTTTACTTGAACAGTTGAGCTCCATGGGGACTTCTACAGATTTATATGGGACTAAAACCCAGGACCTCCTGTTTACTTGAAAAGTTATATGGCCCGATGGGGACTTCTACTGATTAGGTGGGACTAGAATCCAGGTCAACCTGTTTACTTGAACAGTTGAGCTCCATGGGGACTTCTACAGATTTATATGGGACTAAAACCCAGGACCTCCTGTTTACTTGAAAAGTTATATGGCCCGATGGGGACTTCTACTGATTAGGTGGGACTAGAATCCAGGTCCACATGTTTACTTGAACAGTTAAGCTCGGTGGGGACTTCTTCTAACTTAGGTGGACACAACAAGTTTGGTAATTGATTACGACACCCACTGCTACATCTAGGTAGATCTGTTTTCTGATTTCCAAGCTCTTTCATTAAAGGCTTTGTTCTAATTTGTGGCATAACGTTTAAAAAAAAAATGCCTAGCTGCAACAACTTTCTAACCAAATTGTCATTACGTGTACCGGTATGTTGTTTGTTTTACTGCATCTCAGCTGATTTATGCTTACCAAATATGTTTGCTGAAGCACTACATTCTACTTAGCAGCTCTGTTGAGTTGAGAAGTAGCATTTGGACTGACTTTTTTTTCAAATTTGTCCTTTGTGAACCATTTTATCATTTCACGAACCATTTTGTTGTAACCGTTGACCAAACAACAAGTCTGTTCTCTCTGTTGATTAGGACCAATATGTGACTCCCACCAACGCCGATTACAGCACTGGTGAGTTCACCTGGAAGGCCAAGGACCCGTCCCTGCCTGCCGACCAGTACAACCCCTCGGTCAGCTCCAACGTTCACGGCGAGAACTACTTCGAGAGGGACACCCAGACGCTGTGGCTCCTGATCAAGGGCTCCGAGCCGGTGGAGATCCGCACCACGGCCGTCATCATGGTAACGTTCGGCGTGCCCGCGGTCGGGGTGAACGACTTCTACGAGGACGCCAATCTGGTGATCAACCTGGCGGCCTTACTGAACGTGGACAAGTCGCAGATCCGCGTGGTGGATGTGGTCAGCGAGTCGTCGCGTCGCCGGCGTCGCGCCGTGAGTGGAGAGGCGGAGGTGACTGTGGAGATCGGCCCGCCGCCGGAGATGACGGTAGAGTCGCCAGGGTCGGATACAACCAATCAGACTAGCTCTAATGCGACCACGCCTGCCCCAGCAAGTACGTATCGCCTTCACCCTTTGTCACTACATGAAGCCTCCATTCCTCTTGAGGAATTTGTATCAATTCTCTTTCGATGTAAAAAAAAAACAACACTAACATGACTAACGAACTAACCAAGCAATTTACTTCCAGATCCCTCATAATATCATAGTTGCATTTAATGCCGTCTTTCAATACTGCAAATTATTCTGTGGTCCACTATTTTGAACATCCTTCTCCACCTTACTTCTTGTTGGGCAACAGAAAGTGTTGAGCGGAACAGATTCGTTGTCAGCTGAATCCTCAAAAGACTTCTTGACATCAGACTGAGGGCCAGGTGGTTCTTGGCACAAAAAGTGCATGCAAATTAGTGAAGTCCAGCAATTGTTCATACTGCGAATTCCAAAGAGTTGAGCACATTTCAACTCCCTTTTGGACATGCTACATGGCACAAACAGGTTTATGGCTTCTGACTAGCGCCCCTTGAACAAGGACATTGACAAAATAGGGAACCACTAACATAGGGCTGGATAGCTCAGTTGGTAGAGCAACGAAATGGCAATCCGAGTTTGCAGGTTTGAACTTCGAACCCCACTCCAGTGAAATTCTTTATTCAACTTTAAAGTTATTATAATGCACCTTGTTAAAGTAATTTCCCTATGTAGTTTATTTAAACAATTCCTCTCAAGGTGAATTTTGTAACAAATAGTTTATGACACATTGTAGCGGGAACCTATTGGGCTCTTGTCTGCCAAGTCGAGCAAAATGCAAGAAACAGGGACACACCGACAAGATTTCTAACTCTGTAGGAAGATCTAATGTATTTCGCCAAGCGGACTCTGCGGGCAACGGCCGGCCGTACTGCTACCAGAAGTGCATCTGATCGATTCCCAGCATAGACAAGCACAGCTTCACAAAATGTTTTACAATGTTACAACTTTACCCAACCCTGGAATCTAGCCACGCCCTGCCCCCGCAAGTGAACAATAGAACACCACTTGAGCAGCCTATTTATAGAACCTATTTCTGTAGCGCACGCTAGCCAGACCTAACACTGCAGGTCAGCGTACCTGTGGCCAAACGTGACAACAGTGCGCCGTCGGAGCCCTCCGGCGGCTAGGAACAAAAGCCACAACAAAAGTGCTACATAAGTTGTCCGTTACAATATCAAATGCACTTCCCATTTGCATTCATGTGAAGTATATGTCCCTAACACTTTTCCATTCCCTGATTCCATGGCAGCATCAGCACCCAGCAGCTCCTTGGACTTTGAACAGCTGGTGCAGATCCAGGAGGTTCTCGTCGACACGCTGCAGTCCGGTGACCTCGGTGATGCCCTGAACATCACCGTTACCTCCATGGTGATGACTGACCCCGTGGCTGAGGTCGTTGACCCGACTGGTGGCGTGCGTGCCACCAACGAGACGGGCGGAAGCAGCAACGGAACCAAGACGTAAGAGTTCCTCTCAAGGAGGCATAATGGGTCACTGGTGGATCCAGGAGGGCCAATGGGTGCCATGCCTCCCCCCCCCCCCCCCCAAAAAAAAAAAAAAAAATAAAAAGCAACATTGCACTCTATCCATCTACTCAAAAATCCAAAATGTAGCCGAAATATTTATAGCAGTCCTAACCACATAACGGTGTTGCATAATTTGGGTGATTCACAATTATTCACAATGCAGTGCGCCATCACGAGTTTTCCATGGAGCGTCCATTTTTCAAGTTTATGGTCGACAAAACACGGCCCATTTGAACTTGAGCTCATTTGTTATAGATTGGGGCATATCGTTCTGTCGCCTTAATACAAAAAAACACCATATTGATAAACAGAAAAGAAAAGAGCAAACAGATACTTAAATCATTCGCTTATGAAACTTCTGACCAGAAAAACAGTGCTCAAAGTCTAAAGAAGGGTGCTTAACAACTAACCTGATAAAGTTTTAGCTCTGTGAATGCTGTATATTCTGAGAAAACAATATTCTACGATCTCGATTTCAATTTAAAAAAATGGTGAGTCACGTTTTGAATTGCGCCCAAAATCAGCATCCGGGACACATTCTCATTCAGCCGATGCTATACAGAATATCACACACTGAACTGACGAGTTATAGCAACTGCGCACGCATTTGCATGGTGTCAACGTTGGCGCACACCCATTCACAGCTTTACCAAATTACAAACGAAGTACTAGTGGAAATTTCCAAAAATGCATCTTTAGACATATCTTTGGAAATGACCTTCTTTAAGTGTTTTCTTCAAAACGACAGCATTCCAGAGAGAATTATTTCACAGGGAGTTTAGTGCCATTACTATCTTTAAACCAAGTATGCTTTTCAACAGTAATTTTTTTCAGTTACTTTTTGGATAGCTACAAATGATATACTCTACCTTTAAAAGTCCCCAAGTAAATTCCTGAAAAAAAAAAAATATAATCAATTATTTTTAATCCCAAAGGTATGACGAGTTACAAAGGGAAGAAGAGGAAGCAGAGAATGCCAACTTGGAGGTAGAGATCGAGTACCGCACCCCGACTGGCCTGGTGCTCCACTTCCAGCCTGACGGAGCCAGAGAGGGGGCTGTCCTGACCCAGCAGCCGGCAGTGTATGCCGTGGATGCCCTGGTAAATAGAATAATGAGATCCCTTAACACCACAGAGCTTTGTGAAGTTAATAATGATTTTATAAAATGAACTTTATCTGGAAGCCATTTGAAAGCCCCAGTCAACTAGTGGAAGAAAAACCTCAGTGAGTATAGGAAATGCCAGTATAAAACAATTTGATTACCAAATTGATGACCCTTCATTCCTGTGCTACATAAAATGAAATAACTGAAGTACTTAATAATTTCAGAAGCGTCCTTGGCATTTTGAATTCATGTGTGTGTTTCACAGATTATATGGAAATAAGATTGGAATACTGGTTATATCTGTGCAACAAGGTCGTATCTCCTAAAACGGGCCGTATGTGAAACGCGAGTTTCAGAATGTCAAAAGGTCGTATCTCGCTTCAAATAACCCGGATGTACACGCAATGTCAATGGACGTCGAGATACGACCTTGTTGCACGGAGCGTATTTTGTGCAAAATACGACTTTGTTGCAGAATGGAGTTACGACCTTGTTGCACTGACACAACAATTTTTTTTTATAACTTAACACAATTTAAGAAGACTTTAAAGCAGAAAATTGAAGTTTGGAAGCAGCTGTTATACTGTTTTTATTCTTTAAACTTGGATAAACGTGCACATTTTCACATTTTTCTCAAATGGATAAATAGTATGTTTGAATATAAAACTCCTAATTTCCTACAGTGAGGTCTAGTTGCAAAAGAAGAGTACAATGTAACGAAGGCGCATAGGCGTGGTTTCTGTATTATGTGCCAATTGTGCACTTGGGTTTTGGCGTCACTTGTATCATCATTTTGCTGTTTCTGTCAACCGAGTTGAGGGTCACACATAATCAGTCAGAAGGAGGCATCTAATGCAAAGTAACGAAAAGGATAGCTCATTAGCACTTGTATTTACATTATATTATATCCTATATTCTCATTGATGAATCCATAAGAGCTTGCAGTACAGGGTGAAACAGACAAGAAACTTTAGGGCAATACAGGAACCAATGAGTTATAGCTCTCAACCTTTTTTAAATTTTGCTTTTAAAGGGTAACAGACTCCCGCGGCTCGGAGCTCCGTCAAGCCCCTGGCAGCTGACGGTATCGATCAACCCATCGACCCCCAACGCCAACACCGTCCAGCTCACGGGCAACCTGACGGTGCCGTTTGACGGCAGCTTTGCCAACTTCACCGATCTGACCATCGCGGCCCAGACCACCGGTGTCATCCTGGACTTCCGCATCACCTCGCCCAACACCTCCAGCCTCGCTGTCACCGCCGAGCCGTTCGACGTGGCCGTCAGGCCGTATTACCTTGCCGCCGTGACTGTACCTGACTCGACTAACATGAACACCGCATTTGACGTGATCATCGAATTGAGGGATGAAATCACCATGGCTCTTCCGCAGAACTTGTCTGCTAAGGTGAGAAAGCATTTTAAAGACAGACTACAAAAGGCTTTTTCCAAATGCCAGCTCTTTTTTTGTTTTCAGGAGATTTTAGGCTCCTGTGGCCCTGACTTCAGGAAAATGAATTGCTATGACATGAGGAAGACTTTTATTTTATTTTGTACTGGGGCCAAAGAGTTTCTGCTCTTATTTTTGGCATTTCTGCTTATTTTGTTGATTCAAATTGGAGTGAAATTGGTTTCATTATGGCTTTATGAATAATCAATATTAGGGTTTTGCCCTTCACCGACGTATGATATAAACACTGTATACTCAGTGTTCCCCTCCCCCCCCCCCCCCCCCCCCGAGTGATTGTGCAAAAAAAAATCACTCGGTTGGGACTCGAACCCACGGCCTCCTGCTTACTAGCGCAGATGTCTTACCATCGACCACAAGGCTTGTGCTTATCTGTCTTATGAACTTATGACACTGAGAAAGTTTTGAATTCGGATTTTACATATGGTTTGGAACAAATTTACCCATAACAATGCTTGTCACGTGTCTGTTCTAAAAAAAAAATCGTGAAATTATACAATTTTACTTGTGGTTTGTTATGTTAACTGTTTTCATGCATGTATTTGATATGTCAGCTCATAGCACCTATGAGACAGAAGTGCCAATATCATGGCGCGTTGTTTTACACAAGTCTATAATTAGGCAGTTCTTCTGTACCCCAAAAGTTAATTTGTCCTAATTAATATCTCCACCTTTAGGGTCTCGAGTGGCACGCCTTGATTGCCCTCAACATGCCCACCAACTACAAGGGTCAACTGCTGGGTCAGCTGGAGACGACCTTCGACCTTGCGACCTCCCAGGCCCGCTTCACCAACCTGTCCATCAACGCGGCCGGAGTCAGCTACATACTAGCGGTCAGCGTGTTGACCCTTCCCTCCAGCTCCTATGAGCTCGGACTGACCCTCGACCCCTTCGACGTAGTGGACCCGAGCACGGTCAACGTGACGGGACCGACGCAGCGGATGGTGTTGCGCTTCCAGGTTGACTACGACGTGGTGGCCGCTGGTAAAGAGGACCTGCTGGAGATCAACTTCCTGAACTACATCAACGGCAAATACAACGGCGTTGCCATCAGCAACGTTTTGATCGAGAGGGGTATGAACACAATCTGTTATCTCTGAACTCTCTTCTCGTTCACTTTAAGTTGAAAATTGGTTCCCTCTTGCCCACGCCTTTCATTGGCTGTGTCCTCTTTTAGCTGTCATATTAGACACACCTTGTCATCTGCAGACTATTCAAAGTTTACCAGACCTTATTTTTTTTAGTGGTCTCTAATAATGGAATGCATCCATGCCACGGTGTGCATCACAAACTAAGGTTATTGTTTATTTTCTTGTAAACACACGGTTGAAGGCAAACAAACTGTACAAATTCATGCAAGCATGGCCTCTCACTGTTATGGCAAAACCATCGCAGTAATGGCAAAGTTTGACAAATATGTAGTTCCTCCTCCGACTCCATACTCAAAAGCCCAACTCCCCATCATCATTGAAAGATTGTACGTAAGCTTCTCTATACATATGTTTTTGCCTGCTTCTCCACTATTGGTTCCAGAACCAAATTGTTGGAGGAAGTTGGATGGGTTGTTTGTCAGTTTTTTTTGTTGGTTTGTTTGGGTTTTTTTTCGGGGGGTTTGATTTGAAGGGCCAAACCGACCAACCGGCTGACTGTTGCAAATTTAGAAAAGTGGAAGGGAGGGGGTTTTGCCTTTAATTTGTCACTTGTTCGGAAAGGGAGCGGGGATTTTTTGGTTCCTTTTGTTCTTTTCTTTCTTTCTATTATTCTTTCAACCTATTATTTAATCTATGGACGGAAATGGGTTGTGTAGACTACAGCATCCATTTCAAATAAGTTCCCCACCCCCCCCCCCAAAAAAGCGCATGTGTGTTGTTGTTTTTTTATGGAGGGGGTCCATGGCCCCTGTCAGCACCCATGGATCCTTCATGTTGTGAAATAAACAACTCTTCCTCATCCTTGCTCCTAATATCTGTCCAACCCCACAGGGTCTGTCCTGATCTCCTTTGACATGCAAGGCGACGTGGACACGGCCGTGGAGGAGCTGTGGACCGACGTCCAGGGAGGGCACTTCAGCTTGGAGTTTGATGGCCGCACCTTGGAGGCTGAGTCCTACCTGCTGGTGGACGGCGATGAGTACGGCGTACCAACAACATCGGTGAGTGTCAGTGCAGTAAGAAGTCTTGAGTTGTCTTCAAGTCATCACAAGTCAATCACAAGTCCTGTGTCAGTCATAAGCTGTCGTCATGTACTTTAGTGCATTCATCATATACATGATGGTCCAAAAAAAGTTTTTTTTTTCAGAGGCAGATTTCTTAATTAAAGACACATGTTGAAATTGTTTTATGGCATTCCTAAACTACAACATCTTGGAAGTATGTGGTGAAAACGGTGTTGAAAACAAAGCTCAAGTTAAGAAATAGTGGCCATTTACAGAAGAATTGTCAAAAACTAGTTTGTCCACATCTATTGCAGTCATGTAGATTTAATTACAATTAATGCAGTTCTTTGTGCATGCAGTACATACTATTGTGTTGACCATATCTCATAGACTTGAGTGTGGACAAACCGGTTTTTGACAATCTTTCTTGAAACCATCACCATTTCTTAATCTGGGCTTTATTTTCAGCGCCGTTTTCACCATATACCACGACGATGTTGTGCTTTAGGAATAAAATCTTGAAACAAATTTAACATGTCTCCCAATTTTAAGAAATTTACATCTGAAAAAGTGTAAAGTTTTTTTGGGACCACCCTGTATATCAGTGTAGGTTTTGCGACATTCAGGAGTGAAATAATAGACATTGAATCTAGTCAAACATTGAGTCTAGTCAACTGGACCTGGAAAGTTACTTGAGTGAATAGTTTCACAACCTGTCCAGGTTGTATCTTCAATTCTAACTGGTGTAAGACACAAACGTCTCTCAGACCAACAGTCCAGTCATCCGTAAAATCCCTTGACACTGTAACAAAAGAGCTATTGTCAGCAGCCCTTCACTGCACACATTGGTGATCTCCCACCTTTCAGTCACTCAGAGCTTCGACCTGGATAGGTTGCGAGCCTGCTCTCTAAAGTAAGCTTTTCGTGTTTGGTGCAAGACCTAACAATCAAGGACTAATTTTCAAGTGCCCTCTTGAAGAAAAAATATTGTATTTGTGTATTTTTGTAGTTTTTGTTTGTTAATATCTTTTTTATCTTTTGTTTTTAGGAACCGCCTGCAGGCTTCCCCATCTGGGCTATTGCTGTGATTGTTGTCATTGTCTTGGTGATACTTCTCCTCATCGCTCTAGTTGTTGTCAAGCTTTGCTGCAAACGAGGTCAGTTTTCTCCATTTCTCCACCATGGTCCACCCTTCTTCCACCCCCCCCCCACCCAACCCAACCCAACCCAACCCCCCACCCCACCCCAACCCCAACCCCACTGGCAAAACAACCCAAACAGACCACTTCATTAGGGAAGAATGCACAATTTTAGTAACTCAAGGTTGCATCCCAAGGTACCCCGTAAAACCCTGTAAAACCCCTAAATCCTTGTAGACACCTGAGGTGAACCTTGAGTTACCACCTTTGTAATTTCACATTCTAGCTCCCCATATCTCTTGAAAATACAAGTGTCAGCCCTCCAAAGATTTTGCATAACCTTTTTGGTCTTATTTGTAAACTTGCCATTGTTATCCTTTATCCAGATATTTATAGCCAAGCCCAATATTTAACCTCTTTTTTTCAGCACATTAGTTTCCTTTTTTTTTAATGTGGAAATTCAGTCCGATTAATTCTTTAAGTTTCGATTGTGTTTTGCAGCATTCTAAATGTTATAAGAGAAACTTCAGATATTAACCTGTATATCACATTGTAAAGGCCTATTAAAATAATCTTCCTTAATGAGCCTTTTATACCACACTCACCCCTCTTTCTCTTTTGTTTGTTAACCAAAACGCAGGCAAGAAGACAGGTATGATCGAGGAGGCACCACTGACCCAAGAGAACTTCAAGTTGAAGGAGTTTGCCAGCTCCGGCTCCCTCAACAATCCCCTGCTGAAGGTGAACGATGAACCGGATGCATTGTCGTAAGTATTGACCTGTCTGCAGGCCCGATTTTATCCGATAGGCACAGCATGCTGTGCAGGCGCGGTTCTACGGGGGGGCTAGGGGGAGCTTTAGCCCCCCCAAAATTTTGTCTAGCCCCCCAAAAATAAATTCCTTAAAAAAAATTGCATTAGCAAAAAGAAGGATTGTGATGTACATGTGAACGGTCTCCCCCTCAAGAAATAGTCGTGACAAGGGTGCATTAGTTAATATAGTGTGAATGATATTAGAATTTTATTGGCGCTCCCCATTGTAAATATGGCATGCCCCCCCCCCCCTATTGATTTTCGGAGGCCTAAGTGTCTGGAGAAAATAACCGGTCTACATTTCAGCACACCTCCCTGAAAAAAAATCTGGATCTACCCTGCTAGCCCCCCAAAAATATTGGTTCTAGAACTACGCCTGATGCTGTGCCTATGGGGCCTACGAAAAAATGTGCTACCAGTTTGCTACCAGCTACCAGTTTGGCTGGAACATGGAGTTTGTGCTGGTGCCTAGGATGGAGTAGGGCCTACAAAACACTGGTGCCTATAGGCCTACGGAACACTTACTCCAGCCCTGCCAGTCTGGAAAACACAAAATGCACAAGGGAAACCTAAATTAACAAAAATGGGAGATTGCTTATATATGTGCTAAATAGTTGGTAGAGCACCATAACAGTTTTTCCAGTGTTACAGGTTTGATTCCTACCAGGGGCGGATCCAGCTTTGGCTTAAGGGAGAGGAAGGGGGTTAGCTGTCAGTGGGGTGGGGGGCGGCATAGCAAGCATTTGCTTCGTTTCCTACATGATTTTCCTAATATTTTATATTTAGGCCAAGCCTAAACTCTGTGTTTTCCTTTTCTGCTAGTAGAGTTCTTCTCTTGTCTGTACCTGTACATCAAACAAAATTCAACTGATAATAAATCGTGATTTGTGTGTTTTGCACATGAAGGTTTGATCGCAAGGGCACCGATTCTCCCAACACACCCAGACGCACCCCGGAGGTACAGGTGACCGCCCTGCCGCCTGGCTTCAACGAGGCCACTGGACAGGAAGAACGATGTAAGTTGGAATTGCAACATGGGCCTGATCTTTTCCTTGTCAACCGCCACATCCAAATCTCTTCACCAGCGCTGTAACTAGGGTTAGACTTCTAGGGGGCACCAATTTTTCATTGAGGCACTGAAAACAACTGATATATTGTTTTTGTGCAATTCAAAATTTTAAATGGGGTGGGGGGATGGGGGGGGGGTAATGGACCTCCGCTGGGGGAATTTTTTTTTTGGTTGTTGGACGGTCATCTCTTCAAGTTTGGTGGAGCTAAATGTTTTTTAGAAGGAAGTGTTGGAGAAACAATCTTCAAATTTTCTACACAGTATTTACTAATCAATGTGTTGGTGAAATGAAACAATGTAGTTTGTTTGGGAAAGGCCAGCTTTTTGTTGTAAGTTTGTGTTTCCATTTGGCGTGCACGTACATTGTTGTATGTACCCATGAGTATTTAAACACCGGCAATCGTGTACTAGGGACAAAAGGGTTAGGGCACAAACAAAAGGTCCACGATTGACTGATAGTCCACAAATGAAATTTGTGTACAAAACCAATGAGAGCTGTTGCTAAAAAGTTAGGAGTACAAACAAAGGGATTATAGGGGGTCCACGATTGCTGGTGTTTACAAAGATGGGTGTGTGCGTATGTGGGTTGAACGTGCACGTGTAGTAATATTTGACCGCATGCTACCTGCTATATTCAGTTATTTGATATGTAAAACCCCTTTGCATTCTTTTCCCTAGTGCTGGAAGACCGGGTCAAGATGATGATCATGGTCAAGAACGCCGACGGCACCTTCCAGAAGCTCGGAGCGGTCCAGGCCAACAAGGTGGGCACAGCCCGGGCCCTGCGGGAGGACGTCAAGCGCGTCCTGCCAGGCAAGATGAAGGACAAGAAGTTCATCCTGCTGGACGAGACCCTGAAGGACATCGACGGGGCCAAGGAGAAGAAGGCCATGTTGTCTGAGATCTACCGCTCTGACTGCGTGCTCATGCGCTGGGTCAAAGAACAGGGTGAGTAGCGGCTAGATTTTCCAACAGCATTTGATGACGGTCTACCACCATGTGGCTGTAAAATATGTGGAATATTTCACTTGGTGAAGTTGATACACATTTTTGAAAGAGTACATCGTAAGCTGGAAAAACAATACAAATCTCATTGCATTTCCAGTTTTCTTTGCAAGGATTTGTTTTTCAAAGTCAATCAAAGTTTCCTTAGTCTTCCGTAAAAATGGGTTTTAAACTTGACCTGCTGAAATTCGTTCCTATTTTCTCAGAACTGTTGGAGAGTACTATAAACCATTCATTTCCAACCGACTGATTTTCAAAGCTTTCCATGCTGTAGTGAAAAACAGCCCATGGGTAGTGGATGGTAACATTCTGTTACTATATGGGAATGTTGAAATGTTTACAGCTGCAGCAATCTTAAACAAAAAATACTAAGTGGCCCATTTGCCTGACCAGTACATCACACTTTGTACAGAATTTGGCAGCCGTGATGTTAAGCTCTCGATCACTACAAAAAGAAAACCAAGTCCTATATTTGTCCGAAATGAGATCCTTGTTGGAACTGCATTTTGTAGGCTCATATTTGGAATACAGCCTGTCTAAAAAAAAAATGGTACAATCGAAAACGATTTTTTTTTTCAATATTAAAGCTCAATATAAGTAAGTCATTTTGAGCATCACATTAAAAAAAAAGACCAGGCTTTCCAATACTTTTTGTTTCATCTCATTTGCTTTTGTCAATCCAGAGATAACTCCAGTTTACTGCGGAACACAAAAATTGAGTTTGTTTCTTTTGCCAAGTTGCAATCTTTTGTGAGCTTTAAGACAGCATGGCACAGTACTCGAAACAACTCTGCCCATGCATAAAAGTGGCACAAAATCGATTTTGGTGTATCGCACTAAATTGATTATATCTCTGAATTGACAAAAGCAAGTAAGATCAAACAAACACTATTGGAAAGCCCGGTCTTTGTTCTTTAATATTATGCCAAGTAAAGAGGACTTATTTTGAAATTTCATATTTAACCTTTTTTTTTTCTGATTGTACCATTTTTTTTTGGACAGGCTGTATAACTTTCAACACAACCCCAACAAATCCTTTGTTTTTTTTCAATTTACATCTTCTTGTCCATGAAACATATTTCAATCTTCCTTTCAACCGATAAAAAAAGGTAAAGGGGGACGAACCTATGTTCACAGGAACGGAGTGCCCATCTCCCTTTCGTAGGGATTGGGCCAGACTCGAGTCCATGAAATACTGCTGTGGTGGGATTGCCACACCTCCTCCACAGCGAGTCTGTTAATACCTTCCCAGCATTGAATAATGCCACTGACCTTTTAGCACCTGGCTTGAAAGGAGTAATTGAGGTAAAGTGCCTTACTCAAGGGCACAACACGCATTGCCATGGTGGGGCTCAAACAAATGGGGCCCACAAATGATTCAACTGATACTTACTCCAAATTTCATCATTTTCCCAATTTTGAATTAACCCTTTGATACTTTTTTGTGTGTTATACCCAGATGTGGCCAAGCTGTGCGTGTGCGGTCTGGTGGGTCAGTTTGAGTGTTCCCTGTGTCGTCAGCAGACCTACTGCAGCCCACAGTGCCAGTCCACGGACTGGGTCCGTCATAGCATGCAGTGTTCAAGCTACGCCGTGGCATCGGTCGACAACCCACGCCTGTAGAGACGATCTCGCACATCCCCGACATGATCTTGCATTCCATTTTGTTTTGTTTGTTTTGCTTTGTTTTAGAATCCATCCAGACCAACACCTTGATTCAGAGTATTATTTTTGTCGTAGATAGTTTAAAGATCAAGTACTTTCAGAAATGCACAAACAAGTTTAAAAAATATATCTAAGACAAGAAGTAGTTTTCAAACTCCATCCAGATATAGCTACACCTTGATTTTAATTACTATTTGTGATAATTATTTGTGATAGATTTATACTATACTGAAAATGTTTAGATAATGAGTGTGAAAATAATTATTAAAACAATCTAAGGCTAACTTGATTTGGTGATGAGTTTTTTTTTTTACCCAGTTTCATTTTGAGATTGTTAAGTTAATGTTGTAGATTATAGTACTTTAAGTTGTTTAATTTTGTTTGAGTTGAATTAATATAAGAACAGATTTCATATACTTGTGATAATGTTTTGTATATCGTTACAGAAGCAATACTGAGCCTGGCTTTCTGCAAAAGATACACAAATGCAAAGGAAAGTTATTTTTTGTAATTCATAAAAAAGTACGTTCCTCAGAACTGGAATAGAAGAGTAAGAAAAGTTCAAGTGAAAAAAAGTAGTCCACAAAATTTCATGTAGAGTTTAGGGTGAAATCTATTGTTTTCCAGTTATTTGTTAAAATGTTGCTGGATAAAGCATTGCTTTCTGTATTTTGAAAGAAAAAAATTACTGCTGATTATTTCCTTTTTTTTTACAGTGTAAATTTTCTTCTATGGGATATTTGTATAATGCTTCTGTGAGATTTTCCTACTTTGCTACTGTAAATTGAGGTTTTAAAGAATCTTCTGTAAATTTCGGTGTTTGTGCCTTTTTTAATTTTAAAAGCGAAGGCATGCATATTGTATGTTGATCACAAAAACTGGTTAAAAGATATTGTCTGTTTTTTTAGGCAATACAAATTGTTCCTGATTTTGTTTTTGTTGGCGAGCTCGTGGTTGAAATCTAACATGGAGTGCCTTGTCTGTGTGGTCTCATTCCCAAAATTAAGGACCTTGCGAGTAAATCTTAGTTTTGAGTTCAGCCAGGGGAATTGTAGTAAATGTACCTGTCTGCCAGATACTTTGTAACAAATTGGTGTGTCATGCCACTCTGGGCCCAAGTTCACAGCTGCTTTAACAGCTGATTTTGTGCTAACATGGCCTCTGTCTATTTCATAGACACTGTAAGTAGCAAGCACGGCAAAAGCATGCTTAACCCCAGAGGAAAAAGTTGCTTAAATCAATGACATAAACAAAAGAAATCTCCATGAAATAGTGCTTAAGCAGCAGCATGATGTTCGGCCATGGTAAGCACAACTTTTCAGCTAAGTGTTAAGCAGTGCTATGAAATTGGGTTTTGGAGTTCATTTTAACCATGAAGGCAGAAACGGGCGTCCAGGCCAGAGCTGCCGGGGTATGTCTACGGTCACCATGTTGCCACGTAGTTGTTCATGGGCGAAGACCTAGACATTGACTCTAGACTTAGAGATTTGGATGTGGCGGTATATAACGATGAAGTGGCATGAGTGCCAATTATTGGAGTTTGCATGAACTTGATTTATAAATTATTATTAATTTATTATCTTTGTGGAACCACAACTTTCCAAGTGTGGATATGGGATTTTTCAGAGTTGATTGATCTCGAACTGATTGGAACATGAAGTTTTGGGATAGGGAAAATGTGAGATCGACTCTCGCCAATGCTTCCATTCTGGTATCAACTGAACTCACTCAGAACAATTCAGGTCAAATGAATCCAGGTCAAGATGCATGATGGGTTTCTGTTTATCAGTTAAGCTTAATTTTGATTAAAAATGTGTGGCCTATTTTAAAAAAAAAAAAAAGAAGTTTTTGTTGTCAAATCAACTAAGTTTTTATTTCTGTAAAAACGCTTTCCTCTTTTTGACTAACATTCCATAGTATTGTAATGAATTGTATTCAGAATTAACGTGGAAATGTTTGTAGAAGTCATTTATATAATGTTTTGCTGTGCATAATTTTCAGTGTTTTTTTGTTTGTTCAGGGGCGAGGTATTAAATAGAACTACAGAAGGCTGATAGTTTTCACATCCAAAAGGCTGAATGATAAATCTCAGTGGAATTGGATTTCATTCTGTAAGCTAATTAAAACCAATTTTGCATTTTCTTGTTATAGAAAAATTGATTATTGCTGTTTTTGTTTTTTATTGTTTATTTTGGTGTGATTTAACCATTATCATCACTGTGTGCATGAAGGTTTAAATCAGTGTATATGCAAACCATAGGAGGCTGTTTCCTCGGCAATTCCACAAAGTGACTTGAAAGATCATGGTTTTAAATGAAATTGAATTAATAGATAAACCAGCAAGTTATTCCGGGGGGTGTTTACTACTTTCATTTTCACTATAATTTCTTTATATGTGGTCAGTATTTTTGATATAACCGTAAAGAGCATTATTTTTGGTTTGATTGAAAGCAGTTTTAGTTTTGTAGTGTTGTACTGAATAGTGTGTGCCATTTGAATAAAGTTACAAAGTTTGAGCAGGAAAAAAACATTAACCACGTTGTGCTCAAAGGGTAATTTTACTACTTCTTTGTTCAACTGCATGAGGTTTTAGGGAGATGACATAATTTACCGTTTCAGAATTATTAAAAAGAAATACGCATGGGGAAAAAATGGCCAAAGTAACAAAATTAAAAGGGAACAAAAAGAATAATCCCTGAACACACTCCCCCCCCCCTTTTTGGCAAAAAGGAAGTCATGTTGGCCCAGTGTGCAAGAGCGGATACAGAACACATTTTTGTGGGCGGGGGGGGGGGGGGGCAGACAAATGTTGTTCCCCAAAAAATGTATCCCAAAAGATTACGGCGTGGGGTTCGAGTTCCCACTTAAAGGCCCTGAAATTGTTTTGGATTCTAGATGCTCTGTGTTGTTCTGAGGCAATTTATTTAACCAATTTTTTTTTTAAGGAAAAGATGGTGGTGTTCTCATTGCCTGCCTTTAATAATTGCGAAGTCATCTAAAATAACAAAACAAAAAAAATAAGCCTTTTCGGAGTTCCAACTGCGCATTCATAACCTGTGACAACGCGCATTGTTTGTCTCAAATGGCCTTTGACATCATCGCGCCACTGACTTTACAAAAAGGCTGTTTGTGCATTGTGGGTACTGTCAAAGGGCATTTGAGACAAATAATGTGCGTTGTCACAGGTTACGAATGCGCGCACTGAGTTGGAACTCCGAAAAGGCTTATTGGATCCGCCCTTGAGTTGTTACTTTCCTCGCCTTCCACCCTCTATGGCCCGGGTTCGATTCCTCCCCGAACCACATGTGGATCCCTACCTGATTCCTTGGGTTTCACCCAGAATATTCTTCCGGGGTTTTCCTCCCACGTCTAAAACTTCTCATTGTCTTTTCTCCTACCGGTTTCCTCAGGCTTGCAAACTACAGTGCCCAGGGCAGTTGTGAGGAATCCTTGGTTTCATTACAAGAAATAATTAAAATATAAAGTAAAGTAATTTTGTTAAAATGTGTCATAATATTCCGCAAACGTTTATTACATGTGTTGCATATACGTTTATTGTTAATAAAACTGACAGAAATATGGGTTAAAAAAAATGTTTATTTTGTGTAAATGATCGTGAAAAAAATAATTCGCTAATTGGTTTTGCCACGCCCCCAAACCGGGAAACATCGACCGGTATTGTATAACAGCGCCCTCTATAATGATGCCCTCATAGGAGTGAAATGGACTTGCACTTGGACGTCTGTACTAATTTTCCAAGGTACATGACACCACTTTACTGTGGTAACCCGACTACCATTGTGTTTGAACGATCGATAAAATCCTGACAATCAACTTTTGCCTAGCTAGGTTGTTGTTATCGCACATTCGGTGTTTCGGATTCGTTGCACAATATCAGCTGAGCTGGCGATCTGTCAAAGAGCAGACGATGACAAAAGAAAGCATATGAAGCTGTACATATTGTCCTTTGTTTTCGTAATAATTGAGCCGTACTCTTTGGATAAAATAAATAGGCTACTTTGTCAGCTTTCAACAGTTCAAGTTTTGAGGTGAGTAGCTTTTTATTTGGTGATATTTGGTAGCTTAAAATTGAAGCTAAAAAAATCGTCTAAAAAAATAACGTTAGCTTTGTTGATGAATGGAAAGAATGTTGCAACCTGACGCTGTATTTTTCTTCATATATCATCTTAATGAAGGTCAGTCATTGCAAAAATGACGATAAAACATGAATCTGGGACTGAGAAATACTTCCAATTTTGTGAGGAATTTTCTTGACTCTCCATAGACTTTTGTACACAACCACTGAAGCGTCAGGTTGCAACATTCTTTCCTTGCAAAATCATCATTGTCAAGTATCACATTTTTAACTTTGATAGCTTGATTCACCTTTGTATTCAGAAAGCTTTGTATGCAAGTACTTGTAACACTTGTGAAATGTCGTGCCGCGTGACAATTTTGAGTGTACATCTATTTACGCGAGGACAGAGCGTGGCAGTGTTTACAATGCCACGTTCGCGGGTCTACACCCTGACCATTCGGTTAAATGATAGTCTGGTTCCAACAGCCAAAGATCCTGATGTTGAATACTATTACAGGTCAGGGAACCAGATGGTTCCGTAACAATAGCAGTTGAAAATCGCATTACGGCTGCAGCTGTAACGGCACTGCAGATATTATTAGTTTTATTACTATTATTAATAGTTACGGTATTTTAGTAGGCTAAGTATTTCCCTCTTTTTTTATTGCAGGAAACTTGGAGGTTGCACATCTGTTACAATACCAGTAAAACTAGCCACATCGTGCAACCCAAATTATTAACAGGGAATCGGAATAATTTGCAAGGTGGGTTTTGGAGATATTTTCAATTATGTTGGGCCTAATTGCTTACAAACAGTATGTTTTTTTTTCTGAGGTTGAAAGTTCACCTAACGCTAGACCCCCAGCTGAAATTTTGAAAAGAAAAAGAAAAAGATGGGTCTGGTTGCATACAATCATGTAAGATCAAGATCATTGTCCTAATATTATGATATTTGCGATGTGTATTGCAAATGGGCAAACTATCTGTACATTTTACTATTCAATAGCATGTTGGTATTAAAAGTGCAATCTAAACATGTTTTTACCCTGTTTTTTTTTGGCATTGATGACAAGTTGAGACGCATAATTTGAGCTCTACATTATGCAGGCCAAAAGTCCACTCCCACTGTCCAAAGTCCAGCACAATGACATGTATGCTAATTCCCTGGATTGTGTGGGGAGCAAAGGCCAGCTGGCTGCTATTGTGTGTAACAGCTGACTGTTCAAAACTCCCTGGCACGCACCTAGTGCCTGGGGTAGACCCCTAGATTATGCAGGGTGATAACACATACAGGTAGCATTGTCAACCAGCTGGGTGCATTGTGCAATGTTTTGTGTACATAAGAAGACAATTATGAATGGAAATCAGGGGCCAATAATTTACATGTGGATCTGCACCATAGAGCTATATTAAATTACTAGAGCGCTAACTTCGTGTACAAAGTAATGCCTGCTGGGCGCATCCATGTTTGTGCACAAACCTATGGAGACCTAGAAATTTTGTACGGCTTTTGTACGGCTATTTGCATATCTGCATTTGTATTCCATACCGGTGCGTCATCGAAGCCGATACGCCCAAAACCGAAACGCACGATCAGCAAATGAGCGTGTCATTTTGCTCTACGCAAACAGCGCAACGCGTGCGCGTATTTGCTGCAGATGCTTTTGCCGCGCTTAAGTTGTTTGCGTATGTTCTACTTGCACGTTGCATGTAGAGTACACTTTCAAAATTCAATCCATCTGATTTCATTATGTTCTACAAACACGCACATGAATTCAAGATGTCTGCGCCCAGGACGGCTTCAAAGCGTCTCCGCGCGCAGAATGACGAGTTAGCGCTCTAGTTATTTGATATAGCTCTATGATCTGCACATACTGGAATGTGATCATGTTGAGCCAGAAGAAATAAAAATGGAATTTTGCTCTGTGATGCTTTTTACTTGTTCTTGCACACCTATGTAGAGCAAGAGCTGTTTTGTTTTTTTGTCCTTGACCTTGATGACCAGTGGTTTTCCACCAGCAATTTTATGGCTGTTTTGGTGGGCTGCCCTGGGAACATTTTACATTCAGTCGTCATGCACAAGCTTTGCCACCCCATCAAATTGTTTATTGCCCTTGTGTGTTGGTTTTACAAGTGCATCATCCTCTTCACATTGTTGAAGTGCATTGTGTATTTAAGGAAAAAGATTGAAGATTTTTACCTCACAGTCAACAGCAGGAGGGGGGGGGGGCATAAAAAATTGTCGCCCCCCCTGGAAATTTGAATCGAAAGGACAGTAAAACATTAAAAAATCTAGCTATTTTTTGTGCTGAAATATGTGGTTGTAACATGGAGGTTTCTGCCCAGAACGATATCACAGTTTTTGCTTATGAAAAGGGAATTTTGCACTGGCTTAAAAACAAGAAATGTAACAAAACACCCTTGCAAATGGCAAAACGAAAATTAAAAATAAGGTCAAATGGGACACAAAGGTAGATTTTCAAGGATTGCATTAAAAAAATTACATTGCCTGGCCCGTTAAGTATATATCACCATTGTGTGTGTTTAAAAATATCTGATTTGTTCGCTTGTTATGCATGACTGAATTGGAGGTCATACTCTGAATACACTCGTGGTACGTGGCCAACCTTTTCAATATTTTTCATTCATCGGGGTAACCCACCCATACGGAGTTGGCGCCTTTTTTCAGTGAATTTGCCTTGAAATCCATGCAAGTTCGTACAATATTTTCCCCTGACCCTAAGGATTGACCCTGAGTTAAGGCAGGAGGTGAGGCAGGTCAAATCTCCGGGGGTGATTTGTATTATTTACCAGGAAAGCCGAGTTCAAAAAAGGTCTTGCCCAGTTTGTCCGGATAAACCTGACTAATTTTCAGAGTTTGGCTGTACGTGTAGGTAGGTACTGTACAATGTATGTGTATGAAATATTATACAAATAATGAATGTTTATGAGTGTAATGGTGAGAATATTTTCATGAGTTGAAAGATTGAATGTTCCGTTCAACAAGGTGAAGCCGAGTTGAATGGAGCATTCCATCTTTCAACGAATGAAAATATTCTCACCATTGCACGGATGCAAAACAAAACGTGTACTGCGCAAATGGCACAGACACAGCGGTGCCTAAAAAAAGTGTTTTAAACCAGTTGGTATTTTTATCAAATGTTTGAAACCACCCACTTGACGGGCTCTCGACTAATAGGAATGGGTAAATTGTCCGTAGGTATAAAAATGAATTAGATTTAAAAATCTTCATGTATTTGTGCAATTTTATAGAAGAATTGAAGTAACCCTCCGTTTCATTAAATTTGCATTCCCTGTCTTGTCTTCTTAATTTCATCCTAAAAAAATTAATAAAAAAATAGATTCCTTTTCTAAATTGCTATTTTCCCAGCAATTACAAAAATTATTCACTTTTGAATGAGACATCAGTACCTGTAAGTAAGAAATTTATTAAGAGATTTTTTTTATCTGTTGAAGGAGCACAGGGAACACAACATTTGTGATGCGATCAAGCTAAATGAGTCGTTTGCCGGCAATTATGATTTGAAGATACAGCCCAACATCTGTCAGTAGGGGTGGAAATTTCAAAATTGCCTTTTTTTTGGAAAAATCGGAAGGCTACATACATTTCGGAAGGAAATAAAGCATGTTTATTGTTGCTTAATAAACAATTCAATTTTGAATGGTTGATTTCTCTGTTTGATTTCTCTGTTTTCTTCTTTCTGATCTGCCTGTGTTCTAAGTCCCATAACTTCTGAACGGAAGGTCGTATTCACACGGGGTTTTCATCAAATATAAAGTGAAAGGTAGCTCTATTCAAAAATAAAAAAAACACCAAAACTTGGTAAGGGCCAACAAATGACTCATTTACATGTAGCTTGATCGCATCACATTTGGTGTGTTATTATAGTGTATTACTTTCCTCAGGAAACCACAAGATCACTTCCTATATTGTGTGTACATTTTGCATTGTACTGTGTGAACCTGGCTTTGAATGAACCACTATTGCATCAGGTCATTGTGCCCTATCTGTGCATTATGTACGCATGTACCCCGCAGTTTGTATAATGACTGATTGCTTTTGTGCTGGACAGCTATAGTCTGTACAATTACCACAAAATCAGCTCGTCAATAGACCAGCTATTATTTATGCCTAGATGGACACTTGCTAGTACTCATAATGGGCTCGCATGATGCCTGCATTCAAATTGGTGTATTTGATCAATATCACTATAACCACATCCTTCCTTCAGTTACCAGGTACCAATTTCATGCCAAAAACTGTCCGGTGCGAAGTAGTGACCGCTGAACATGCGCGCAGTAGACGCTGGACACTATTTGGCACGTAATACATGTAGGCTCTATGTGCCAAATAGTGTCCGGTGCTAAATAGTGTCTGAGTGCAATTCTGGGTTCCATGGTCAATGTCATGCATTGCAACATGGGTTTCAGAACCAATTCCCTTTAAGTTTAAATTTTACATAAATACATGTCGGTTACTTAATTCGGGCGATTCACAATGCAGTGCGCCACCAAGAGTTTGCCATGGAGAGTCCGTTTTTTTTCCAAGTGTACGGTCGACAAAACATGGCCCGTTTGAACGAGTGTCAGTAGACAACTTGAGCTAATTTGTTATAGATTGGGGCAAAGCGTTCTGCCGCCTTACAAAAAAAACACCAGCATATTGATAAAAAGAAAAGGGCAAACATATACTGGAATCATACACTGGCGAAACTACTGACCGGAAAAACTAATAATTTCAAATGTCCCGCGCTGCGAATTTGTTAACCACCTCCCACAATGCACTGGGAAAAATGAACTCTCAGTGGCAAACTCTTGGTGGCGCACTGCATTGTGAAACGTCCAAATTGGAGAAAAAAAAACTGGGGGCCAAGGAAAAATACACATCCCAATGGAGTTAGTTAAGTCTGTGCATTGCTGAGAATTTATGGGTTACTTTCTGCCAACAAATTATGGGGGAAATTATTAAACCAAAAATGTACAGTACATTGATACGGAGCAGGATGGTGACCATTCAAAATTTGACACTTACAGTAGTTTATGTACTTCATTCTGAGGCCTTTTTGTTGGGGGGGGGTAATTTTCACTGCAACTGTTCTTAACTTGCACAATGTATGATATAATGCTAAAAACTAGAATTAAATTTATCTGTATAAGTTTTTTCTGTATGCCACAACTATGAAAATTCATGTTACAGTATATGTAGATCTACATGTACGTGTACCAACTAATTACCCATGGAAACAATTTTATTGCTTACTGTGTATTCTCGTTAATTAAATTCAGGACACCATGTTTAAAGAAATACAAGGTTTCGACATGTTTGTGTAAGAGTCCAAAGTCTGATACATACATGTAGTAAAGCGACTTCAAACTGTTTACGGACAATTAGCTTTAAATGATGTGAGCCGAGATTACCAAACATCAATTTTTTCTGCAAACACTGCTCGGCAGGGAATCAACATCAAATGGTGATGTTTCAGGTTATTGAATTATCCAAGCAGTACCGGGTACCTATAGTCCAAACAATCTTGTTCTAGTTTGAAAATAAAGTTTAATGAAAATTTGTCTAAAATACATGAAAATATTTCTATATTTTTGGAAAAATATTTTTATTTTTTTTCTATACTTTTTTTACTAAAAAAAGCTTACGCAGGCCCAATTTATGGTTTCTCAAACCAGAGGAATATCCACTGTTGCTATATGTATGCCTACATGTACCAGTACCGGAAGATGTAGAACAAAAAGATGTTGCAAGAACTTTTTCTTCCACATTCTGCATCTTTTTGGAGCTCCCCGCCTAGTGCTTGTTTCCCTCCTACCTATGATCTGTCCTGTTTCAAAAGAGGAATGTCAATTCCGAGGATTCAGTATTTTTCTGAGTACATACCGGAACTCTTTGTTTAATTTCACTTATAGCCCTGTACATTTGTACCTCAAGTGGCAAATGTATACAAATGTTGCCTAGAAGGTGTTTGCAAATATTAGCCAGGAAACTAGCCACAGGTGACACGCGAACATGTTTTGGCTTTGTGCACATTCAGAATAAAAACGGTGTGCGTACTTCGCACTACACACGTGTGAACCAGTATGCGCACGTGGTGTGTCCCATCCGCGGGGCTCTCAAAAGTTAAAAAAAACAAAACAATAGCCTCTCTTGTTCACGCAAGGAGCCAATACAGCATACATTAGTATGAGTTGTTTGCTTGTTACCATCTTTCTTATTATCCAAGACTAAATACATTTTAGTGTATTCATAAGATGGAATTTTGCGTTGGGGTGATGTAAATCAATATTAGGTTTTTCCCTTCACTGACGTATAAACACTGTATGCTCGGTATACTCGAACCTGCCAACCGATCCCGCAAGCTCGGTGGTCGAGTGGTAAGACGTCTGCACTAAAAAACAGGAGGTCGTGGGTCCCACCTGAGTGATTTTTACAACTTTCACTGGGAGGTAACACACTGAGTATACAGTGTTTATACGTCAGTGAAGGGCAAAACCTAATATTGAATTTAAGTCTACCGTCTATAGAAGCACCGTACAATGTTATCCTAGATTACACGAAAGAGACCTTTCAACTTCTTTTGCACTTCTGTATTTTGCACTTCCTGACCACTGTTGAATATTTTCTTTGTTTGCAGCACTTCTAGTTTCACCACAATCACCTGGACCCCCTCACCACGATGAACTCGCAGAACAGCCTGAGCTCTGAGTCCTCCATGGGCTCACAGCCTCACCACAAGAAGTACCGTAGGCAGACCCACAAACGAATCTTCGTCAATCGCAGCCTGAACCTGGAGAAGATCAAGTTTTTCGGTTTCGACATGGACTACACGCTAGCAAGTAGGTTTCGAATGTTTAAAGGGCATGTCACTCTATCCAAAAATCTCTTTGTTGGACCCGGGTCAACCCATCACAGTACGCGTACTCGAATAGCAGTACTCGGAAAAAAAATGGTATAGCTTGACGTATCACGGCTTATTTTATTATTGATAGTTTCAGTTGAAAATGGTTGATTGGCTTGCAGAGAAATCAAAGTTTCCTGATTTTCCTCTGTGCACATCTGGACAAAATGCATTTAACAGCTAGCCGTGAGTGGGTCTGTATATTGATCTGACTGGGCCTGGGACAATTACGCACAATGAACCATTTGCCGTATGGCCGTATTCGGAAATAGAAGTACTTGTACTCGTACTCGTATTGTACTTGTACTCGGAATACAAGTACCTGTACTCGTACTCGAAAGTACAAGTATTCGTACTCGGAGACCTGAACTTGTACTTGGAAGTACAAGTACTCGTACTCGGTAACCTAAGTACTCGGCAGTACTCGGTACTCAGAAAAAAGTTCTCGACTTCAACACTGAATTCAACCCTAACCCCCTAGTAGTTCCCCAGGGCTACCTTGAAAAATTTATCCAACAGAGTCCCAACGGTTACTCGTATGAGTTTCCTGCTCCATCCAACATAATCCCACACAATCCAACTTGCCAAGTTGTTCGGTAAGTGAAAATATAAAATGACTGGCCTGCTCAACCCAACAGAATCCAAACTGTGCCTTATTTTTCTGTTTGCTGCTGGATCCAACAGAGTCCAACTCTGCATTATTTACCAGTGCCCAACAAAATCTGACTATTAATGTTTTTAATTGCCTGCTGAATCCAACAGATTTCAACAGAAATACACAAGGGGTTTACTGCTCAATCTAACAGGACCCAACGAAAATTATGTAAAATAGTTGGATCTTGTTGGATTGAGCAGGAAACATGTACATAATGATAACAATTATTTCTTACCCATTACAGTAGTTTCCATGTAATTTGACATTCACAAACAATTAAATGTCATGAATCACACACTACATGTATGATGGAAACATTTAGATCCTCTAATTTCCGTTCTAACTTTTGCAATAAGCCTTCAGTTGTTTTTTTCTTCTCAGAATTCAAGCCAAATCACTATTATTAGAGTTCCAGAAATAACAGAGTTTTAAGAAAGTGGTCGTTATCCACGCTTAACCAGGCAATTCGTATTGGTTCGTTGACATTTATTGATTTTGTTTTTCCTTTTAGCCTTGTAATGATCAGACCATATGTGCTGTGCAGTTGTGTCAAATTAATTGATGCATATTTATCAATGCAAATTGTATGTGTTACATGTACAGTTTGTAAAATATTTACATGTTAGCATTTTCAATTCTACATGTTGTCACCTGGTGTAGGCCTATACATATACAAATTACTTTGTGCTTTTTTGCGTAATGTATTATACTGTGAGTTCATTTGGTTCAAAATCACGATCCAGAGGATTTTTTAAAGAAGTTTTGACATTTCAATATTTTTTTATTATCTCAATTTCATCACTGATGTGTGCACATGTATATTTTCCAATCTCCTGTTTATTTTCCTGTTATTTTTGTAGTGTATTTTCTAAATGAATTTAGAAGAATATATTTGTACATGTATATTATCCAAATCAACTCAATTTTGTAATCAAAAATTAGTGCAGGTGTAACGTACACATCCTTTTGCAAGGTACCTACCGGGGTACATATTGTGGATCAGTCCATAAAGTTGGGGTCCAATTCCTTTTGTGTCCCTTTTAAATCTGATGTAACATTTTGTAAATTCAGGGCACATTCTTGAAATAATGCCTTCTGTCTCCAAGAGTGATTAAAGTAAAGTACCTGCCACTTAAATGTAACAAATAGTTTGAAGTCAATTTCAATGATACTTGCATGGTAGACTGTACACAGGGCAAGTGTAACAGGGATACAAAAATGTCACACTTTTGGACCTGAATTAATGGACTGACTGATGTACACATTTTTCATTGGACGGTGTACGTTTTTTTGTATAACACACTCTTTAGCAAATTGTTTGTACAGCGTTTTGATATTATTATAAGCATACCTGAATCCTGATAGTGATGAAGTTGTACACATACCACAATTTCAGTCTTGAACATCAAAACTTTTGAAACGAATAGAACCCTTTGTGACAAAAAAAGGTTGGGAACTGCTTTATTCAGTTTCTGTGAAAGGGAGAGTTTTTTATCTGTAAGTTGAAGCCTTTTTCCAATCTCTCACGGCTGATTTAACATTCATTGGCAATTTGCCTTTATGCTGGTAGAAATTGTACATCAAGGTCAAAGTAGAGTTTCTGTCCCTGTATATCAACACTCAGTTCCAAGGTGATTTTCAGTTGGACAGTGCGTGCATTTTCAATTTTGGGCATGAATTTACTGAATTGTACATGTAGTTATTGTAGTGAAAGGTGTGCCAGTTTTTTAACATCTGGAGAACGGGCAGACTGGGACCTTGAGTGTAAAAAAACATGCTAAACAAAGTCAGGCCAACTTTACTCACTCTGTAGCTGACAAAAATTCTCCAAAATTTGTGTAAGGCAACTTTAGGTCCTCAGTGTTTCACCAGCCAAGTTGGAGGTCTCAATGCAGTTTTTAAAGGGGACTTTTCTTCAACATTTTGAACCTGAGAGTGAAGCCAAGAGGTTTAAATTTGAAGCATTAGACTGGTACATGTAATGTCCAACTTTTTGAGAAGATGGACCCTTCAGTAGTCTGGTGGCATGACTATGAAAATGTGCAGAAATAAAGACTGGGTCCCAAATTTTCAGACTTGGGAGTGGGTAGTTTATTTGCCCACAAATAAATCATTTGTGAAACAATTTTTTGTTCATCCCCAAATTTGTTCTAGTCTAGAACCTTACCTTGACCACATAAATCCTTAAAATGAAATTGTGTGAAGTCAAATACATACATGTACCGGTACATGTACAGGTTTAAACATGTTATGCACAAGATTGTCAAAGTCAATGTGTACCTACATTTGTACATCCCCTAAGGAAGGTGTATCAATGTAGAACCTTTTTCTGGAATTAGAAGATGATGACAGGTAACTTCACACTGGAATACTTTCCTTACTGAGCCCCACTAAAGCAAGTTCACAGTATAGTTCTCTGTCAAAGATTCAAGAGTTAGTAGGATTTCAGTTACTTTTTTTTGTTAATTTGTAGTTTTGTCAAAAAAACTCCTATAGGTAAATTTCAAATTATATGCCAAGCCAGGGCTCTCAGTGTCAAGTCTTGTGTGAGGTTGGAGATCTTTTTTTTGGTCTATTTGTACCAGAAACGAGAGCACAGAGGTTTCCATGCTAATATGAAACAAGTTTTGACTTTATGCAAAAGAAGATGGGGTTGCAGTAACTAATAGTTACTTTTATTTTTGTTTTGTTTATATTCTTCACAGTGTACAAATCACCACAATATGAGCAGCTTGGGTTTGACTTGGTCGTCGAGCGACTGGTCTCCATCGGTTACCCTCAGGTTTGTCCACATTTTACTCATTTGTTGTCTCCACTTTTGCTACTTGCTTCCTTTTTTCCCAGTCACTCGCCCCAGCCAAAACCATTTGGCTACGAAATTAATTTGCCTTAAACAGATGGAATTAAAACAATGCATAATTGATGTTGAGTCAATATACATAATTATGTACATTGTACATGTACAAAAATGTATCTGCTGGTCATATATACATGTACAACGGACATCAGGGTCATGGCTCAGCTCACCGTTAGCAAAAAATTCCCTGGTTACTGTAGCAGAAAATTCTGTGCACATGGTAAGCATATTTCAGGGGTTAGGGCCTAGCGAGGAATTTTGGCGTATGTGCATATGCTTACATACATCCCCTAACTAAGGATTCTGTGCTTAATAATAATTTGTTGCTTATAAAGCGCGTTAGCCTATACCAAAGGTTTCAAAGCGCTTCACAATTATTACCCCTGTTCATCAGGCCATGAGACCAGTTTCTGCAGCAGCTCAAGATCAGCGCAATCTGGTCTCTACCTTCACAGGTACCCATTTATACTCCTGGGTGGAGAGAGCCAATTGTAGTAAAGTGTCTTGCCCAAGAACACAAGCACCATGTTCCCTGTCGGGGTTCGAACCTATGTACTGCGGCATGTGAGTCGAACACCGTTACCATTGGACCAAATAGTTAGTGCAGAATTTTTTTCTGCTAGCGCTTTTAGCACAGAAATGGTGATCGTAAGCGCAGAATGCTGTGGTTAACAGAGCCATGAAATTGGGCCCAGTTTGAGCGTAGGCTAGCCACATGCAAACAATTAAACTTCACCACATTTCTATTGCAATTTCCTGATGACACTGTGTGTGCATGTTCGAAGGAGATTCAAATTTCCATGCCATGTTTTGTGGTAAGGTTTAAATTATTGAATGCGGTAAGCCACATTGGTCACGGCTCATTTCAGTACCATAAATGTCAACTGTGGATCCGTTGGTCATTTATTTAAAATCATTTATTGTTTGCAGATGTAATGTCAATGTCTGTTTCTATGCTGTGTGTAAACATTCACACATTTCAAACTTCGTATTCATATCAGTGCACTTGTTCCACTTGATATAACCTTCAGCTGAATATTCGATTTGGTTTCCACGAAAATCAGTCGAGGTCCCCAGTTCAAGGTTAAAATTATAAAGTGCACGCATGTAGAACACAGTTATTGAAGGAGACCAAAAAATATTTCAAAAGCAACTTTTTTTTTTTTTACTGTGGGACGAACTCTTGTTGACCTAGGGAGTCCAGTCATACTGCCCTCGTGTGACCAATCAGAGGGTGATGTTGAGTAATATAAACCACAACACCTGCTGTACTTAGAAACATCTGGTGTGGGTTACTTAGCAGACGTGGTGTCACTTAAAGGACATCGTTAGACTACTCCGGTTGACCATGGGGTTGACTCACATTTTGTCAGAAAGTGCGATCAACCCTCCTTGCTCGCTTTAATACTGGCACAAGGGGAACAAGGTGCTTGTGTTCTTTGGCAAGACACTTAACTACAATTGCCTCTCTCCACCCTGGAGTATAAATGGGTACCTGTGAGGGTAGAGACCAGAATGCACTGATCTCGAGCTGCTGCAAAAACTGGTCTCATGGTCTGGTTGGGGGGGGGGGGGGGGTTGATTTTGCCCCCCCCCCAAGATCTCGGCCATCGAGTGACGACAAATTTTGAAACTCAGTACATGCATACAACAACTTATGAACATACCCAAGAAATTTCATGACTATACTGGTAGGTCAAAGGGTTTTGGAATTATGGCTAATTAATTATTCATATGTACAAACGGTAATTCTGCTCTGTGTACTCGACATATATGGGAAAATTCAGTTTTCATGGCGCATAGCGCCGGAAAATTTGTCGCTGCGCAGCAACCCGATATTTTTGTTTTTGGTATCAAAAGATGAGCAAGGTTTGAGGCTAAAACGTCATAACAGCTCGGGTCGCAAAAAAAAAATTCAAGGCTATCGTGGAAAAAGTTGAGGGGGGATGGGCAGATTCCTCCCCCCCCCCCCGGCCCTTTTAGGGTTAACCTGTTAGTCACTGTAGCGCTCGAAACAGCCCGAGTACTATATGGTTTAACTGGCTTTTCAGTGAATAAATACAATGTAATACACACACGTACAGGTGCTAATGGGTCGAATAAAACAACCAAAATGAAAACGCATGAGAAGACAAAAAAATTGAACCGTTTGAAGAGACATGGGTAGAGAACTTTAAAGTGAACCCTCACTGTCTGAACTTTTCCCGAATATTTTCATTGGACATCTTCCTTAAAGTTTTTAATGTTGATCTCTTGATGGGTTTTCCTTTTTTTTCCCCAAACAAAATGAGTTTAATTTTTCAATTGAAAGGTTCTCTTTTCCCTCCACAGGAATTGTACAGCTTTGTCTATGACCCTTGTTTCCCCATCAGAGGACTATTCTTTGATAAGACGTACGGCAATCTACTCAAGGTACGGTACACATCCATTGGGCTGGAATGAATGTATTGCCCGGCACAACAATTGCCACAGCATCCTAGAATTACAAAAAAAGTAGGATATGTACAAACCATTATTAGTAGGGCATTATACAAATATTGAGTGGCTCAGCGTTGAATGGGAGGAATATTATCGCACGGTAAAATCTGGACTTTCCCATTTCACAAGGCGAAGCCGAGTGAACTGGAAAAGTCCCGATTTTACCGAGTGATACTATTCCTCCCATTTCACAAATTAAAGCCACTCAATATTTGTTTTATATAACTGACATATAGATCCTTGTCATTTGATATATTTGAACTTTTATTTCAATACAAAAGTGGAGGAAAATGTATTTCTCTCTTTGAAACCACCCCTTCACGAAAATGTTTGAACGCAACGTTGTAGCGCTTGCTCTTTGGAACAATACGCGCTACGAGCAACGCTGAACGCGCTTACCAGCATGCATTTGCACACGAATACCGCGTCGTGATCCTAACTGTTGAATAGTATTTCCCATTCCCCATGGGCGGATAGTACTTTTTGAGCCGCGGCGTGAATGGGAGCAATGACGAATGTCACGTGATGTGAGTTCCACCAATCAAATGACAAGGATCTGTATGTCGGTTAATGCTGAATATATTGAACACTCGAATATTGGATCATCAACCAAATATCCAAATTCCTTTTTTTAGTTTAAAAGTTTAAATAGTCACAGGCCCTTTTTTATAAACTCACAAGTTTTTCAAATAAACTAGCTGCTGATAATGACCTTCGGCCCGGCCATCATCCATGTCCAGGCCCCTAGCAGGTTTCACACATTTATTCCCTTATCAAAGACGTTTATTTGGTCCTGTTCATCCCCTTTTTCTTTTGACTGGACTTGTGATTTACTTGTGACCTTGATCCATCGCAAGACCCTCCACTACAACACTGTTTGAAACAGAAGTCAGAAATTTCCAAACTTGTTATAACAATTGCTTTTGAAATGTGAGTGGTACCATGCAAAATACAGGATTGCCGTGTCTCCCCCCCAAAAAAGAAAATTGTATTTTGAAGATGTTTAATGATTCCTAATTCTCAACAGATGGACCCGTACGGTAACATCCTGGTGGCAGTCCACGGCTTCCGCTTTCTGCATACCAGTGAGATGCTCAAGCTATATCCCAACAAGTTTCTGGCTCTGAAGAGCAACGACGAGAGACTGTTTATCCTGAACACTCTCTTCAATCTACCAGGTAAAAAAATAGAAAACAGGGTTGGTCCTGTGCTCTCCAATACAATACATTGGATTTTTTTTCCATGGCAAATGTTCAACTATTTCAGACATCTGCAACCCTGTGGAAAATGACTTTTTGTTTTAAACCAGTCTTCTCTCTCACCCAGTCCTGGTTGGTGCTGGGGTGGGGGGATGACCAGTCTACCATGCGAGAACTAAATTATTATGATGATTGATCAGGCTGCATATAACTTGGCATTTGTACATGATCCAACATATAAATATGGGCCGTTTAAATAAAACAATTTTTTTTTATTATGATGTCTCATTCAAAAGTGAATAACTGTTGATTTGTCTTTCTGTTTGTGGCCTCTTAAATGACCCATGCAATGTAATTTTCATTAATGCGATCCTTGAAAATGCACCTCTGCCCATTTAACCTTATTTTTAATTTTTGTTTTGCTTTTTTAAGGACATTTTGGTGCCTTTTTGTTTTTTATGCTAATGCAAATTTCAATATTCATGAGCAAAAGTGTGATGTCATTTCAGGCAGAAACCTCAATGTTACAGCTATTACAGCACCACAAGTTGCCAGAATTTTGGATATTTTGCTGTTGTAAATTTTCTTTTCTTTGGTGATTCGTTGTTGTGTCAGTACATGGCAGCAAGCCCATTAGAAAACATTATTCACAAACGTTTTCAAATGAGCAAACTTTTGGGTTCACAATTTGAACAGAAAATGCCCTAAAACTGAACAGCGTCTTCCTGAAATGACATCACAGCAACAGTGCCCTCAGTTGTCCAAAAAAGCATTGAAAATGTTAAATTTAAAAGAATTGTACTTTTTGATATAAGTAACCAAAAAGGGATTTCATGTAGTTTTCATACATTTAAAGGGAATGTACATCATTGGGTTTTGCTATAATTTTCAGAAATGAACTATTTGAGGGGTTAGTATAATAGATCAAATATTGTTACTCTGACACGTTTAAAGTTTTGTGTTCGAAAATGCTGGAAAAACCAAGAAAAACAAAAAAGTTCAAGTAGTCTGGTTCCCCGACTCCACTAAAGATGAAATGGATCACTTTATAGATGCCGGAAAATTGAAAAGTAAGGGAACCAGTCTAGCTGACCTGTACCCGTTCATGAACATGTAACCAATAGCAAACAAAATTGGGACTGAAAAAAAGGTACATTTGGAGCAGTAGTTGAAAAATAATTAGGTTTTTCCAACGGTGGTCGGCCGACCACCGTTAGAAATGTAAACAAATATACCATTTTCTTGAATATGACTTCGCCCCAGGTGCCATAATTTCACAGGATGCTTGAGGCTGTCATTTACCAACATCCTAGTAAGGTTTTTCATAAAAACTTGGTAGTTTTATTTTTGGATGTTTTGCAAATGTTGTATTTTCCCTTTAAGAGGAGAAAGTTGCACAGAATATGTTCCTAAAGAAAATTCATTGCATGGACCCTGTAAGATATTTAATCACAATCATTTTAATTATTTCTTTCGAATGTGTAGAAACCTACCTACTTGCATGTCTGGTCAACTACTTCATCACGTCTCAGGACTACACGGAGACAGAGACCGGGGTCAAGAAGGGTGACCTGATGCTGTCATGGGAGAGCATCTTTGAAGACACCCGCAATGCTGTCGATTACGTTCACATCGGGGTATGTGCCACGCATGTACGTCAAGGTCTTCTTGTACTTTGTCTGTGCTCATATGAAAATGTCTTTAATCCTAAGTCAGATTTAAAGCTTTGCATGGTGGAGATACTAAATAATGAAAGGTTTGCGGAAACACCATGTGCGAATAATTTCCCAACTAAGAGAATGGTTCTGAAAAGAACCAGAGGTATAAACTCGACGTTCCGGTCAGTATGCTCTGACCATCTTCAGGACAGTGCCTAAACTCTAAGAAAGAGTTTAATCCTCCTAGTCTTTTGCACAACTCTTCAAGTTTTTGTAAAACCTCTTTTGTTCCCGTAGATTTGGCACCCACAATTCAGATTCCTTTTGTGTAGTTACATGTGAGCTCGGGGCAAGCAGACAGATTCGGTCACGCTTTGCTGCTCTCCGCAGCACCATTTTTTTATGCAGTAACTCACTGTGTGACATTTACTTTAACACTTCATATCCCTTCACCTGAAACTGACCTGCAGGGTTTAAAGGTTTTACATATATACTTCCCATTAGGTGCATGGGCGTCAATCGGTGGGGGACGGAGGGGGGACAAGTCCCCCCCCCCCCCACTTTTTAAAGTGGGGGGAGGGGGATATATCGTTTGTCTCCCCCATTTTTATTCGTCCCCGAATATAAATTGTAGCCTATATATGATTCTGTGGCTCAGAAAGCTGATTCAATTACTCCAAACTCAAAAATGATTTTTAAAAGGTGATCTTTTGCTCAAAACAGTGGTTTAAGTTTTCAGAAATTGCCTCAGATTGCACCACAGAGTGTCTAGAATCCAAATTATTTTGGGCCCTTAAGCAGGCCTTGGACCCCACGCCATTCGGGCTTCACGCTTTATGCTTGAATTACTGCTGATCGAGGTATCCCCTCCCCCACTTTTGAGAAGCGATTGACACCCCTGACTAGGAGGGTCAATAACTACTGAAGGATAGTTACACCCGTACTTTGGTACAATTTATTTGAAAAAAACTTGTACTTGTGTCCTTATTTTTCTGTATTCAACTATTTCTGGAGGATTATAAATCATGTTCTTTTGTACAATTAAAGAAAAGTATACTCTCACAAAACTGACTTTATGTGACCTTATTCTGCCCCCTCCTACCCCCCCCCCCCCAAAAAAATTCCATTGAGAGTAAATATAGGAAGAAGCAAATAGTCAGTTCAGTTTTTAAATATTTTGTGTTTTCAGTTTTCCAATCTGATATAAATCTACCTCTGTCCATAACTGCAAGCTCTTACCAACTCTTATAAAAGATGCAGTAAAAATGTTGCTATTTTTCTTAATAAAAAAAACCATTTCCAGGGCACACTAAAGGAGAAAACTGTTGAAAACCTAGAGGAGTACGTCATCAAGGATCCAAGACTTCCAACTCTGTTGCAGAGGTAGGTATGCTCCATTACAGCCATCTCATGGCAGCAGGAAGTAACTGGAAATTTTGACTTTTTGATATATGGTCACATTTGGTGTGATCGGGGGAACTGTTTCCATTTAAAGCTATAGTCCATCATTTGCAGCCATCCGAAAAGTAACTGGCGTAATTATTGTTGAAAAACATACTTGGTTGAAAGATAGTAAGGGGACTAAACTCCCTGTGAAATTATTCTTTCTGGCAAGCTGTCATTTTGAAGTAATCAACGAAAGAAAGCCTTCATCAGGTTAGTTGTTCAGTATCCTTCATTAGATTTTGAACACTTTTGTTGCTTCAAACGAACAAAATGCACAAATTACAAATGATGGACTATATCTTTAAAGATCAGTCACATTAAGGCGAAAACAAAAAGTCTCCTGTTTCTGGTATGGAGCTTGCCCCAAAAGTGGTGCGGTGACACCGTTTTTTTTCTTTTTCCTTTTTTCTTTCAAATGTCAGCTGATGACTGCAAATGGTGCTCGACTAAATTTAGCGCAAAGTATATGGGAGTTCAGAGAGGCCACATAAAGCTTATACTCGATCGTAACCCCATTCCAGTCAAACCAGTGAGTTTGGCAGTTTTGAGACATCATCTTACATTGAAAAAAAACTATTTCATTTTGCCGACGCGCATGGCTACGGCAATGCGCACGCAGACCAGAAACCGGAGACTTTTTTTTTTTGGCCTAATGTGGCAAACGTCATCTAATTTTGAAGATTAGATTATGTGATACAATCTACAACATCGAAAATTAAACAAGGGGAGTTACGGCTGTAAAAAAATAAAAGTAAACAAGCTCTGCTAAAAACCAGAAAGAAACCAAAGTCTTTAGGAGCATCTGCTACAAGCCCATTTTGTTTTAAGAGGATTAGAAAGTTGCCCAAAATATGTTCTAAAGAAAGTTCACTTTGGCCCTTTAAGTAGCACACTCAGCATTTACGGTTGAAAATCACTATACATGTGTTGAACAACTGCTATTGTGGAGTGCCGTGGCCTCGTGGTCTCGAGCATTGAATTCGTGGTCTGCGGGTAATTCTGCAGGTTGTGGGTTCGAGTCCAGCCAGCGGCTATGGTGCGTGTGCCCTTGGGCAAGGCACTTTGTCACTCATTGCTTCTCTCCATCCAGGAGTAAATGGGAACCTGTGAGGGTAGATATGGTTAGTGTGGTTGGTTTTAGCTGCTTTGCGCTGAAATGGCAGCATCGAGCTGTATACTCCCCAGGGAGCTGAGACGGTATTTGGAATGTTTCATTGGCCCAATGAGTAGGGTAATAATGCCTGCGCCAGGAGTGTCACTATGCGACAGACATGGCGCATTACAAGTCTCCATTATTGTTAGTAGAATTCCATTTGCATTTTCTATTTTTTTTTAAAATTTCGTCAGGATGAGAGATCACGGCCGTAAAGTCTTCCTGGTCACAAACAGCGGCTACAGCTACACAGAGGTGGGTCGAACAATATAGAAATATTGACTGCTCGAGTGGTGTGGTAAAACTACCCTCCCGAGGTGATCCATGAAGCATTTTATTTGTCCCGAGGCGAAGCCGAGGGAAAATAGAATGTTCCATGGATCACCGAGGGAGGCTAGTTTTACTTCACCACGGGATTAAAGCAGTCAATATTTGTTTTATAACACCTCTCCCACAGATTCTGCTTGATTTTAAGCGATAACTGATTAATTTAATCTACATTTAAATGTAATTATAATGTACGAAATAAGTTCAAAATTTACTTGCACTTTCCCAACTTACCCCTTCAAGAAATGTTTGAACCCAGCTCTGTAGCGCTAGTGATTGGGACCAATACGCGCAATGCGCACAGTTGAACCGTAGCCTATGCATTTGCACGCAGTACCGGTTGTCATGTGTATAGTACTTTGGTTGCAACAGGTTTAGTACTTTGGTTGCTATGGGTACAGTACTTTTGGCCGTGCACAGCAAGATAGCAAAAATAGTGAATGCCATGTGACTCGTTCTCGGCCAATCCAGATGCAGAATCTGTGGGTGAGGTGTTATAATAGTGGCTAGGCTATTGCAGTACCTTTTCCAATTTTGTAAAATTCTCGAACCCTCTTCTGGTAGGTTGTTAATTTTTTTTCAAATCGTCATTGAAATGTTGTTTGGAGATCTGAAAAAGCTTTTAAATGATAGATTTAACTTTGGCTTTGCCATTATACTATACATTTTTGACAATGATCTGTGGACGTCTCAAATAAAAAAAAAGTAGTTGAATGTTGGTCGGACAATGACTACAATAATTGTTCATGTTCAGAAGATTTTTTATAAAAGAATTATTCAGAAAAGGTGCATGATATTCATATCAAATATTGAATCTCGTTGCTTTATTTTCTTTGTTGTTTCAGAAAATTATGACATATCTCTTCGACTTCCCGCATGGGGCGACGGTGAGTATTGGCAAATTCAAGTTTAACCTTTGATATTTGTTACACTGTTTTTTGTTTTATACCATTACCGTTTGTAACATTTTGTATTCGTGAAATAATTTCATATTTTGCAATCTGCATTACTATGACCTTACATTGTCTACAAAACATTTTTTTGGGAGGCAGTTGAAAATGCATTCAAAAAGTTGACCTGAGATTTTGTAATTTTTTTTTTTTTTAAATAAAATTATGCGACTACTACAATACTAATTAGTTCTGTAAATGGTCGCATTTTTAAACAAAAAATTCAAATTGAACATCGGCAAACTAAGGCATGCATTATAACAAATTTTCAGAGAGTAAATTTAGGGCCCGTGACCATTCAGCCCCGGTATGAAAAGGGCCCCCCGGTAGGCTCGTCCCCTCCCAGCTACCGGCCAAGGAGCTGGTCCGGTTGCTAATCAGGAACTCCTCTATCCTGGGGTCTATTGTTTGCAAGTATTGACACATGTAATATATCCCAGAAGAAACCCGCTTGTGGTTTTCATCTCTCAGCGCGAAACAATAGAACACTTTCGTCGGCACAGATCAAAACCCCTGCCATGGGGTTTTGCGCACAATGGGACCGTAAATTACCAAGGCGTTTGGAAGGATTTTATCTTTAATCCGGTAAGTCTGCTATTGTTCTGCTCTGGAGGTTCTCTGAAATTGATGCGCCTGACTGACTTCCAAACTTCTGGTCAGACAGGACCATGTACTGGACGAGACTGGGCTGAAGACCGGACTGGCTTTGGACCGGATGAGGTACCGGGGGGCCCTTTTCATACCAGGGCTGAATGGTCACGGTCCCTTAGTGAATTTCGTTCATAATTTTGCAATTGCTTTTCTGATCTCAGGGTCCACCAGGACCGTCCAGTATGGTACGTGGTATCTTGCCGTTCGTTCCCGTTTGTTAACAGTTTGTGGTTGCAGATTGGCACATTGCTGTGTTTGTCTATTTACTGACGTTTTAACACCCTCCTGTCACGTCACACTATCGTTTTCCTCAACATTATTTGGCACCAATGGAGCACGGCACGCCACTCTTTTTTTCCCGTAGGTTTGTGAAGCCAATACGAATAATTCAGGAATTTTATAGAATCACAGCAAGAAACTTAGGTTATTGTTTTTCCCCTTTAATAAAAACTACCGATGAATTTGGAGCAGAAAAATAGTCTTTGGAAAAAATGGACAAAGCAGGATTCAAACCAGGGATCTTTTAATCCATAGCACATCTCGTTAGCCACTAGGCTACTGTGGCAGCTCGACGACTGCCGTTCTTTTAAATGCTTTAAATGTAACTTATAATAACAATGATGTGACGTCTGTTTTTTTTCTCATGAGTCAACATAATTTGCCCATTTTAACAAATTCAACAATGAAGACGTACAAAGGCCTTTGTTCAAGCAATAATGCAGAAATCTTGAAGGGTGTTAAGCAGGTTAATACGCTCAGTAGTGCGCCGTTTGTGGGTGATTCGCCCTCGGCCCATTCTCACCCACGAATGGCACGTTCCTTGTGTATTACCCTTACCATAAATGTTGTGCAAATCATTGCGTTTTGCCTGCAAATGTCTAAAAATGGGGGTTTTTTTTGGTGCTGATTATCACTTTGAGATGAACCCTCTGTGGCAAACTCTTGGTGGCGCACTGCATTGTGAATCACCCGAATTGACTGATTTCAGGCTTTTTTTTTTTTTTTCGAATTGTGCCTCCTGTAAGTAACATACGTTTGTATTGGCATCCTACATGTGTGTCTACATGGGCCTTCCCTTTGTACCTCAAATTTCAGGCAAAAATCGAAGTGAACTTCCATTCACTGTATCATTGTATGCGTACATGTACATGATTGTGCTCAGCAAGGTTGGCCATTGTTGTGCAAAAAGTTATGTTACAGTTTTATTTATGATTTGCTGTGAACAATTTTTACTTGAGCCTGAGATGGTGTGACTTTTTGAAGAGTTTCAGTGTCGTTTGCTGGCCTTTACATTTCACACATTGTTCATCTAAAATATGCTTCTTATAGCTGCATTGTAAAGTACAATCAGAAAGTTTTATTGATTGGCCATTCGGATACTTGCTTAACCCTTACCCTACTAGACCCTCCAACGCATGCCAATATGTGCCTCAAGAAAATCTCCTATGTTTTTTGCATGGCCCTCCAATATCTGCCATGTCATTTCAAGGGTAACTGGACAGGCACTCCAATACATGCCACAGAGAACAATGAGAGTCCTCTGATAACAAAGTGAGTGCCCCCAGCTGGTCAGTATCAGGCACCCTCCAGGGCCTCCAACTCCTGCCAATTGGAGCCTTCACTGTCAAGATAGTTTATCTGCCAAAAGACTGCAGCTGGAGGGCATTGGCATAACCAACTGACATGCAGTAAACTACCCTCAGAGAGTAAGGGTTAAACTGGCCAATCAAAAAGCTGCTTTGATCGGTCAGACAGAAACTTGCATTGATTGGCCACTCAGATACTGGATTTGATTGGCACATCAGAAGCATGCTTTGATTGGCCAATCAGAAAGAAACATGCATTTTGTTGGCCAGTCAGAAACATGGATTGATTGGCCAGTCAGAAACATGTATTTTTTTAGCTAATCAGAAACTGGCATTCTTTGACCGATCAGAATCCTGCATTTTTGGGGGGCAAATCAAAAAACTACTCTGTTTGGCCAATCAAAAACTTGTATTGTTTATCGTTTGACCAATCACATACATGTAGCTGCATGTTGTTGGATGTTCACATGGACAATCCATTGTCAGTGGCTTTACATTATCTATGTTGCCTCGCCAGTTTTCTTGATTCAAACCTTTATTTTGGCATTTTTTTTTTTTTTTTACATATTGCCAATTCAAATCACAGTTCAGTTTTACATTTCAAATTTACAACATTGTTTCTGGTGTTTTTTATCATTCCGTTCTACCTGAAAATGCTGAAAAAGAAAATCCTTTATTTATGATTTTGCAGCCTTCCACCCCTCACAAGCAGTGGTACGAATACTTCGATGTGTGCATTGTGGATGCAAGGAAACCCCTATTCTTTGGCAATGGAACAATCCTCAGACAAGTTGATCTGGTAAGTATGATTCCTAAAACGATAATGTTTTTAAAGTCTTCCATTTTTTTGTTCTTTTCACCAAGGCCAATGGACACAGGTTTACTGAATATTTGAGTAGAATTTTTTTTTAAAAAGGGTAAACAAACCCACACAAACACACACATGTTTGTTTTACATACTCTATGTGGACATTCCTTTGTTTTCGTGAAGTTAAGAAAACTTGGTACAAAAAATAACTTAACTTTAACTGTGAAAACTCTTTCAACCCCAAATTTGTTTTTTTATTTCCTTGAATGTTTCTCTTCATTCTATGACAGATAACCCTAACCCGAAAATGCCTCCAAACCTGTTTTCCAGAGAGGGCAAAACGTTATGTGGACACGGCTTAGTCCACAGAACGCCAACACAACCTGCATTATGTGGACATCTTTTGTTCACATGTCCACATAGTGACTGTAAGACAAACTCATACACACACACAAAATGCATTGACTTTATGTTTTTTGGACTAATATCTTAATGGGTTTATATAACATTTTGTTACTACAGGATTCATTTTTGTAGGCCCTATGAAAATAACTTTCACATCACAAATCTCTTTAACAGGTGTATCAGTTTTGACAGTTTTGATTGAGAGTACATAGAGGCTTGGGCCCCCCCAAAAAGTCTCCGGTTTCTGGAATGCAAGCGTGTCGCCGTAGCCATGCGCGGCGGCAAAATGAAACTTTTTTTTTTCCAATGAAAGATGATGTCTCAAAACTGCGAAACTCTCTGGTTTGACTGGAATCCTGCTGCTGCACAATTTTAACGTGTTTTTAGATGGGGTTACGATCGAGTATAAGCTTTATGTGGCCTCTCTGGACTCCCATATATTTTGCACTAAATTTAGTCGGGCACCATTTGCAGTCATCAGCTGACATTTGAAGTAAAAAAAAGTAAAAAAAAAAAAAAAGCCGCGTCGCTGCACCACTTTTGGGGCAAGCTCCATACCAGAAACCGGAGACTTTTTAGGGGGGCTTCTTTGTCCACCAACATGCTGGGTTTTTTTAAAGGAGAATTGGCCTAGAGCGAGTCACTTACTGTAGGCATTTGCTACATGTATGTTTACTATCTTGCTGTGCACAGCCAAAAAACTACACCATGGCTGCCTCTCTCTGAAAAAATACTATTTGCATAGAAACGAATGTAGCAACCAGAGGTCTGTGTGCACATGCATGGTTGTGCACAATTCGCGTATTGTTCCCAAGTGCTACACAGTTGCGTTCAAACATTTCACAAAGGGGAAGTTTGGAAAAAGTTCAAGTAAATTTTCAACTAATTTCATACTGAAAGACATACGTACCTTTTAATTGGATTTAGTGGGTGAGGCGTTATGTATAAATGAAGTGTTCAATTTCCCTCGGGAAACTAGGAAGCTACACGGATTGCTTCGGGAGGCTAATTAATTACCACACCACTCGAAGCAATCAATATTAGTATACTACCTCTTACGACCGTTCGTAGGACACTGGTGCTCTCAGGATAGGCAGCCACGTTGGGCCCTTCCACAAAGGCCAGGTGTACTCCGGCGGTTCCTGCGACGTCTTCAGCGATCTGATCGGTGCCAAAGGCAATGACGTGCTGTACATGGGCGACCACATCTTCGGCGACATTCTCAAGTCCAAGAAGCTAAGGGGATGGCGGACGTTTCTCGTGGTGCCGGAGATTGCCCAAGAGCTGACGGTGTGGACAGAAAAGAGAGGTTTGTCTTTTTCTCCAACTCCCCCTCCCTTTTCCCAGCTTTTTAAACAGGTTAATTGAGTTCGTAGCGCTCGGACATATTCAAAGAAAGGGTTTCAGCATAAAGCTATATTTACATATATTTTGATACTTTGACCAATTAACCTATCATGGTAGAATTGCGTCGACGCAGCTTGTGAAACATTGTCCAATTACATGATATACAAGTGGACACGGAACGCGCAAAATCTGAGACAAGCAAAACTTAACGATAAATTTCATAGGGTTGTCTAAGGGGCGTGGTTAAATCGCAAACGGTAACAGGTCAATCACAGCTACACATGAAAATCAACTTCTGGGCATTTGCAGATTAGATACTAGAGAGGTTTTGCATGTGAATGGATACGGTTAGCCTGCCAGATAGGCAAGCAGTTTTTGTGGTCTTGTGAGGTCATACGCAAATCACTATCCGCTAAGCGTGTATCCGGCACTGATATATCGCGCGTTAGCGTCAGTGTGAAACGCATAGTAAATTGCAGATTTTCTACCCTCTTTTCTGATAAGATATTTTAATCATGGATAATTTGATTGAAAGGGGATGAATTGCTGAAGATATATATATATGGCATTTGTCTGCGTTTGAAAACAGGAATTAGTCAGAGATGTGAGGCTTTCATCGGAGGCTGCAATTTTGGAGTACTGCTTGGTTTTGTCAACTAAGCGTACGAGTACTCGTACACGATGCGAAACAACGGAATAATCAATAACTCTTAAATGGCTAAATGTGTGCGTACACGTATCCAGTTGAATGCGAAACCTCTCTGTTGCCTGAGATATGTGTACCGGGTGCTTAGCCTTGATTGTTTTAGTGCCGCAATTTTTCCTTTTGTCTTTTTTTGGTTCCTTCTTGTAGGCTCAGTTGATGCCCATGGTATGTGGAGACATTTTACTTGCTACATGCATGGCTTTTAAAACTTTGATATGCAGGGTGTGACCTTAACACAAGTCTGTTTGCCCAGATAATCATACACCTCTGTGCAGATGGCGTCACACTTTGTGCACTCGTGCGCTTTTCTATGGGGCTACAAAACCATCGTCCTCACCAGGTTCCCATAAGAAAGCACACGTGTTAACAAAGCGTGACGTCATCAGTACAGAGGCTTATTGAAAGGGCAGTAAAGTGCCAGAAAGTAGAGTACTGAAGTTCACAGAACCTGCTGGATTTGGGATACATTTGTCCAATAAATGTTAACCTCGTGGCTACTAAGCGTATACCTGTTGAAAGCTGGTAGCAAGTACATGTAAAGTCTGTCTTATGCAGAAATGGCTTACCAGGCCAGTGTTCATCTCCGGTTTCCTTAGCATGAAATGACTGAGAATATTTCTATCCCTCCTGGATGGATGCCAGTCCATTGCAGGTTACTCCCCAGCTAATGCCGGTACCCATTTATACTCCTGGGTGGAGAGAGGCAAGTGGGAGTGAAGTGGCTTGGCCAAGGACACAACATATGGCCAGCAGCTGGATTCAGACCCCTGACCCTCTGACCATGAGTCACAAACCCTAACCACTTGGCCACACTCCCACTGTCGAAGGCTGGTGGGCGAGTCAAATTAAACACGAATAAACAATCAACCCAACAAACCAAAAACAAGTTAAAGGCAAACTTTGGCTGATGTGACTTGAGCTAACCCCAATTACATTGTCTTCATGGGAATGCTTTGCAGTTGCATGATGCAGGTTGAAATTTTCTGTGTCGGTGATTTGGCATCTTGGTTATTTCAAGACTAGTGAATAGTTTTTTGTTTTCATATTGTTTGTCTCTTTCTTCCACAGCACTGTTTGAGAAACTAGAGGATCTGGACTCAGCCTTGGCAGACCAGTACAAGTAAGCAATGCGCCTACTGAACATATTCATATTCATTTTTGTTCAGAGTTTCCAAAACAAATACTGGCACTCCAGAATGTTCGTCAGATTAGTCTATAACAGCAGGGCCATTTCCTTTGGGCCATCGGTTTTTTTGGTATTGTATATTTTTGTCCAGTCAGACTTACAGAGTGCATTGATGAATGCAAATCCCAATCAGCAAGGGTGTACGTGTTCTACATAACCCCCAAGAACCGACACACAAAGGAAGAACAACAGATCCAGGCATAGGGTCTTTTGTTCAAAACGGGTAGTGTGCTTAGTCTATGGGAGAGTGTTATACTACATTGACAAAGGGAAACACAAAGCATTGTCCTCAGGAGTATAGTAAAACAAGAGTGTGTGGTCATTTGCGTGTGGTTGTGTCTGTAATGAACGATTTCAGAATGAATCGATCAAATCAAGTGAATTCTAAACTCATTTTACAAATTTTACGCTTGTTTTGATTTTCAGGAATCTGGACAGCAGCACAGAGTTGGTGCCGGACATCAGCAAAGTCCGCAAGACAATACAGGTATGGGAACTCCCGTCATCTGTTTTCTGTGTCATGTAGAGTATAACGTGCCTTTGGCCAGTAGTAAAGGTTCTAAAATTTGATCTCTGAGTGAACTTAAGCCCAATTCATTTTTGGCAAACATTTTGGTCACGCATTTTTACTGTTTTACCGATGGATTTTGATCTGGGCTCCCTAGGTAGCTCAATTTTAGTGAATTGAATGTTTGTTCATGTGATTTGTGCCCTTCTCTCAACAGCAAGTCACCCATGAGATGGACATGTGCCACGGCAAGTTAGGGAGCCTCTTCAGAAGTGGTAAGATTAAAACCCAAAAAATGTGGATCTTGTGTTGTAGGCTCAAGGTTGCTCATACCCAATGCAAATGCTAATGAGAAGCAACCTGAAATCAGTAAGTTCAATTTGTTTTGCTCGAACACTTACCACAACGTCGCAGAATCACATCCACATTCACATCTGCTTCTCATATGAATTCCTTTGGGGAACTAACCCACCGGGCCGGTTTTTATGTGCAACCTCTATGAGAGAACGCGGCGAAAAAAATCATTAAAAACGTGCCTTTTTTCACATCTGTCGCCACCACTTCATTATTCGACAGGGTATACCTTAGATCTCACTACAGTGTGACCCTAACAATATACTCTTTCAGAAAATGAAAGAAAAACTGAATAAAACACTGAGTTTCACTCGCGAATTGATGTTAAACATTGCATTTTCAGTCAAAAATCTCCCTGTTTTGTGTGTAAACCACGCGTTCAGCCAAGAACTGGTCCATTAACATCATCATAACGTTAAATAGCGCCACCTGGGAGCTTAGATCTCTCGAGTCATTTTTCTTCGTCTCGTCAGCTTTCCAACAATATAACCCTTATTGTGATTGGTTAAGATTTAGGCTCGCGTGTATTCATTTACTAAAGAATTGTACATCTAAACTCCAATAAAATTTGCCGTTGCTCAATGGCTCAGCGCGTAGGGTCTGTTTATTGTACACGTGCTAGGCAGCGCTACTGTATATACACAGAGCCCGGGAGCTCTTATCTCTATGTGTCCAAGGTCATCTGGCTGTGCGCTTTGGCCAGTTTACATGGGGTCCTTTTGACCACAAAGGATTTGATATGTGTCTCCTAATATACACTAGCCAAATGTCCTGACTGTTCCTGAAAGATAAGACTCTTTAGGAGTGTTTATTCAGGTCCTTCTAAGTCCAAGTACGTTTCCAGGAGAACTTGAACCACATTAATCAGTTAATGCCGGAAGATGTGTAAGCCCGATGTGGCAATGTATATACGCAGGGGGGGGGGGGGGTTGACAGATTAAATCGCTGGCGATGGACTTGTGTAAAATCAGTGGTTCCCATTGGTTTTGCACACACCGTGTTTTGAGCTTGAACTTGGCCGCTGTACATGGCCTGTCGTCGTAAAAAATATCGCTCTGTGGTAGGGCCTCGGAGTGTTGCAAAATATAAAGTTACGGTGAGAAGCATCAGACAAATATTGTACAAATGACCCTAAAGAGTCAGTATTTGTGGTGTTTGACTTAAATTTAAAGTTTGGCTGATATGGCTTGTTTTTTTCAAAAATGGTGGTTTTCGGCCAAAAATAATCCCGTCGTCAAGTGATTAAAAGCACAGGAGACGAGCAGCAACAACACTTCATCGCAATTTTTTTTTCTTGATTCTTGTTTGTGTTTTTCCTTTTTCTTTCCTTCGGATAGGTTCACGCCAGACCTTCTTTGCCAGTCAGCTGCTGAGATTCGCCGATCTCTACTCCTCCACCTTCCTCAATCTGCTGCATTATCCCTTCAGCTACCTCTTCAGGGCTCCACACCAACTGGTAAAAAGCGTTCGGAAAATCCTGACGCACCCATTAGGGGGGGGGGGGGGGCATTTGATAACGGTAATGGACATGCTTGAAGCTCGCACATAGACACCACTGTGTTGTGCACCTTCAGAATGAAATAGTTGTGCGTACTTTGTGTGAACCTGTACGCGCATGCAGTGTGTCCCTCCCACTGGGGCATACTGGGCACGTGGTGGTTTAAAATCACCCGTGTGACAGACTCTTGACCAAGCGGAATAGGTAAACTGTTCCAGATTTATTGAAAATTGTTTTTCATTTCGGAAAGATTCTTTGGGATCCCAATGTCAGACTCTTTAACTTTAATTAAAAATAAATTCTATTCACAATTTAAACAAACTCTATTCATCCTCAGATGCCCCACGAGTCCACAGTGGACCACTACGAAATTTGCCCGCACTTCGAGGAGGACCAGAAGTCCATGAGCATGATGTCGCCGGCGCTGACGCGGAAGCGCACTATGAGCAGCCGCCCTACCAGCACCCACAACCACCAGACTGACATGATAGCGTCCGCACCGGATCCGGTGGAGGTCACTCACGACCACGACGTAGACGAATAAACAAACAAAACAGTGGCGGCTGATCACAAATCAATCACACGTCAAATCTAGTGTTGTCAATTCCATGACAAGTCCAGTCACAAGTTAAAACACAAGTTCTGTCACCGGTAAACTTCAGGTCGATTTACTAGTCCGGGTACGAGTAAGAGAGGACAAAGGACCAACTTTGTTAATAGTGATTGGTTGCGGTACCTGTTGATCAGATTTTAAACCAGCCAACCGACCCTGGCAAGCTTGATGGTAAGCAGGAGGTCTTGGGTTCGTGTCCCACCCAAGTACTTGGTACTTGATTGGTTCTTCTCCTAAGAACTCCGCAGGGGAGTTTTCACAGGAGGCCAGTAAGCTTGTGAAGTTTTTTTTTCACAGGTCTCAGTATACAGTGTTTCTACTACTACGTCTGTGAAGGGCAAAACCAATATTGAATTTACATCTATCTAACGCAAAAAAAAATACATCATACAATTGATATTATACAAATATTGAATGCTTTGAGTGGTGTAGTAAAACTAGCCTCCCGAGGTGATCCATGGACATTCTATTTTCCCGAGGCGAAGCCGAGGGAAAATAGAATGCTCCATGGATCACCGAGGGAGGCTAGTTTTACTTCAGCACGATATAAAGCATTCAATATTTGTTTTATAACACTTCACCCACAGATTCTGCTTGGTTTTAATATTTTAAATTATTTAAATCTGAACACAGTTGAAATAAACTTCAAATTCAATACAAAATTGGTAAAAAATGTATTTCTCTCTTCCAAACTACCCCTTCGCGAAATGTTTGAACCCAACTCTGTGGCGTGCTCTCTTTGGAAGGCGCTACGCGCAACGCGCAACGCGCAACGCGCACACCAGCATGCATTATTTTGCACACAAATACTGCACCGTGGAAATAGTACTTTGGTTGCTAATGGTATAGTACTTTGGTTGCTACGGGTATAGCACTTTTGGCCGTGCACAGAAAGATAGCAAAAATAGAAAGTGTCATGTGACTCGCTCTCGGCCAATCAAGACACAGAATCTGCGGGTGAGGTGTTATAATGTAATATGAACTCTATGACCTGGGATTGACTTGAGATTGACTTGTGAGGACTTGTGATTGACTTGTGAGGTCATGTGAGGACTTGTGATGGACTTGTGAGGACTTGCGAGGATTTGCAGTGGATTTTTGCATCTCTGTGCTATATCACAAGTCAAATCACATGTCAAGTCACCAGTTCCAGGGAATAGGTGGCAAAGGAATAGCCTTGTACACTTCATTTGAATTTGGACTCAATGACCTGGGATTGACTTGTGATTGACTTATGAGGACTTGTGATGGACTTGTGATGGACTTGTGAGGACTTGCGAGGATTTGCAGTGGATTTTTGCATCTCCGTGCTATATCACAAGTCAAATCACAAGTCAAGTCACGAGTACCAGGGAAAAGACAGTTGACTTGAGATTAGATGACTTGTGATCAACGTGAGACAGATGCGAGGACAACTCTGTATGGCCAGAAAAAACGTTTTCTGAGAGACTTAAAACCTCTAAACTTAGCTTCACATTGCAGGATGGGATGTTTTACATGAACTCAAATTGCGCCAGAATCTGCCAAGTCGGCCTGAGGTCTCCTGGAGCCCAAAACGGAGGCAAAACTTGGGTTCTGGGGGAAAAACTCAACGTCACTGTGCTTTTTTTTTTCCTGTTTAAAGCAGCTGGTATCAATTATACAGTGTTTCATATTTAATTGAAGACAAAACGGGTGTGGATCTCATATAGCTCACTAACAGAAAACAAAAAATTTGTCATATAAGTTTTTTTTTGCTGAAAAATGTGAGACGTTCTGGCGAAATGAGACGGAACTGGGCTCAGGCCGTAGTGGAGAAAAATGCAAAAACTGAAATGGGTGATATTTTTTAGATTCTTCAGATTTACTGATATTTGTAATCTTTGATACCGGTACGTCTTCTACAAGTGTTTTAAAGAAATAGTGTACACATTTTGGAATATAAGTGTCTTTAAGGAAAAACAATTGGCATCTTTCATTTTCGCGACTATACTAAACTGCTAATCTTTGAAGGTCTTTTTCTCATTATTTTACTTCTACGACATGTCGATAAAATGCGAACTTTAAAAACAGCCATAACTTGTCAATGGAATGTCCGATTGAAGTGCAACAAAGAGTATTGTAAGGAGAATTTTAATTTCTTTCCTTTTACCTGCATGCCCTATTTCAAACTCTGCCCAGTTCTGTCTCATTTTGCCATAATGCTTCACATATGGCTCATTAACAGAAAAAAAATTTGCTCATATGAGGCCAAAAAAAAATAAATAGTTGGTCTCTGGTCAGCGCGTGCGTCGATTTTAATCATGCGCATCAACCTTTTTTTCCCCTTCAAATTTACCAAGGAAGCTACAACAATGCCATCTATTGCAGCACCTCAAATTTTTGTACCAAGGAGCACCAAGGAATGGGGAAATTGCGTCAAGGCAAATAATGGAGGGCACCAAGGCAAATTATGGAGGACACCAATGTATATGAGGACACAAAAAGCAAATAGTTCCCACCTTGTTTGTACACTTCAAGCTTAAAAAAAAAAAAAAAAAAACGCGTCGCCGCATCAATTCCGGAACTTCGGTCTGACCAGAGACCGACTATTTTTTTTTTCTGGCCTAAGTTACTTTTTGCTGAAAAATCCCAATGGGAGTGCAATGCGTTCCCAAAAGTAGTGTTCAAAAGCATCAAGAATGCGCAGAGCTTTAAGGCGTTATCTTAACTGTGTGATTACAACTCGAGTTGTTGCAGTAATGTCAAGCAAACTCGTACAGTTGGCGCATTTGAAACTCTTATTTTCTTGTACGTCACTTGTGAGAGGTGTGTTTAGTCATATTGAGAAGAAGAAAAAGCAGGAACTCATTACAAAGGACAAACTTGTGGTCTCATTCAGTGATAAAAAGCGTGCAAAGGTTTTTACCAATTTTGGAGGGAAAAAAAATGCACAGAAATTAAGTGTTCTTAGAAATCAGCCCGTGCATCCCGAACAAACGACAACAGTAATTAGTTTTTGATGATGCTGATTTTAATACGTGCCTGCAATAGCAAAATGTGTTAACTTTAACATTGGATTAAAAAAAAGTATTTAATCTGTAATTTGTAAAATATGTTTATAATGTCTTAGGTATGCTTATCATTTAGAAAACAGTAAATAACCGCAGGGAAGTTGTTGACATTAATAATTGTAATCGTCATATTTGTATTCTATCCTTTTCTTTTAGACATAAGTGGCAGCCATTTTGTTTTGTGATTAGTTGAAGAATCAAGGAAGGCATTGCAACCCCCCGCCCCTTCCAGAAAAAAAAGGCTGGTACCTGTTTTATGTACCAGTGTCTTAATGAACAAAGTACATAGTATAACTGCTCAGTGATGGGGAACCAGACAATAATGGGACATTTTAATTGGTATGTTGACTTATTCTTGGAACCTGGAACCTTTTACAATTTTAATATCAAGTTTATGATGCTAGCAGTTTGATAGTCAAGATTTCCCCAAAGAATTGTCCCAAAGGTGTGTGTAAAAACTGGTTAAAAAGACATTGGGACAGTATTTAGTTGTTAAATACGAGCATATTTCTTTGCTTCAGTTTATTGGCATTTATGTGAACTTGCTTGCGACAAATTTCTGTATCAACAATTACATGCAAGTCTGTCTGTGAGAATTTGTTATTTGCTTAGATTTGTTTACACGTTTATATGTAACTTACGATTGTTTATTAATATATTTACTGGTGACAAACATTAGATAGTATGTTATCTAAAAAGAAATATCACATATAAAATTCCATTTTTTTAAATAATAGTTTATGCCTATTATGTGGTTGAAGGTTTAAGTTTAGGCCCTTGTTAAAGTTGTATTCCCCAGAAGAATATTCTGGGGAAACCCCACAGAATCAGGTAGAGACTGAAAACCCAATCCACATGTTGGCCCAGGCAGGATTCGAGCCTGGGTCACAGCAGTGGAAGGCGAGGAAAGTACCACTACGCCAACGTGACTCCCTGCAGGATCTAACGAAGTTTATGCCTTTTTCTGTTGTGAGAATGTGTACAGTAGTAATAAACGTTAAATGTCCTGAACAATTTTTTTTGATAATTTTTGTAAACACTGCAAGGTACCACAGCCCACATTGACATCAGTGCCTTATGATTTATGTATGAATTCTTAACCGTAATTTTTGAAGAAAAAAATGATAATGAGGGAGTTTTTTTCAGATCTTGAAGCTGCACGAGGCCCGGCACCAAAAGCATTCTATTGCATTCAGTGCAGTCATTAATTTAATTTTTGATTAATAATAACCCCCATTACTATCACTGAAACTCCAAAAGGTTTAGCTAAAGGTCCATGAGTTGAATTGTTCTGAGGAACACATTTTGTGCAAATTTCTGCTCCTCTTAAATGTATGAACATTATTTGACATCCCGTTTTGATTAATTTTATTGAAAAGTGCACTTCTTTAAACATAAAATGTATTCCATGCTTTTTCGGAGGATGCTGTTGCTGTGATGTCATTTCAGAAAGACACTGTTCAGTTTGGGGTTTCTCAGTTCAAATTGTGAACCAAAATATTTGCTCATTGAAAACATTTGTGAGAAAAGTTTGCTCATTGGCTTACCACCATGTTCTGAGACAACAACGAATCACCAAAGAAAAGAAAATTCACGACAGCAAAATATCCAAAATTTCAGCAAATGTTTGTGCTGAAATAGCTGTAACATTGAGGTTTCTGCCTGGAAAGATGTCACACTTTTGCTTATGAATATGGCAATTTGCATAAGCATAAAAACCAAAAATGCGCCAAAATATCCTTTTAAAAAAGAGCAAAATGCAAATTGAAAATAACTATAAGGTCAAATGGGACACAAAGGTGTGTATTTTCAAGGATTGCATTACATTGCACAAGTCATTTAATAAGTACGCTTTCTAACAATTGTTATTTTGCTGATGATGGTGTCCTACAATTTCAGACATTGCAAAAAAAGGAATAAGATTCGGGTCTGCAGACATCAGCACACTGAAATAAATTATGCCAAAATTATTGTATGAAAAAAAAATTGTTTACTTCATCACAAGTATAATTTAGGTTTTTTTTTTTTTTTTTAAATTAGAACAAATTTGGGGCAAAAGAGTCTGTTAATCTTTTGTGATGTAGTTGTTTATGTTGAAGCTGTTTTTTTATATAAACAATTTGACAGTGCTTTGGCAAGGGTTTTAATTTGGTGACAAAACTGTGGCTCTCGTCTTTTTAGCATCAAAATATTACAGATTTTTTTTATGTATTGTTGAGGAATTTTATTTTGAGAAATCTACTGAGCGGAAAGTTAAATTGATTAGCTTTTGTTGGACAGGTCAGATTTTAAGTGCTTTTCCTTACGAACAGCCTCCCCCCCCCTTCCGAACAAAATGAATCGCCGGTCATCTCATTGACCTTCAAAGATAACTTGATTGCAAGTATTTCTGCTTTTATTGTTATTATGAAAGTATCTAGAGAGCCTAACAATCGAAGAAAATATTAGCCAGTAGATTTAATTGCATTTTTTAAGCAGAAAAGAAGCATTGCAAATTAAAAGATTAGTCGAAACATTGCTGCATTATTTATCTAAAATAAGGCATTTTTCAAATATTAATACAGAGATTATGGCATAGTGTAGAGTACATCCTGTTTTCTTGTTGAAACTCCATCAACATGTTTATGTTGTTTCTGTCGATTAATTCTGTGAATGTTTATATTTTTGGGGGAAGTCAGAATCCCAGATCTGCCGAAATTCAACTTTGCGTTACACAAATTTTTAACATTCATTGTACGTGAGCAACAGTGGGAAATTCAAACGCCACATAAATCGACAGTGGCTGATGAGTTCTGGATCCATCAAAACCCCACAGAAGGTGATGGTTTTTTGACAGATTTTGTGGGGATAAGGACCGTCCACTTTGCTTTCGTCTTTGTTCTTCCTTGGGAGCGACTAATATTTGTGTGATTTTTTTACCTAGAATGTTGGAAAACATTTTAATAATGCATTCTGAACTTACAATGTATTTGAAAGTTATACAGAATTACAATCATTCAACGTTGTACAATTTAAAGTAGTATTGTATAAAGTTATGACCTACTTGTAAAATGCGTATTTTGTCAAGCATTCCAATAAAGTTCCTTTTTATTTAGAGCAAGTGTTATACAACTTTCTTTTTTATTCTTGATATGAAATCTTATTTAGGGCGATAATTACTGATTTGGGTGGACATGGGGGGAAAATAGTCTGAAAAGTCCGCATCCGTTTCCCCTTGACCAGTTAGATTGAAAAAAAGTATTCATCATTTAAAAAAAGAAGATTTTAGAATATTCTACGAACTGTAAGACCCCTGTCAGTTTTGTTGGATATCATGACGTCATAGTTCCATCCTTTAATTCCCCCACATAAGTACATAAAACCGGAAGTGTCCTAAACAATCATTTCCATCATTGGTCGTACAGTTGGTGTCAAATAATAAAAATTAAAAAATCGAGAAAATTGTGTGGCTTTAAAAAAAGGTAACAATTATGACTTAAAAAATCATGTTGAGGGAAAGAAACCATCAGTTAACCCCTTTTATCTGTTGTTTGTTATTTATTAATTGATAAATTTATTTATTTCGCCGAAGCAGAAAATAATGTGAGAAAGCGCGCAACTGAATTGGGAAACTCCAACTACACGTTTGTATAAATTTGGTCTGCCCAACACACGGTACTTTCCGTATGCATATTGCACAGCGCATGCATATTCTATAGCGCAGCGCGCTCACACAGTACACAAAATATAATAAGCGAGGACGGCCATCGAGCAAAGAAGAGATTTACAACGGGTGTTAGGTTTTCGACTTTTCCAGGGTTTTCTTTCCTTCCATCCAACAGTTTGAAGTTGAGAAACAATCTATGAAATCAGTAAGTATATTTCACGTTTGGCAGATAAATTGACGTGCTACAGTTGAGCAAAACCTGGTGGGGTTTTACTAGATGCTCTTGTTTTTTTTTCACGGACCCGAGTCACCACTTTGTTGTAATGCACGGCGTACATTCTGTGCGGTGTGGACATGGTACACAGGCACACAAACTGTGGCCGCCGTATCAATCATGGAACGCGGAAGATGTGGTGACTGTGTTGGGTTGATAAGACGAGCTGGGCAGCAGTGATACACTTCTCTGATCGCGCTCAGTGGATGCGATTAGAAGTGAAAGAAGACGACCATTATGACCATTGCTTAGCCTTACTTACTACTTAGTTCATGGATAGCTCCATGCTTAGTTTAAAGATTGTTGCCATTTTGTTGTGTTGTCACTGATAAACGTGTAGGCCCATAAACATGATAAAGATCACAAGAACATCGAGTTTGGTGTTGCCTGCCAATAATATGTCCACTCTGATCTGTTGTAAGTTTAGACTGGGATCCTCGTTGAAGACAAAACATTGTGTTGTAAACCAAACCATAGAGAATATTTGCTCTATGCCTCTGGCGTAAACAGACCTGAACACTGGTGAAACAAAATTGTTCACGTGTATAAAGGCAGTGTCCGAGTTAAGGGGGCACATCATTCTGAAATTGCCAATCTTTTTATATGAAAGAATTCCATAGACCTACATGGACATCACTAATTTTTCCCTGCAGTGACCCATCACTCGGAAAGCGATAACAATTAAATAACATGTCCTAAAATTTAAAGTCAAATTTAGCAGGGAAAATATTGAAGCTACTGAAGCATTTACTGAGAAAACAGATGATTCAATACGTGCGGCAGGATTCATGACTAGCAGTAGCACCCAAACAGCTCGATTTTGAGAGTCAAATTATGACTCCAGAGATTTGTTCTTGCAAAGGATGGTTGTGTGGCAGTTTATATTCTGCTTTAAAATGCTCTTTCCAATAAATATTGTTTCATTTTAATATATGTTAAGGAATGCTGGTATTAATTTCAATGTTCTTATTATCAGGCTTGGATGGGAGCTTTGGGTTTCCCCTCTTGTTCTATGTCTTTGACCCTTCTTGCATCCCCCTTCCAAACCCCCTCTCCCCCCCCCCCCCCCAATTTTTAATTTTTTTTGTGGGGGGAGGGGGAGATTTTCCCTCTCCTTTTGTTTTATTCTCACTTTAACCCTAACCGCCCTGAATCCTTCCAAATCCTCTTTGCCAAAGTGGAGGAATTTGGAGGATTGAGGTTAAATGGCAAAAGTGCATTACTTTGTCAAGGTCTTGGGCCGGATCTTGTGTTGTTTTTGCTCAGCCATGCATAAATATAGGCCTGGATTATGCTTGAAATCCTCCATACTGGTCCAGGGTGTCACTGGCCAAGCCTCAACATATTGACAGTCACTGCCGCAGGATTTTGCAGGAGTCAGGCAGTGGTCACCCCTCACCCCTTGCAGGATTGAGGCTATGCTATTTTCCATGAGACCAATTGGAGGATTTTGCAGGATTTAAGGCTACATCCTAACAAAAAGGCCTAGGGAGCTAGGGTTCCAGGATACCTCTGTACATTGTCTATTTCTGCATGTGACTCCCAGAGTGTCTCACATTTTAATGATAATTGCATGAGCTACAATCAAGTACAGAGCGTACGTAATATAAGAATTATGGAGTATAGTGTCATTTATCTATCTACAGAGGCATGATTTGATACCTTTTTTTGTCTTCTGACAGTGCGAACAGGAACAGCTGAGCGAACCTGACGCCCCTTGAGTACCGAGTATGCGGATAGCATCATTAGGGAGCTCTGAGTCCAAAGCAGATCAGTCCGATCAGGTCCCCCGCAAGCGCACCAGGAAGCGACGCCACCTTAGGTCTAGCCCACCCTACAGGTCCAGCGCCAGTACTAGCAGCAGCAGTAGCAGCAGCAGCAGCAACGGCAGTCGTCAAACAGTCCAGGATGACGTCTTGGTCCCGCTGTTAGACTGCACTGAACTCCATCGGGTGGCGTCCAGTTGTCCCATGCGGGGGGCTGGATGCGATACTGAGACTGCATTCACTTTTTCCTCATTGTCATCGTCATCATCGTCGACCACCACAAGGTCGTCAGCGTCTTCGGCCGTGACTGGTCTGAACTATTGCGGGTCGCCGACTGGTGTGCTGTCCCAGCAGAACTCGCCCGTGGACCGGACTCATTCCCCAGGCTACGATTTCAGGGAAACCACTGCAAGGCGGAGGAGCTATCTTGGTAAATCTTTTTTTCGTCCTTGTTTTTTTTTTAACTTACATTTTATTTTTAGAATAGGAAAAAAACATTAAGAATTGGGAAAAAAGCTTTAAAAATATGGAAGGGCTACATTGGCAATGGGTAAACAATCCGTGCAAATGTAACGATACAAGGCATGCACAGCAGGGTTGAAATGTGTTGAAAATAGGATTCACAACTAGCACTCAACAGCTTGATTTTTGAGACTCAAAATTTTGACCCCCAAAATTTGTTTCATTCATATGTACTTTCACATACGTTTCGCAAGAATAACACAAAAATGCCCAGTTTCTGAAGGATGGTTGTGTGGATGTTTATATCCTACTTTTAAATGCTTTTTCCAATTCACATCGTTTCGTTTATACCGCGTTTTGTAGCCCAATTGGGCGCATTCCAGGACATACATTTTGTAACGTCTCTTTAAATTTCGCAACAGAAATTCTGCCACACTTGTTATGATACTTGACAGATATTTGGCCCTAAGTGGTGTCCAGTACAGCCCTCCCCAAGACCTTTTTCCAGCGGTACTGTCTCTCAAAAGTCAGTAATGCCTCCCTGAAAACCTTTCGAAATGGTTTGCATTTCAAGTATGAAGTAAAATTCTGAGTGTTACGTATTGGATCAATTTACGTGTACATATTCAAGTTTGCGTTACGCAATGCGTAAGCCCAACTACATGTACGGTATAGCAGTGGCCCCAACTATAGTTTGGACAGTCCTAAGCTGGGCCTGGGACAGTGCCAGTTGTAGTTGGGCCTGGGACAGTGCCAGTTGTAGTTGGGCCTGGGACAGTCCCAGTTGTAGTTGGGCCTGGGACAGTGCCAGTTGTAGTTGGGCCTGGGACAGTCCCAGTTGTAGTTGGGCCTGGGACAGTCCCAGTTGTAGTTGGGCCTGGGACAGTCCCAGTTGTAGTTGGGCCTGGGACAGTCCCAGTTGTAGTTGGGCCTTGGACAGTCCCAGTTGTAGTTGGGCCTGGGACAGTCCCAGTTGTAGTTGGGCCTGGGACAGTCCCAGTTGTAGTTGGGCCTGGGACAGTGCCAGTTGTAGTTGGGCCTGGGACAGTGCCAGTTGTAGTTGGGCCTTGGACAGTCCCAGTTGTAGTTGGGCCTGGGACAGTCCCAGTTGTAGTTGGGCCTGGGACAGTGCCAGTTGTAGTTGGGCCTGGGACAGTCCCAGTTGTAGTTGGGCCTGGGACAGTCCCAGTTGTAGTTGGGCCTGGGACAGTCCCAGTTGTAGTTGGGCCTTGGACAGTCCCAGTTGTATTTGGGCCTTGGACAGTCCCAGTTGTAGTTGGGCCTTGGACAGTCCCAGTTGTAGTTGGGATTTATGCTCCCAACTACATTTGGAACGATGCTTTAGTTGGGACATAACACACACATTCAGATGCAAGTTACATCATGTACCAGTAGTCCTGCACACATGTAGTTCATGCCACACGGTGTGTCCCATACTCTGATGCTATCGTGAGACACCACACAGTATCATTACTGTTCCTGCACGGAAATCCATAAGAATCAGCTGGTTTCTAGTCGTAGCAATCGATTTCAACTGTTTTGTCTGCAAATGTCATCAGTGCCAGCACCGTCACTTGTCAACCTCCTGTGTCGCCGTTTGACATTTCAAAGTTTTGAATGCTGTCTCGAAAAATACTCGTTTCAAATATTGTATCTCAAGGGACTTTGCAACGTGCCTGCTGTACTGGTACATAAAAAAGGTGGCATGTACGGATAGTAACGGCGGACGCCCAGGAATTCTAAGCAATTTTTAATTTTTCTACAAGAGTGAATATCTTTGTACTTTGATCTTTTGATATCTCGAAGGATGACTACTATAATGCTCCAGTCATCATGTAGTTTCATTTCTTTCTCTGATAAAGAGAAACGATACTAAAAAGAATTTTTTTTAAAGTGATGCCTTTAAAATAAGCTTTTGAAGCAGTCACTGTTCGGACGTTATTATAATTTCAAAGGAGCACTTGTGAGAGAAAGTGCCTATTTAGGTTTGAAAATTTATGCATTTACCACAAAATTTCAATACATGTATAGTTGGAAAGACAATTAAAAGTAGAATATATAGATGTTCACATGACTATACCTTCGAAATTTGCTGTTTTTGTGTAATCAAAGGAATTTTTGGGTACAAAACTGGTGTGCGCTAGGATCACTACCGTATTCTGAAGCTAGCGTGGGACCTGATATCTCACAGTGCATCTCACAGTGAACCGAATACATTTTATACAGCGCCAGATTTTTGTTGACCTATCTGGATCATAATTTGATGCTTGACATTCGTATTGACGAGACTAAAAAACTGCTGCCATGTAAGATGTTTACAAACAGGGTTTTCCAACGTTTTCTCTGGAAATTTAAGACATTATTTCCCCTGAGCCAGACCTTTGAATATAAGGTAAGTTAACAGTCAAGAATATGACATTTTTTGTGAAACCTGGCCGACTGTTTAAAGGGAATGTGCAGCATTTGCTTTTGCTGCAATTTTCAGAAATAAACGGATTTAGAGGATTAGTGTGTTGCAGAAAATATTGTTAAACTGACTTGCTTCACATTTTGGGTTTGGAGATGCTGGAAAATCCAAGAAAACCAACCATGTTCTTGTAGTCTGGTTCCCTGACACCACTTAAGATGAAACGGAGCAACGTGTAGACTTTGGGGAATTGTAAGGTCAAAGAATCTGTCTAGCAGGCTTATAGGCCTACCCATTCACAGGTGGGTAATCAATTGCAAAGGAAGTGTGGAATAACTAAATATGAAAAATTAGGAGCAGGTTTTGAAGAAAAGCCAGTTTTCTCCAACGCTGGTCGGCCGACCAGCGTTGGAAAAATACAAGTTTTCTTGAAAATGTCAGCACACCAGCAGCCACAATTTTACAGGATGCTTTATAGTCATTCCCTAACAATCCAGTAAGATATTTCGTGATAATTTGATCATTTCGTTTTTTGATGTCGGCAAATGTTGTATCTTGCCTTTAACCCTAACCCCCTAGGCCCTTGTTGCTTACAACCATCCTCAATCCTCCAAAATCCTCCAAAATTTTTCAACTCCGCCTACATTTTTCAAAATTGTCAGACAGTCCTGCCTCAAAATGCATTCATCCTCAATCCTCCAAAATCCTCCTCATCCCAAAACTTTGCACTCGTGTTTAAATGAAGGATAACCAACGCCAAATCCTTCAAAATCATCAGACAGTCCTGCCTCAAAATGCATTCATCCTCAATCCTCCAACATCCTCTTGCGCTTCATTCACCATTCATCCTCAATCCTCCAAAATCCTCATTTGCTTCAATCACCATTCATCCTCAATCCTCCAGAATCCTCATTTGATTCAATCACCATTCATCCTCAATCCTCTAGAATCCTCCAAAACCGCCAGGAGGATTTTGGAGGAGTGAGGTGGGTTAGGGTTAACATAACAACTTGCAATTCAAAGAGTAAATAGACTCGTGTTTGAATTCCTGCCCAGGATTCTTTCAACCTTTGCCCCAATCAGGGCTGGTTTATTCTAGGCAGGCAGTGCAGCAATTTGCTTGTTTCTGAGTACGGATTGAATCTTCTTGATTTTATTAAACAGTAAAATGTTGCCTCTAAATAGGGGCTGAGGCGTTAGGGAGATGTTTTCAATGTCTCACTCATTCCACATGTCTCCCAAAGGCGTAACTTCTGACGCTGAAGTGTCTCCCAGATGGTATAATTTACGATAGTAATAATACGTCCTAAACATCTGACAAGCTGTGCCCACCACCTTTGAGATGCAAATGAAGAGCAAGCAGCAAGATGGTTTTTGTGTGAATTACGTGTGTAAATGAGGTCACATTCATTTCTCCAAATTTGACGCACGACTTCACAAGACTAGATTCATAATACTTGCTGTTTGAACTATTTGTTGTTAAAGGGAATGTACCGGTACATCATTGGCTTTTGCTGTAATTTTCAGAAATGAACTATTTGAGAGGTTAGTATAATAGATCAAATATTGTTACACTGACATTTTTTAAGTTTTGTGTTCGAAAAGGTTGGAAAAACCAAGAAAAACAAAAATGTTCAAGTAGTCTGGTTCCCTGACTCTACAAAAGATAAAATGGATCAATTTATAGATGATGGAAAATTGTAAGGCAAGGGAACCAGTCTAGCTGGCCTGCACCCGTTCATGAACATGTAACCAATAGCAAACAAAATTTGGACTGACAAAATGGTAAATTTGGAGCAGTATTTGAAAAATAGTTAGGTTTTTCCAACGCTGGTCGGCCGACCACCGTTGGAAATGTTTACAAAAATATCATTTTCTTGAAAATGACTTCACACCAGGTGCCATAATTTTACAAGATGCTTGAGACTGTCATTTACCAACATCCTAGTAAGGTATTTTGTAAAAACTTGGTAGTTTTATTTTTCGATGTTTGCAAATTATGTTGTATATTCCCTTTAAGTGCAAACATGTACATGTATGTACATACCTGCATGTATGTATGCACTTTTTAAATTTACTTTTTTGTTACTCATTTTTGGGATTAACTTGGGTTATGGAATCCCAGGCAGCAGATGGGATTATGTCAGCACTGATCACTGGTGACGCGGCAGTCACAAAGGATGTGACCTGATCCAACTGCATGCGACTGCACAGTTGGGATGGGTCATGGCATCCTGAAAATATTGCCGGAAACGCTGGTCGAAACACGGACCTATTAGGAATCCTGCAACTGGTAAACACCGGGTAAAACAATCAACATAATTTTAATAGACCTACCCGTACATTCCACAATCCTTCAATTTGGTGCTACATGTAAATGCACTGATTTCTAGAAAAGTTAACACCGTTTCAGATTTTAAAACGGTGACCGCTAATTGACTGTGGCAAGGGCGGGATGTGTACGTAGATTTTAAGGTTTTTAATTTACAAGCAAAGGAAGTGACTAAAGACGACAAATTAAGATTTCAGCACGTCGTCTGTTATTTATGTCCGTGTGTATG